AAGAAAAACATTCAAAAACCAAAAACGTAATATTAAAAAAAAAAAAATTAATTTTATGATTATCAATTATCTTGTTCACATATCTACAATACCTTTATTACTCATTATATTTATTTATTATATTAGAATCCTCTATGTTATTAATAGCACATTAACTAATAATTTTTAAATTCTTATATTATACTCGATTAACACTAAAATTATTTATATTTTCGTCATAATATTTATTATTTACTCTAAAATTTAATATTTATATTTTCTAGGTACCATTTACGTAATATCTCTACACTTGACACTCTTATTATATATTTTATATATTGTACCATCATTTTACTATTACTATATATTAGTAATATATATTTACATTATAACTCAATGTAAAATTACTTATCCTTTCTTATATTACTTTTATTTTATTACAATTTAATTTACTTAACACGCATACATACATAATTACATTATATTCAAATCATTTTTTTTAATTTTGTTCAATCTTATATTTCTACTATATATTAGTTGTGAGGACACAACACTTAAAAAAATTAGGGCGGATGTCGTGATATGCTTAATACTTTGCATTACACATCTCACAATTATCAATGAAAAATGTATAATCTGTATTTTAAACAACTTGTAAACAAACAAATAATTTATCTGTCATAACAAATATGCTGTTCAATATAATTTGTTATTATTTATATATATGTCAACTCATCTATTGTCAACTATATTATCTAATATAATTATCATGTGATGTATACTTTGAAACAATAAAATATAATCATGAATAGCACAAACGGCAATATCCCTGGATATGGGGGTACCTTTTTAGTACTATAAAAAGCACTGATATCCATTGAGAAACCAGCTAGTTCGTTCTTACGAACTACTCCTGCTCCTACATTTTGATCACGGACACGTGCTGCCGTTTGATTTATTTTATTGTGTATACCTTATTTGTGTTTAAAACTTATTTTAGTCTATAAAGACATTATTACCATAAATAAATAATATTGAGCAAAAATTGGCATTTCTGGTAAATACTTCATTTATCTTCTTGAACATTACAGAATACGAAGGTAAGTCAATTTATATCATCCCATTTATTTAGAGTTAATAATCTGAGTAAAGAACGATAAAGCAATAGATCTATAATTCCTTTTAACATCAAGAGTAATTTTGCTAGTTTGTTCACACCTACTACATATACACATTACAGGGTCTCGAGGGTCGGATTACCACCCCGTGCCTAAAAAGAGTTTAAAAATCTAATGCTTATCTGATTATATTAATAGACACTTCGACTGGGTATACGAGGGTCGGATTACCGCCCCGTTACCTCAGTGTCCTATTAAAGGTCTTTACAAATTTATTAGCTCATATTCCTCAATAAAGAGGACATACATTTATTTCTTCATATCTACTTGTCTTTATTGTTCTAAACCCTCGAACCATATGATCCCGATAGAACCACAACATCAGGTTCTCACCTTATACAAAAACCCAAGACCCCATCATTCATTTTCATTATTTTTATTATTATCATTATTTTTATTTTATTAATTTTTGTTATTTTTGAATTACAACATGTGAATTATAGACGGCGTGGGCCGCCCTGAAGCAATACCTCGCGGTAGTTCCAGAGCGGTCCACATTATACCGGGTTTGGAAAAAAAAAAAAGACCGTCTGAGACGACGCATCCTGTTTGGTCGCCGGGGTACCAGGACCAGTAGCCGGCAACTCCCGCTCCGGTGTGCGCGTCAGTTGGAGATTGACGAGGGCCCTTGCCATCTTCACCACGCGACGATGCGGGGAGTACACCTCCATGACGTCCTCGAGCTGACCCGCCTGCTCTCTGGCCAGGTCCAATCCCGCCGACAGCACCTCGTCGGACCGGCCAATCACCCTATTTGGTGACCCGTCGGCGTTGTACAAATCAATTACCGTCAGGGCCACCAGCTTGGGCTTTTTAGCCAGTACCGGCGCAGGCGTCGCCGGCATGGGGACCGCTGCACTGGGCGGTGTAACCTCCATTGTGATAGTAACAGGACACCCCCCACCAACCGCCGGCACTGGGGCATCCGAATCCCTTGAGGCAATAACTTTAACTCCGTTTGTTGCCATTATCATAAAATATAATATTTATTTATTTATTTATTTATTTGAATAAACGCCTGATATGCTCAAGTACAGGTTAACATAGTTTACAAAATAATTGTGATATAAATATTTAGGGGAGGTACATAAGATCAATTATGCAAAAATGTATGAATAAAAATGAATATTATTTGGACAGATTAATAATTTAAATAATAACGTTTTAGATTTGATAGATTATCAAAAAAGAAATCAAAGTTTGATGTATTACCTAATGTTAAAATTCTATTAAGTGGATTATTTTTACCATAGTTTGTGCGGTGTAATTTAATATGGAAAGTAAAGCATGACCGTGTATTATATTGGGGTACGTGAAATGATACACGATCTAGGAGAGGAGGGCAGGAGATGGTACCATTAATTAGTTTAAATAAGAAAGATGTGTCTAACATATTACGACGGGCTAAAAGAGAATCAAATTTTAGGTTAAATTGTAAACTTTGTACTGAAGTATCATCAATATAATATGATTTGAGGGGGCTGCTCTTCTCAGGGGAGCCATTCCCTCCGGCCAGTGAGCGGCTAACTTCACTGGTTGCGTAGCCGTTTATCTCCGTTCACACCCAAACGCTACCGCTTATTCGTCCATATAGGCTTATTTCACGGCTATTCTGTATATCTACAGGATTAACAAGAGTCTGGGCGGCTCGCTGTCCACGACCGCTTATTCATCAGTCCAAATGAATGGACCGTTTATTTCGCGGCTAACCTGCATATCTGCAGGCCGTTCCTCTATCCGCAAACTGAAGACGCGCCCGATTCCCCGAGCTAGGGACACTGCGCTCGTGCCGACATTTCGTAGCCCTGTAGAGCCCAAACACACCGACACAGTAGCACAGCGAAACGAGCTATATTACCCTCCTAGTGTGGAATAAAATTTGGCCATTTTTAGAAAAATTCTACAAGGATTGTCTATTACCAGAGATAATTGACTCTCGTTTTAACAAAGGACTTCCTATAAGAACAGGCTTGTAAAATTTAAATATTATACTATTTAACTAATGTAATTTTGTAAAATGAATTCTTATAGTTCAAATTAGTTTTTAATACGCTTATATTAGTTTCACCTGTATTTATGTATGTATGTATGTATGTTTGTAACTCTCCAAGCGCCACGCGTTATCGCATATCCCGTCGTCTATGGCCTTGAGACTAGACTGTCATAACGCATTCACCCCACCCCACGCCTTGCTCACCACACGACGGCAACACTATTCCTGTATAAATTTATTTTTGGTTATCGTACCCGTACACGCGTGCTTGTCATCAATATTATATATATATATAAATAAATTTTTATTTTGACTGATCAATACCATCCGCGTGCCATACGGCTTACGTATATATTCCTACCGCCGTTTATACCTCAAGTATAACGTTAGTAACAAAACACGGCTATACCTAGTGCATGATACGTTTACGTACTTAAGTCGCTTTATGCGTATATATATATATATATATTCTAATTACTATTAAAATTTATATATTAACACGCTTTATTCTAATTAAGAAATATAAAGTATTCATTCCGATTACGAAGGATGATTTCCGTATCGTCATTTTTCGTCACTACCTCCACGTTCAGGGAGTGAGTAATTTGCGCACCTGCTGCTTTCCTTGGATGTGGTAACCGTTTCTCTGATTCTCTCTCTGGAATCGAACTCTGATTTCCCGTTACCCGTAACAACCAAGATATTGATAGTAACTACTATCATAACATGAAACTAAAAAGTGAAAAATAAATATAGTTTAAAAAAACTAAAAAAACACGCTTTTAAAGCACATCGAACTAAAAAGTTAAAAATAATTTTTAAAATAGCTTAAAATAGTTATGAACAAAAAATACTAGTATTATTGTGATAAAAGCGTCGGGCGCTCAATATACGAAAAATATGGCACAAAGCACCCATGCTTTTATCACAATAATACTAGTATTTTTTGTTCATAATTATTTTAAAAATTATTTTTAACTTNTACATAATTATTTTAAAAATTATTTTTAACTTTTTAGTTCAATGTGCTTTAAAAGCGTGTTTTTTTAGTTTTTTTAAACTATATTTTTTATAATTTTATAACTTCAAAATATCGATGTTTATGTTATATGATTTTACGTATTTTTTGTAAATATTTAGTTTTTCTTAATCGTCGAAAATAAATAATTTAATTATTTTTATAGTCTATTAAAATTTGTGAAATCATGTGCGTTTATAAGTATTTACAGTGACGCTCGTGGTAATCTATGGTTTTTATACTACATAAAATAATCGTGCGTCGTTTTTAATATAATCTTATTGCATCAAAAAATATGGCAGGTACACAACCGATTTTGTTATCGATTATACAAGACCAAAATACTTCCAATAATGGACACTCACACTAATAATCATTTACTTCTCACACGACGACAATGCGTAACATTAATAATCGCAAAATTGCCTATATTCGACCCCTGAAAAAAAGTCGATACCCAGACGCCCTAAGAAGTTGGTTTATTATTCCAAAAACAAAATTAACACCCATTTATTAATCAACTTTGACTGTAATTTGCATATAGAAGATAGTGTTGTGAACTGGCTTTTTACTGCCTAATTGTAATTATGTAATTTAATAGTATATATATAATAATCATGGGAACGGAAGCCTCTTTTGTCTTGTATAAAGTATTTACCAGGCAAGCATCTAGTCCTTCTAGAACATTCGATGCTTGCTCAGCCTTTTTCAATGTATTGGGCCTACGGTCACAATAATAGGTCGTTGGGACAAACATTTTTTTTTTAACTTATAGTACGTAACAGCTTTAATAAAAGCTTATGTTTTATTAAATACATAATTATTAGAGATCTTTAATACAACAGTATTCATATCTGTGACGAAAGATAACATTGTTTATTAGAGTAAATTATAGATAAGAGATAAGATTCTCTATACTACACGTGCTCAGTGCAATCTATCGAAATTAAAATATCTCTTAGTACTTTTATTATAATAATTTTAATTATTCATTAAGTTTATTTGTCAATTATCTGTAGTGTATAAACATTTAAAGTAAATTTATTGTCAAAAAAATGGATACTGAAGAACGAGATCTTAAAATGGCTAACCCAGCATGGGCTGATGCAATGAATAAAATTTTAAAAACAAAAAAACGATGTAAAAAATCATTAGTGCTATCCAAAGCAAAGTTAATTTCTAATCACCATGTCAGCAAAATTAAAGAAGAAGTTGACAACACAGATGCTTTTGAAGTCGTTAATGAAGAAGGTGAGAAAATTGTCCAATCCTTTGATTCAGAAGATATTAAAGAAGAAAAGCCAGACTTAGATAACTTGGAACCTAGAATACCAAAACGAATTCGGGTATGTATATCAAAATAATACTGTAATTCTACTTTAACGTTATTTGGGTCATTATCTTATATTAGAAAATTATTATTTCATATGAATTTAGGCATTAGTGCTAAAAAACGTTCAGCAATTTTCTGAAAAAAAAAATTAATTCTTTTGTATTTTATTGAAGCTTTCTTGTATTATTTATATTATATAAATATATTATAATATCCAAATATTAAATTAAAAATGAAGATTTATGTAGCTAAATATTTAATATTTGAAACAGACACTATAAGCTTATGTAAAAAAATCTTCAATGGATTACTTTTGTTTTAAATACTACGTTCAGGTATTCTTCTAGATAATACCATTCAAATTCTTAATTTATAATGTCTTATTGAAAACTAAAAACTTATTTTAATTTTTGATTTTTAATCTTTATTTTATTTTTAGATTAAAGAACAGGTATTGATGGGAAGAATGAAACCATCTGTTACTGATAGAGTAAAAGAAAAAAATTTATCAAAAATTGCTACTAAGTAAGGAAAATATTCTTTAAAAACATTTTATTATATTTTTTATTATTCTTGATGAGTAAAATAATTAATTATAAATTAACTTCGTTAATGTTTAATGCAAACAATTTTTGGGGTTTCTATAATTTTTTCCAATAACTACAGGAATAATGTTATAAAGTTAATCACATAATTATTAATATAAAACAGATTTCAATTATAATATATATAATTATAATATCAATTATAATATGGATATATATATATATATATATATATATATATCCATGATTACATTGTTGGTTTATCAGAATGTATAGTTTTGTATATTTTGTCATTACTGCGCCTAAACCCATGTTTTAATAGTGTTAGACAAAGAAACATTTTTTAATTTTTTAAATAAAATTAAGATTTATCTGTTAAATCTTAGTTAAAACCGTTATGTAGAAGGCAGTTAAGACTAAGACTTTTTTTGGTTCTTATAAGCAATAAAAAAAAATTTCTAATGAAATTTCAAGAGTAAGTAGTCTTATAACCAAAAGTTAAATCAAGAATAAAATTAAGTTTTTAAGTTTGTAAAAATGAATAGCTTTTAATTTACTAATCAAATTATTTTTTTTGTTTCATAAAAATATCAAAACTCTTTCACTAAATTATATTGTTGCCATAATTAATTTAATGTAAATTTTAATATTATTTTACAGAGGCGTTGTTCAATTGTTTAATATGGTGAAGCAACAACAAAGAACTGTAGAAAAATCATTAAAAAATATTGGGTCATCTATCATAAAACAGGATAAAGTATTAGAATCATTTGATAAAAAAAAAGTTGTTGAATCATTTGATCAAAAAGAAGTGAGCAATATTTTTATATTATGTTATTAATCATATAAGAGACTTGGAATCTGGGATTGTTTATGGCCATTTAGTAGCTTAATAGGAAAGCTCTCATCTGGAAAGCATGAGACCTGCATTCAATTCTCGATTAGCTAGCTTTTTTTTTCCTCAGTTTTCAAGTTTCTTACAATTATAAGCAAATTTAGATTTATTTTGAGTATAACAAATAGAAATTGAAAATATTATTTTTTCAAAAATAAATAGAAACATTATAATGATTATAATTATTTTATTGTGGTTTTAATTTAAGTAGTGTTATAGATAAAAAAAAAACATGATTTTTTATCGAGTTATCCCATCACGTCCATAAACAAGAAAATTCTATTCCAATTCTCATCAAGAATATTCTTTACACAAGCGGCTATCCTATTCCACATAACATTTATATATCTCTCTACATTTCAAACCATTTTTTCTTTCAATTTCTTTTACTTATTCTCTTTTAATTTCCACTGTCTAATACTCAACTATCAGTGTTCTTTTTTTTTTTTTGGGATATGGTTCTTAAAACTAATGTTGATAATTGAAAAATTATCACTATTAAAATATTTTTTTTTTTTAGGAAGCTGGATGGGATGTATTAAGAGATGATTTCATGGGAGGAACTAAAATTAAAAATTGGGATAAAAAAAATGAAAATGACTGTGATCAAGATCTTAATTATTAAGTATGATAATATTTTCATAAATTTTATCTTTGTTTATATTTTAATTAAATGGTTAAAATTATTTTGTATTATATCTTGTTTTGTAATTTCATCCTATTTTTTTATTGAATTTACTTGATCATTTTTATTTTATTCTTGGTTTGTTTATTATCTGATGTCTCGGATTGATTTCAATAATATTCAATTATTTGTCATTTTTAATTAAAATTATTTATTTATTTTTATCCATAAACATTTATAACAAATAAATTATTTTACTTATAGTGATTTCTTTTTTAAACAAACTTCTAATATTCACTTTAAAAACCCAATAGGTAAAATTCAAAAGAAATGCATTTTTTATTTATTATTTAATTATTATAATTTTCAACATTTTATAAACAAAAATTATCTCGAATATTAAAACATTGACTACCATGAGGGTCGTTTCAGCTCCTTAGTAGAAATTTTAAGTGAGCCATGAGGGGTTATTTAGTCCTTCACTATTATGTTATCTTTGAAAACTCGTGGGGTCAAATAGCCCCTTCAGTTACTGTTTAAATACCGTATCATTTGATTTTCTGTTATCAGTTTATTAAAATGCTTCAATCAGCATTTAAATATTTACATATAGGTGACACACCAAAACAGGCATGGCAGTCAACGTGTTAATAGTTATTTGAAATATTTTTACCATCTCATTACTTAATCTATTCATCTGCAACTGTCTAAAATTATCAATATGTATTTTAATTATAGTAAAACAAACTAAGCATAATGAAAGAAAAATATGAAGTTTTAAATAAGACATCTATTTGTGTACATGAATCATAATTTTAAATAGTATTTCAATATTTTTTTTAAAAGTAAATTTAACATTCCTTAAGGCATACTTATTTGATTATAATTAAAAATTTCTAGTATAATTTTTTTGGGGGGGAGACATTTTTAACAGAGAGTTAGTCATCTAGATCATTTATAAATAATTTGTAAGAATAATTAATTTAAAATTAAAAATAGATAAAAAAATGTTAATTGTAAGTAAATTAATACTTTTAAGTTCATTAGCTTTTAACATTTATTTAATATCTTATAGATACTTCAATAGAACATATTATTTTATTATAATTTATTAACATAATACAAAATGTGTTTTTGCTTGAATGTTTTAATGCGGTAAATAATCTAATGATAAAATTATAATAAAAAATTAACACAATTCATCAGGTCACTTCAATATTATTGGTAGCTACTCTTCTTCTGTTTTTGACATTTTGTTTATCATTTCTTTGATCATATTTTCATCAATAAGGCCAATAAACTTTTCAATAACATGACCATTGCGTATAGCTAAAACAGCTGGAACTGCTTTCACTTCAAATGTATGAACTAAATCAGCATTTTTTTCGACATCAACTATTGCCAAATTAACTGATGTTGAATCTCCAATAAATTTGTTTAACATAGGTGTTAAAGTTGAACAAGGTTCACACCATTCAGCATGAAAATTCACAATCACAGGAATATTGCTTTTTAACACATTTTGTATGAAGTCTTCACTTCCATTAACTACGAATGATTTACGACTAGAATAATCTACCGAAATAGAACGTTTGGCCAATCGATAGACTTTTTTAAAATAATTAAAGCGATTGTGTGACATTACAAGTATTTTCTTTTTCTATAATATCCAAGATTTAATTTGTGGTACAATATTTTGACTCATGACATAAGCAGAAAATAATGCAATCAATCCTATAATTGAACTTATAGACAGTACACATAAAGTAGTTAAACGCCAAACAAAAAGTGTGTCAACAAGCTAAAAAAATAAAATTTAAAAGTTAACTTACAATAGATTTTGCCTAGACATCAAAAAGAAAAATTTCATTTAATTCTTAAACATTATTCTAGCAATCCACAAAATTTTTTATTTATTTAAATATTTATTATGACTATAAACTAATAAATACTAATATAAATTTTCTTAAAACTTTATTTAATTTAATTTTATCTATTAATGAATTTTACTTGCCTTATTGAGAGGTTTTTTGACTTCAGTTGTGCTGCGGGGTATGGAAAGCAAAATAATAGTAATAATTAATGTTAAAACAAAAATAATTGGCCCAATACTATGTCGAGTTCTTAGTGATAAAAGACATAAAATTAATGATGAAGACCAAAGACCTATAAGGATCACAGCTCCAACACCAATTATTGATTCATACATAGTATGTCCACCTATAAAATAACAATTAGGTGTAAGAGTAACAAATACAAATTTTATATTAAGTATCATACTAACCATAATTCTTTATAAATTGTTTTGTATATTTATAATAAAAATAATTCTCTAAAATCTATGCTCAGATTTAACTTTGCTAATAATATCTTAGAGTCAAAAATTTAAGTTTTGCTAATATTTTATTGACAATTTAGAAAAAATATAGTAAGCTAGCCTAGTTTTTATATGTTGTTATTTTTACAGATAACATGTCAATTTAATTAAAGAATGAATAATAAAGAAATATTACCCTAAATTATTACCTAATTATACGATTCGTTAGTTATAAATTATGCAGACTATTAGTCTGTAATATAGAGAATTATTTGGTCATCTTATATATTAAAGTTATTTATCTTACCAAAGTGAAAATAGTATTTTCAATCATTATATATTTCTTAATAAATTTAATACTGTTTTAAAATGCATTGACACTATTATCAAACACAAATTTAAAGTTACGATCATAGATAAAAAATTCTATATTATCTATGGTTACATACAACATTATTTACTCCTTTGATCATATAAAATTTTAGCCAGAAACATGATTATAAATAAACAATCTATAATCATTGAATAGAGATACTACTATCTATACTCGATGTTACAACCTAAGATAAAAAGATATAATGATGATCATATGGTGATATATGTGATATAATCGTTGACCTCAAATAAAGTGATTATTTTAAAAATGTGACACGAGGTATTATACAAAATTCCTCAATAGCGTTCATTATACAGCTTGATGATTGAATAATTAAAATTAAGTCATGTAAATTACATAAATTTAATTGTATTCGATTAAGCAATACGTTTTAAATACGTAAAGACAAATAAAATATTTGTGAATTTTTATATACATAGTGATTTAAAGTTTAAATGTGCTCTTAAAAATTAAAAGTCCTTACTTTATTTTAGCGATTATGGGATATTGAAATTATTTAGTGAGTTAGGTATCCAAAATAATAACACGCTAGAATGAGTCGTTTAAATGAAAACTTAAAACCATGGCAACAAAGGTAACTACAAGAAAAAAATTGTTTAGATTTTAATGGAACTCTCAGAGTTCTACCATTAGTAAACTAAGTTATCCTTTCATACTAATTACACTTTATTAAGTTAATTTTAATAACTTGAGTATAATTATTAGATATAAAAGAACTATAGTTAATTATTTTTGGGGACTTAATAATTAAGGGGTTCTTTCTTAGAAACTTCATCATTCTATGTGTAAAAAAAAATGCATTATTATATTTTATACATTTTAGACAATAATAGACATAGTAACTATATATGAGATATATCCCAGTTTACAAAATGCACTCATTAATAACTTTATAAAATATATTTTTACATGAAAGAGCATTGGTTATCAAAGATGTAGCAGAATCATTTTTATATTAGGTGGAGTTCCTTTCATCAACACTGAACATTTAATTTGGCTAACTCGGGTAAACAAGTTATCTCCTTGCCTCTCTTTAAAGACTTTTGAATGGTTTTTAAACTTTCTTTTAATAAAGTTTGGTAATGTTCTGTGTTCCAAATACTAATATATTTAGGTAGGATGTAAGGAGATAATCACCTCAAGGTGTAAAAATGTTCATACCCAAGTCCCAAATTTTTAAATATTTTCCTAATGCTAAATTAAAACTTTTTAACATTACTATAAAATAATAAACTTGCAATATTTATGTTCAAATTTATCTTTATTACTTAATTGTTATAATACTGTTAAATGTTATAATACTTAATTGTATTAATTATATAGTTTCTTATTAGGTATACAATTGTTGTACTATCAGGCAATATTTTCAATTATAATAAGTACTAATTTAGTTTTAGTTACAATGAAATATTTATATTTTTGATAGTGTTTGGCTTAATCAAACTAATAAAGAAACTAGAAAAAGATCAATAACATCTAATGAAAATTTTCAGTGTTATAAAAAAAGTAAGTTTTATTATAATTAAATGTGATTATAAACAAAATTTCTAAAGTTTCATTTCATTTTAGAAAAGTATGAATCTAAAGTCACTCCAAATAATCCAGAAAGCTTAGCAGTGATGATAAGTTTAGAAATAAAAAATGCCCTTTATAATTCAAAATTAAAGCATGTGACTATAGATGATGTACAACCTTATGGTTCTAGAGTTTCCGGACTTTATATTGATGATAGTGATGTTGACATCCATATCAACTGCTGTAAGTTAATGATATTTTAAATAAAAATATTTTCTTGGATATATTCATAATAATGAAAACATTTTTATCTTTAAATTTCTTTTGAAGTCTTAAATTTGATAGTTGTAGACTATAGTGGTATTGCTGAGTAAGAATTTTGTTTGTGGTTATAATTCTTTTCTTATTTTTGATTTATAATTTTTCTTAGATAGCTTAATATCCTCATTGTCAATTCTTAGTTTTTAAGAGCCACTAATTCTCAATTTTATTTCTTAGTCTTATTGTTTATTCGTTAAGAATAGATATAAAAGTAAATAATTTGGATGAATTAATATAATCTAAATTTTTTTTCAGATGTATTTAGTTATTTGGCACCTAACAACAAAATTAATTTTTCTGTCATCTTTATATTTTTTTTTAAGTGGAGAGCATATAAAAGTAAAAGTTAAACCCTCTTAAAATAAAGTTGTTAAGCTTTCAACATACCCCTAAGTACACAACTAAGTGAACCAATATGTAATCCTATATATGTACCACTATTATAAAAAAAAATTATATTTAATCAAGTAATAACATTTAAATAGAATTCTGAGATTTCTTTATTATAATAAGCAAGTATCAGGATAATAATAAAAATAAAAATCCTGATAGACTATCTACATTTTTTACTCATCCTAAGCAACAAACATATTTAAGTAAATTCATTATATTCTATTATAGCGTCAATTTAAATCAGAATTGGGAAAATATGATTTTATTTTTTTGTCTAACACCAAGTATTTTCACTCAATTTTTTGGTATGTCTTAAAATTTCAAATTATACTTTATTAAAGATTGCTCTAAAAATTTAGAAAAATATGTCTTTGTTCTCTATAAATAGATGGTAATCTATTTAAAAAATAGAGCCCTCAAATTTCTTCTAAGTTATCTAATTAACTACCATTAAATCATATATATGAAATAGTAAAGCACTCAATTTTTTTAAATTATTAACTTTCTATGCGAAGCTGAGAAGGTATTGGTTTTACTATAATGTGTTTTTTTTTTTGTCTGTTACCACTTTTTCTCAGCTTTCACTGAACCGATTTCTTTTAATGATACGTCAAAAGATCACAAATCGTATCTAGTCGAAGACATTACCCTCAAAAATTGAAAAAAATTCCCTCGTTCCCCGTAAATAGGGGAAACCTCCAAAAAAATTACAAATTTAAAAATTGCTAATTTTCAAAAAATTTTCAATTCTTTTTTACTTAAAATTGCCATAACTTTTTTGAAAATTACCAAGTCAATATAATTTTTTTTGTATAGATGCATGATATCATTAACTTTCATTTGGTATATTTTTTTTATAAATCTGACCCTTTACCTGCCTACAGGGGGGGATTCAAAATAACAACTTTTTCACAAAAAATTAACTTTTTCAACTTAATTTTTGAAAGTGTTCCGGATATACTGACACTTTTATATATATCTTAAATTAAAGCTAATGTAATGTACTTTATTATGGAAAAAAAAATGTCAGACTTTATTTTGTCTTCACGGTGAAAATGGCTACCAAATGCTATGTTTGTATGAAAATTCTCAATTTTATTTTTTATATTTTTAACTTTATAATGCTATAACTTATTGAAAAGTGTAAGGATCAACACAATTTTTTTATGAGAAATAATATTTTGAATAATCCCTTTTTTATTCGACATACTTTATCTTCATCAGGATATTAATAAGGAACTGGCAGATCATGTAGCTTTTGGAATAATCCACCAAATTTTTAAAATTAAACACTATCTAAAGATTTGCATCAAAGCGTTTTTTTTATAGTGATTTTAATCACTGTCAGATATCATTATACTTGATCCAACTATGCTACATCACCACTGTGCCGCGACCCCCCTGTGCTGGGTTTTTTTTAATTTGTGAATAATGATATGATTATGAATTTATCTCCTTATATTCTATGTTATAGCTATATAAAGCTTTTTTTTTTTCATGTAATTAATAATGACTATTATATCTTTTTTTCAGCATCTAATCTTTCACCTAGAGAAATGATTCAATCAATAGCTAATGTTCTCCGAAATGACAAAAAATTTTATAAAGTTTTTGCTTTATATTACACAAAAGTTCCACTTATTAAATGTATTCATAAACATAGTGGGGTTGATTGTGATTTGTCATTCAATAATATGTATGCTATATATAACACATATCTTCTCAAGCACTATTTAACTCTTAATCAATGCATAAAATCAGTATTAATTGAACTTAAGTTATGGGCCAAAAAATATGGTTTAATTAACACTAATGGTTTTTCAAGTTATTCCTTTTACTGGCTTGGTTTGTTTTTTATGCAAGTCAATGGCATCATACCAACTGTTTGTGAATTACAGAATTCTACTTCCGAGTTTAAAGTGGGATATTGGAATTGTGCATTTTCCAAAGAAAAACAAGAAGATACTAAAATCAATAAAATTAGTGTTTTTAATATTTTAGATCAGATGTATACATACTATTCAAATTTAGATTATGAAACATATGTAATTTGTCCATATTTAGGTCGTTTATTATTTATAAGTGATTTTAAAAATATTGAAAATCTACCAAATGAGTTATCAAAGTATAAACAGTTTTATGAAGACAACAAAAAAGAACAGAAATTATTGTTTTTAGGAAGTAGTAAGTTTAATATGTATGTTCAAGATCCTTTTCAACATAATTATAACATTTGTGCTAGAGTAACTCCTAAAATATTTTATAAATTTATTGATGCTTGTAAAAAAACAAAGTCAAATTTGATTAATGAAAAATTAAATAAAAATATTGAAATTTTTGATACAAAAATTACTAAAACTACTTCAACATTTGTAAAAAAAGAAAAAAATTATGTCATTGACTCTAAATAAATTACTTTTTAAACATAATTTATTGTATAATTGAATTAGTATATCTAAATGTTGTATTTATATAACCTACTATCAGTTTTAACACTCTTTAATTTTTGGAATAAGATTAATTAAAAGATAACAAGAAAAATAAATTAAAGAGTTATGGGCCATATTTTTACTTTAATTAAAAATGATTAAAAATAAAACTTACTATTTGTTCTATAACTTAATGATAATACAATAATAGAATTAATTTCTTTTTGAGAAAATCAATAAAAATATATTATTGAATTTAGGTAACCTCTTAAAATACTTAGAAAAAGTACACTTTGAAGAAAAAGTCTGACGTAATTATAATCAAATATTTTAAGCCCTTAACCCAAAGTTTTATTAAGTGTTCTCCTACTAAGATATGGAATATGTGTATTTTACAATTTATAATCTTATTTTTCATGAAGTATTTCAAGATATAAAGAAATACAAGAAAAAAAGTTCAAGCTGATAATCAACAATTTTTTTAGATTAAAAAACTAATAGTACTTAAAAATATATTTTTTTATTGTTTTAAATTATTTTTTTCAGTTTTTTCACATTCATGCTCTACTATTTTAATATGCTCTGATAGTTTTTTTTCTATATAATTTTTTAAAAAGTATTCTACAGCATAACCAACTCCATGAGGTTGTGTACCAAAAAAATCTGTTATACCATCAATCTCATATTTAGTCCTAAAAAATATAAAATTATAAGGTTGATAATTTTTAATTAAATTTAACTAAATAACCATTTTGGATTTGGTGTCATTGATAGCGTAATTATATTGGATAAGGTTGCAATATCTGACCAACTTAAATTTCTTGTTCTAGCCCAAAACTTTTGACCTTTTTCGTCATACCAGCATTCTTCCTCAATAATGAATTCCGGTACATGTAATGAATTATCTCTACGTAAAACTTGAGGAATTATATTATTACATACAAGTCTATGTTTTGTATATTCAAATCCATGCTCATCTGAAAAAATTAATTTAATAAATAAAACAATGTAAAAACCTCGTAACAAGAAAAAATGAATAGGAAAATTATCTTAAAAATTAAATATATCATGGACATTTTTATGATCTCTATAACTAGTGGCGTAAACTGAACAGATAATTTCACACAAGATTTTTTACTGTTGACCCATTTTATTAATTTATACTATTTATTCAATTTATTATTTTATTACTAAATTTTCAAATAATTATCATGTAAAAATACATAAATTTCTAGACTATTAAAAATCAAGCCAAATGCTATCCCTAAATAAAGTTCTTGCCTTCAAAATATTTTAAAATAGATTAGGATCATCAAAAAGATATAATTATATATCAGTTTTATAATGATCATAATTTAATAATGAATATAAATAAGTGTACCTATGTGTTCATCAATAAGTTCTGAAATTTTTACAACTTCATCTTTTGTTCTTATTTGGTTGTAATGCATTTTAACAGTTTGAAATGGTTGCTGAAAGACATGTATTAAAGAAATTGTAAGAACCATTTTTTTGTTAATGCATATAATTTTTCATTTTTGGTTTTCTAAATTGACAATAATTTTACAAAATAATAATTTAATGGGATCATAACAGAGAAGATGAACATGAAAAATATAAAATTAACACAGTGTAACTTAATTTACAATTTTATTAATATTATAAAAAACACCATTGAAGTATTTCAAGGTACGTCATATTCAGCTTAACTAGTGTAGATAACTTATTGGTCCTTGACCATTCACAGATTAAATAAAACAAGTATTTTAATTCGTATAATCGAGTAGCGCATATATAATAGTGATAGTAGTAGCAGTGAATCTGTAGCGCAGGCAGAGAATGTAATAAAAATATAAGCCAGTACGAACTGTACCTCATATGCTTATAATTTAATAAATACATGACGCATAATATTTTCGGGATTAAAAGTTGTTAAAGATGTCAAAACCTGGCAGAGCACCAGTATATTTGTTCTATATATTGTTGTTATTATAGGTAATTTGAGATCTCAAAATTATATTTAGATGTTACGTACATTTAATAAATAAACGATACATCAATTTATAAGACTTGGTCTGGATTCAGAGAGGGCAAGGGGGTGAACATCTAGGGACCCATGAACTTAAAAGGCACCTCAAAAATGTTACTAGCCTTACATAATTAGTAACATACTGTTTTTCTGATTTTTTTCTTGAAATAGTCAGAAAATTAATTAAAAAACAAGGTAGTAAGTATTATATATCAATTTATTATAAATTATTTATCATTATATATATATTATATATATAATTAATCAAAACGTAATCATTATCGCGGCACTAAGATTATTGTAGTATTATGATATTAATACAATAAACCAATAACTTTAATAGTGATACAAATTAATCAAATATGTTTAATGATTAATTATAAGTAAGATTTTTATTGACCAATTTTAGAAGTGTATAATACTTTTGAATGGTAACAAATATATAAAATTAATAAATGAAATAAAAAATTTAATTTTTAAAAAATCAGAACGAGGGAAGTTTTATTTTAGCTAGAATATATTTTTTTTATGTGAAAAATTAAATGCGGCAAGTCAGACGCGCTCTTGACATGGCGAATTCTCACTCGGCTTGGCATTTTCTTTACTCTCTCTCACTATGCAAAATACTTTTACTTACGAGGTATGTTCAGAAAACTACGGGAATTTTTGTTTTTTTAATAAAATATTTATTTATTCGTCTACATTAAAGTCGCCTTAAAAAAAGTCCCCATTAGATATTATGCACTTGTGCTAATGCTTCTTCCAATCCTCGAAACACTTCTCAAATTCAATCTTTGCAATAGCCTTTAGCTCGTTTAGTGATGTGCTTTTAATGTCATCTATGCTTGTAAAATGAGGTCCGTTAAGATTCTCTTTATTTTTGGAAAATGTAAAAAGTCACACAGAGCCATGTCTGGCATTTATGGAGGCTGGGTCATCGTTACAGTATTGTTTTTGACCAAAAATTCATAATTCAAAAAATTCAAAATCGATTTCTTCGATTTAAATTTTTTAAGTGAAACCACACGTTTTATCGCACTTATTGATCATTTTTCGGTCTTGGCGATTCAGAATACCTCCAATGGGACGATTGAGCCCTAGTTTCGACGTCGTATCCATAAACTCATGTTTCGTCACCTGTTCTAACACGTTTCAGTAATTTTAAATCATCGTTGACTTCGTTTAAGTGATTCCTGAGCATCATGATTAATTATTAGAATGATCTGAAATTTGGCATACTTATATTAAGTCTTTGAAGTCAATTATTATAGTTTTGTACTGGCTGATGTATTCGGATTAACTGAACAAAATGTATAAATACATATATCTCACAACCTTACTTAAATGAAATTTAATTTAAGATTTTTAAACATTTTAGGGAGAGGGAGCAATTTTTGTTTATATAAGTAAGAATTTGGTCAGTTATATTAAAAAAATTGAGACCTAGTTCAAATATTACATAATTTCAGCATACAGAAGTTATTTTTAAAAACGGTAAGTTATTTGTTACTTAAGTTACTCCACTCACTCAGTCACTCCGACTAGAGAAGATAGGATAAGGAAAGAATATATAAGAAGGAGTATAGGTGTAGCGTCAATCGTAGTTAAAATGAGAGATTATTGACTTGGATGGTTTGGTCATGTTATGAGGAAAAATAAATCAGAAGCTGTAAGGAGTTATAGAAATGAATGTTGAAGAAAGAAGAGGTAGAGGAAGACCAAAAAAGTGATGGATGGATATAATTGAATGCAATATGAGGACGATTGACGTGAGCGTAGTTGATGTCGGAGATCGTATTAAGTGGAAGTTTAAGATAAGGGTGGCCGGCCCCAAGTAGTTGGGATTAAGGCGTGGAAAAAGAAGGAGGAGAGAAATAGTCCATAATGGTCTAAAATCAAAATTAGCTTATATAAACCTTAATTTTCAAAAATAATTTTTTTTGCTCTTATATATAAGAAACTAAGATTAATTACAGAGTTTTAAGATCACAAATTGACAATTTACTGTGCAAAGCGGTTTATATGAAAAAATAAATTAAAATTATTTTAGGAGCTATTTTTAGTGTATCTTTACATACATTTTTTAAACACAATCAAAACACTAATATTTATTATTTTATATATTAAAAATATATATTGTTTAGTTCACCTATAGTATTAATTTAAATACTGCATCTTCATTTATATATATATGTATAGATCATCCTTGTAAGATGATATATAGTAAAAAAATTTAATTGTAAATTCCCAAGGAAAAAATTCTGAATGTCACAATAAGTATTGAAAAAATATTCATTTTAATTGAAATAATAAACAATTTCTGTGATGACTCCTAAGTAATTTAAAAATCAATTAACGAGTAGGATAAGTGGTGTGACAAGTCATCATTAAAAATAACGGCGACATGGGAGTCATTAGACCTAATGTCACTATTATTCAAAAATCTTTTATTTCATCTAAAAATTATTTCACGGCTACAATGGCGTACAAAATAAATATTGTAGTCATAGTTTCAAATTATTCACACAAATTATACTTTGAACAATTAATCGATATTTAGATAAAATAATTGAATTAATATCGATAGTTTATCTTATGTGATGTGATAGTAACTATTTCTAGGTTTTAGATATTTTATTGTGTTGTAGTTTGTTGTTAACATAGTATTTGAACACAAGGATGGGACATTACATATTGAGGTCATAGTGTTATTACTGCCCTAAATTGATTGTAAATTGAGGCTGTTTGCTTTAATTTTTAATGTGATGAACACAAAAAAATTAGTCTTAGCTCATTAGTCTTATAATTAATTATATACAATATATATATAACACTATTATTGTAACAGTTAAACTTCAACATTCGTCAATAATTATTCATAGGTACACAAATTATTTTAATATGTTATTATTTCATTGATCTATTCTTTACTGATAAAGTGATATATCCTAACTATGTTTATAGAATCTTCGGCTGTTGATAACCGTTAAAGATACCATAGCACACTAACCACATTTGGTATAAACATAATTGATATCTTTTATCATTAAACAAATTTTATTTCCGTTTGTTTTTCGTCTTGTTTTGTGTTCTTGTTACATGTCATAATTTTTCTAAAATATATTCAAAAGTTTTCGATGAGATTAATTTGATATTGTATTATGTTTTTCTATTAACAAACTTGTAAAATAAGTTATATTTTTTTATCGTACGCATAATTTATCAAAAATTTCGTTGTAATTTTGATTTTATTATAAATTAGCAGTTTTTGTTTCAAAACTATTTTGACATTGGTTTTTAAAATATCATAAATTTATGATTTAACATTCCGTATATTTTTGTTCTTATATATATATAAGTTATAATATATATATATATATATTCATATTAATTTACAAATGCCAAAGAAATGAAAATTATTTTACAACCATTAAAATCAATAAGCGCTTTTTATAAAATTTAATAATTATTTTTGTGGATGCTACTGTTCTTTTGTTTTCTTGAAATGTCTTCTATTGTAAGGTAAAATTAAATTTTTTATCAAAATGAAAATCAATATTCTATATTCTATATTAATCTTTTTCCTAATAAAAAGTATATTGTTGCCAAATTTGTTTTATTTTTAAGATTTGATTAACGATATGTTTTTAAATATTGTTAATATTAAATAACAATAATAAATTTTGCAATTTATTTTCAGTAATGAATCAATTGACAATGTAAGTAGAATAACAAATTTAAATAACAAATTAGAAGAAAATGGATCAGATGAAGTCACATGTAAGAACTTACAAGAATCAACAAGTAAATCTTTGAGTGCTCAAGTTGAAAAGAAAAAAAAAAACTCTGAGATATCTGCATCATCTACAAGTAGTTCATGCGATTCTAGTAGCTCAGAATCTGATTCTGATAACAGCTCTGGTAACTAATTTTATTTTTTTATTACTTGATCAATAATTCTGTACTTAAATATCCTTATAAAATATTTTGACAAACTTAGGTATACTAGAAAAATTAAGTAAATTAAAAAAAAAAAATTCAAGCATTTTATGATTACATGTGTAGTGAAACAGTTAGATAAATTATTTTATGTTTACAAAAAACTATGTCCCATATTTTTGCTCACATTAGTATAAATAATGGAGAGTTATAATTATAAAACATTTTGGGATAACTTTGATGGTACATGTTGTACATATAGAGTCTAGAACATTGTTTTTAAAATTTTATTGATTTAAGCCACCCTAAAAATAAAAAAAAATTGTACAGCTCCTTGTATGAATGAACAAACTGCATTTTTTAGTATTTAAACACAATAAAAAATTATTAATATTATTTACTCCAGTGTTTTTTAATATTTCTATTATATAAAGTGGTATAGATCTATCTGACAACTTTTGATATTATTGACATTTCATTGTAATTTTTTTTTTTTTTAATAATTCATTAATTCTTAGCCTATGTTAAAATTATTATGAATCAATAATAACTTTTGGACAAGTATTTATTGAATTACAAGCATTTCAGTACATAATGTGGGGAGTATTTAACACAAAAGGAATATTTCATAATTTGCTGGCGTAAAAAAATTACATGTAATGTACCTGTTTAAGCAATCTATAAGTTTTATGATTTTATCAATTATGTGTAGACTACATATGATATGTCTATTTACCATATTCATAGATAAAGCTATTATTCAGAAGAAACTAAAATTCAAAAATTCATACAAAAACTTAAAGTTATATACTTAAATATTTAATCATTTAATATTCTATAATAAAAATTATTTTCAAAATATTAATTTGTTTAACTAAAAATTTGAATCTCTAGATTAATGTAAGAAACAAGATCATATGTGGATCAAAATACTAAATAACACAGAAACAAACTATTAGTTATATTAAATTTTTAAGTATAAACATGAACACTTGCTATAAAAATTATATTACCGTGTAATATTTTTATGCCGAGTATTTCTTCAAAAGCTTATAGTAAAAGAAAAAGTTAAATTATTGATTTTCTTTTTATTATTGATATGGACCTCATGATTATTATACAATTTTATAATAATCCTATGATGCTGAACTTGCAGGTACCATATATTGGAATTAAATAAATATAAGTGTATAACAAAAACACATATTTATTGAAAAATTGATACATATCATTTTAATACACATGTGGTTCTTATACTTATTCTTTTTAAAGTATATACAAAATTATAGGTTTAAAATCAAGTAAAAATAAACTGAAAATAAATATTGTGGATCATTAATTATAATTTACTATTGATCATGTATTTTAAGTCAGTTTGAAAATTGAACGCATGCACATATTAGTAAGTTTTATATTTTAATATCTTTGAATATTTAGCACTTGCAATGTATGATAATTAAATAAGCATAAATTATAGTAATATTCAAGGGCTATTTTGCAAAAAATAATTTTTATTGATTAGCAATGAAGAAAAAAATTTGATGGTTCATTAGCTTCTCTTCAATGAAAGATGTTTATGTTAGTAAAATTTTAATTTAAAAATATACATACATTTACAATAAACGGTCAATAATATTAACCGTGATTATAATAAGTGGCTACCACCATACTCTAATGACTACTTCCTACAAAATTATGCTGATTATACATTTAAAAAAGTTGTAAATATTAAATGATTGTATTAGTATACAATGGTCAACGTAATCATAGTGTTAGATCAATATATAAAAAAAAAATTTGTAAAAAATTTAATTTTTGAGGTTTTAGTTTAAATATAACATAATAAAAAATCTTTTTTAAAAATGAAGTTCTTTAGAGTTGAATAACGATTGAGAGCAAAAATAAGTATTATATTGTTTTTAATGTATGTGGTTACTGAAATATGTATATATAAATTCATATACTAAAATTTTTTATTTAATAAAGAAGTACTTTTTAAATATAATGAAAAGATAACATATTTTCTTAACATTTAGTTAAAATTGTCATAAAGTTAATATTTTTTATACAATTTTAGATTTGGATGAAGATGAAAATGAAAAAGAACAAAAAAGGTGTGATGAAAAAGTTAGAGAAATTGAAAATGGATTTTATCATTTGAAAGAAATGTACTTACAATTACTTATTTTTTTAATTATGTATATTGATTTAGATAAATTAATTTTTATATTTAGGTTGTATAAAGAAAGAATAAGAGAAGTAGAAGAAAAATTGGTTGAAGTGAGATTAGGAACAGCAAAAGAATATCGCATACCTTTACAAGAATTGCAAGAACAAATGAAGTCTAGGCTTGAAGTTGCTTCTGTACTTAGACAATTTAAAATAACTAATTTAAAACATAAATATGAAGCTGAAGAACAAGCAATAAGACAAAACTTTGAGGTAATATCATAATATAATATAATTTTAAATCTTTTATACATTTTTTTCAATTTTAATAGAAAAATTTATTTTCAAATCAAAACTAACAGTAAGGGTCAAGTATAACAATTATAATTAATAAAATTACTCAATTTTTTTTTTGTAGAATAATAAAGATCTATTGTACGATAGTATCAAAGCTGATTTAGAAGAAAAAATTCAGAGGTTAGAAGAAGCTCGCAATGAAGTTGATATTGATGCCTCATTATGGTTAGGTCGCAGCTTGACACGAAGTGGTCGTGGTCGTGGTCGTAGACCGTATGGACATTCACAACCAAAACGTAAACCAGTAATTATATCTGGACCATATATAGTTTATATGCTTAAAGAACATGAAATATTAGAAGATTGGACAACAATAAAAAAATTATTGTCATCATCACGACGTCGAGAAAATGCTGATCAACGTTATAGACCATATTAAATATACAAAATTTATTTGTTTAAAATGTTCCTCTGAATGTATTCCTAATTTAATACTTTGTTGATTGTTTAATACATAATTTATCTAGCAGTTTAATGATATGTGAATAATTTGTGTATTTCAAGATCAGTTTTTCAATTACATACCCCCCCAAAAAATCGTCTTTATTTAATTGTTTGTCATTTTCATTATTTGATACTTTACCCTTTTTTTATAATTAAAATACTATCTTTTTATATAACAAAATTGACAATCTTATAAAAATAACAATAGAAATTAGATATTTGTACATATTTTTTGTTATATTATGATATAAATATTTAACAAGTATTTAAAATTAACTCATCTAATAACAATTTTTTCCATTAAAATAATTAAGTATTTACTTATTAAAAAAAAAATTATTAATATTTAATCCTTATGAATAATTTTATGCTGGAAAAAAGTATTTTTATTTAATATTGGCAAGTCATCATAAATAATTTGCCTAGTTGATGGATATACTGGCATTCTTGGAGATAAATGTTGATGTTGTCTTGAATAAAGTCCTTGATTAAAGGGACTAGAATTACTAATTGGATACTTTGATTGTATTACTCTATCAAAAAAATTATTCAATTTGGAAGTTGTAAGAGAACTGTTTTCTAATAATTTTGGATCATGAGAATTCTAAAAAAAAAAAAAAATCATAGAATTAATGAAAGTAAACCAAAAATTATTAAAATATTAAAACATAAATGTATAGATAATGCTCATATAAAATACATGAATCTTGGATATTGACTTCTAGTCAGGCACCAGAACTGAAAAAATAATTTTTGTTTATTGATAGTTTTTAACTAAATAAAAAGTTTAATTGAAGTTCTAAAACTAATATTATTATATTTCTGGTTTTTGTAATCATTTTTTCTACAAATCCTAAACAAACTACGATATAGGTCAATTGACAAATTATATACAGTAGAAAATTCTAAAGAACAAAAACTATTTCAGTTCTAGTTCCTACTTCTAGGGAAAAAAAAATTATTATTTTACATCAATCATATCTTTTTGGTTTATATTAATTTCTTTTTCAAGCACAAATTTAAAATTTTTTTTCCATAAAGTTTTTTTATGGAATTACAGATAGCAAAAAAAAAAAAAATTGTCAAGATAGACTTGTTACCATTTTATCCTCACAACCATTATATTTACTAATTAAAAATAAAATACCAAAAGTATTTCATCAGCAGCATATTCAGCAGCAACAGTAGAAGGTGATTTTTTACCCCGCTCTGGAGCCATATCTAATTTTGTGCCACATACTAAAATTGGAACCTATAAAATTTTAGTAAAATATTTCAAGCATAGTTTCATGAACATAGTATATATTTTTTATATTTATTATTATACAGACATTTATACTCATTATTCTAAATTACAATTTTTTCAAATAAATATATTTTAATAAGGTGAATTAGACCTATAAAATAATGAACAGCAGTTAAGACTCTTTCCATGGTCCTCGTGGTTGATAAAATATTTGGACAGTAAAATTACTTCAATCTTTCTAACTATCTCATCCCATTATTTTTATTAATAATTATTTAGTATTTTTAGATTTAATACTTAAAAATAATATTAAATTAAATTAATTAATAATTTTATTTTCAATTAAAATTAATTATTAATTTTTTTATTCTGTTGTCACAAAAGATATAATGGGCTTATGATATTTGATTGAACATTATCGTATAATAATAAATGCATCTTTTGTGGTTTTTATTAATTTTTTTGGCACAATCAAAATTATTTAATGAATGTTAGATAACATTAACTTAATTTATTTAGAACAATTGAAATTTTTACTTAATACCTAATAATAGAATCTGTTTGATATAAAAGAAACAGCCTGTGATGGCTGACTGTAATGCATGATAATATTTTTTTTAGATCAGCTGTAAAGAAATCTCACTTCAAAAATTATTAATCTTGAGTATTTAAATATTGATTTAAATACAATAGAAATTTTTTTCAATAAAATGTTTGATATTTATAAAATTCCCTATCTCGTTTATATTATCATTGAATATACATTGTTCTTGTAGATTTTAATTAGTTATAATTAGAATAATTACTCTATTAGATCCAATCATTTGTTCCATATCAAAGCTGTCTGTAAATTTATATTTACAATTATTATCCTTGTTTAAAATATCTTTCATCCACTTATGAAGATTTTCACTTGATTTTAGATTAGTAAGATCATATACAAGTATTATTCCTAAAAAAAAAAAAATGTTTACTAGTTTTTTATTTTTATAATACTTAAGTAAAATATTTTACCTTGTATAGAATTGTAAAAAATATGTCTAGTATTTTTGTGGTTTGAACTACCACCAATATCCCACATTTCAATAAAACAATTTCTTTGTCTATGAGTACCTTCCATGTACTTATAAAGTTTTAATTCAACAGTGACTCCTACTGTCCATTTAGGATTTTTTACAACTACATTATTACAGATGAGATTTACAAGACATGTTTTTCCAACACCTAATAAATATAAATAGTATAAATGTTTAAACACATGAAAAAAACTGAATATTATATACCATAAGAATAATTTCAAATTTAAAAAATAGAACTACTGAATTATTTAATATATCATTGATCAATACATGATAAGTTAGAATTTAAAAAAAATATTAATATCATATTAATGATGATTATAATTTTTTACATTTTCTTAAAACTGGATGAATAAGTCGAAGAAATCTAACTCAACCTCATTTTACTGAAATATGAGATTTATTACCAGAATCTCCAACAACTATCACTTTAACACTATCAGTGGACGCCATAGAAATCTCCATTACGAACTTATTATTATAAAACGAGTATTTTAATAGTTTAAAATACAAAATTTTAACAAAAATACATAATATTTGTAAAGTTTTATAAAGAAAGATATTTTAATAGTTAAACTATGCGGATTACAAATAAAAATTTATATAAAATACACGATATTCAGAGTTGTTAACAAGTTTTCATTTTATCAACTAATATATTTTTATCATTATATATCAACAATTAGTGATGGGCATAATCGAATTATTTCGATTATCACAATTATAATCGGTTCATTTTAATAATTGATTCTTCATTCATTTTTTACAATAAATAAATATTAAATGTATCTTTTAGCTGTTGAAACAAAAAAGTCTTTTAATTAAAATATTAGTATAAGATTTAAGTATTTTAATTTGAAATATAAGAAAATGGTAAAAACTATCGACTACTGTCATCGTTCTATCGTGATTGAAATCGATTATCTCAGATACTGGAGAAACATAAATAATCTGTAAAAATGATCAATAACAACGACATAGAAAGAATTAAAATCGATTGTTTGATTATCAATAATTATTTATATTATAAGATTACTAATTATTTGGTCTATTACAATATTTATTATGTATTGGAACAATATAGTAAGGTGTATTTTCAGATAAGTTGCTAGTAAAGAAGTCAAGGTCAGCAAAGTACTAAATGCACGTTGGTATTACTGTGGTATCCCACCTACGATCAGAATAATAGTCACATACAACATGTGTTTTTATAAAGCGCACTCTAAGCACCACACTGAGTAAATAAATTGTGGGTAGATACGTTGGGCGACCCCACTTTTCATACCTTTTAGTTAGCGCGTTTGATGCTGATAGGTGTCTGTTTACATGTGTTTCTCTTGATTTAAGTATTTTCACTAATTCTTGTTAAAAATCTCTCAAAATGTCTAAAGAAGTAATAAACGCGTTAGTTTTTGATTACCTAAATTCTTTAGATCAAAATTTAGCTAAAATGTTTCAAACTAAAACTAAAGCCGTAAGTAATTAAATGTTTATTGCTATACTCACGTGTCACCATGTGATTTACGCTTGTGAAAACCACGTGTGGCATGCGTAATTTTTTAAGCATTTCGTCTATTTGTGTAATAATCTAAACTTCAGATTATATTTGTAATACTTATAGATAAATTAATACATTTAATAAATTGAGTTGTGTTAAATGTTTTTGACATGCTTAATAAAAATCGTAATAATCAAACATTTAAAAATGTTATCAATTTAAATATTATAATCATCAGTTATTACTAAACAAACATCAAATTTTAATAGAAATAAAAAAAAAGTTAATTTTTCTCAATATTCGTTTTTGTAGTTAAATTATATTTATTAGTTATCATATTTTGATACTAGTTAATCTGTAAAAACCTTTTTTTTCATTTGAAAACATGTGCTATGTTAAATTAATTTTTTGAATTTTAGACAAAACTACAAAGAGGGCAAGTTAAATTGGATCAAATAGTAACTTCTCATTTAAAGTATGTATTGTGTCATTATTACACTGTGTGTTTATTCTTATTAATAAATGCCAATTTTTTACAGATCATCAGGAAAGCCCATTAAAGTACAAAAAAATGGACCGAGTAAGTTATTTATCATTGATTATCATGATGACTTACTTTTTTAAAATTTGTTTGTACTAATGTTTTATAGTATGATAAACTTAACTTAGTTAATGATATTTTTTAAATTTAACTTGCATTTATTTTAGCTGTTGACCAAATTATCAAGATGAGTAATGGAAAAGCTGATGATTCTTCTTCTGAAGAGAGCTCCGAAGAGGAGGAAAAAGCAAAACCCACTAATAAACCAAAAAAGGGTAATTATGAAATACATTAATAATGGAATTTATAGTTTAATATTATTCAGTTGTTTATTTTTTTAAGTTTTATTTTTGAAAAACTATGATTAATACAATAATATAATCCAAATTAAATTTGGAATGCTTTATTATTAAAATTAATCATTTTTTTTCTAAAAATTGTGCATTTTTGATAATAATATTCTATCTTAATTATAATAATATACTATAAAGTATATCTCTAAATATAAGAATGTCAATAATAGTAGGAAAAAATGAAATTAGTTTAAAAACTAGCTATTTGAAATTCTTTTTTTTTTCTTAACGTAATCCAACTCTTATATTTTCTTTGATACTTTAATTATACAAATAAAAAAATTATCATTTGTTCTTGGTAACTAAAACAAAATATCTTGTGCAGAGTTAGGTTAATTTTTTTTTCATCATAGGATTATTTGTTTTTAATTTTTTTTTTTTTATTCTGTAGAAGTTGATGTATCAAATAAAACTAAACCTAATTTGACTGTCCAGAATGGCAAAAAAAAAGATGCAAGTAGTTCAGAAGAAAGCTCTGAAGAAGATGATGAACCTCCAGTTAAAAAAGGTGTGTATTAAAAAATGTGTTGATTGTTGAAGATATTTGACATAAAAATACCATAATAACAGTTGTAGTAAAATTATGAATATTTTTAGAAACCATTTTTAATTGTTTGTATTATTCTACCTGCACCTTTTAATAATATTTAATTAAAAAGTTATATATTAAATTTTGTTCTTTTATGAATATATTATTATTATATTTATATTAATTAACATATAAATTATCATTTTTTTTTTTATATTTTAATGGATATGTATGTATTTTAGCATGTCCACCTCCTAAAAAAGAAGTAGCTAAGCCTATTACTAAAAAAGAATCAAGCTCAGAAGAAGAATCAAGTTCAGAGGATGAAGCACTTCCACCTAAAAAAACGGTTTCAAAGCCTGTAACTATGCCAGTTGCTGCTAATAAATCTGTAGCAGCAGAAGAATCATCAGAAGATAGTTCTGAAGAAGAAAGTTCTGAAGATGAAAAGCCTGCAATCAAGTTACTCCCAAAACCACCAACAAAACCGAAAGCTGTAGCTAAAAAATCTGATTCTGATGAAAGTTCTGAAGAAAGTTCAGAGGACGAAAAGCCATCTGTTGTAAAAAAAAATCCTCAACCTGTAAAAAAAATTAATGAATCTAGTTCTGAAGAAGATAGTTCGGAAGAAGAAAATGTTCAAAAAAAATCTCCTGCAAAAAAAGGTATCCTAAGATTTTTATGTCATTTATATGTAAGGTGCTTTGAATGCAAAGTTTGTAAGTGACACTTTTTAAATTTCATGATAAATAAGTTGAAATTATTAATTGTCTATATGTTAGGATATAGAAAAAAATGTTTTTAATAATAACTTACATTATAAATTTTAACTACTAGGTCATCTTATTAGTTGTTAATTGAGTTATTTATTTTTAGTATGTTTATATGTCTAATCCAATTTTTACAAAAACTTCACTTATATCTCTTGCATTTTAAGTGTATGATAAATTATTAACTTAAGATGATATGCTAAACCTAATAGATTATTTATTTGATTTTTATTATTAATATTTCACCTTTAATGATATTAGTACACACCAAATTTTTCAATTGTGGCATTTCTCTTATATAAATTTAATGATTATATAATGTACATATTTTTTAGTCATAAGTAAACATTTTATACTATTTTTTGAAGTGGAAGAGTTACTGTTTCAAACCATATATTTATTTTATCTATTTATAGCATATTATTAATGTGTAATTGAAAAAAAATTTTAGTTGAAACTGCTAAACAAAATAAAAAAGAATCAAGTTCTGAAGAAGAAAGTTCTGAGGATGAAAAACCTACAGTTAAAAAGACACCTCAACCTCCAGCTAAAAAGGCTGAAGAAACTAGTTCTGAAGAAGAAAGTTCAGAAGATGAAAGTCCAGCTACAGCCAAGCCTAATAAAAGTAAACTGAATGTAGTAGTTAAATTTATATCATGAAAGTATTAATGTTGGGATAGTAATAAATTTATTTTGTCAAATTAAGGGGTATATTTGTATCAACACTTATTATCCATTTATATATATTTATAGTTAATCTCAATTCTTTGAAATACCAAAAATATTAAAGGTGATAGAAAAATCTAATTGCTGATTTGAAATCAGTGCAATGTTTGATTTAGAAAAGTATACTTTTGTTACTGATTAAAATTTCTTGTAAACTAGTTTAAACCAAATTATTTTCTAATAAGTTTGTATTAGGTACTTCAATTTTTATAGATGTTAACCAAAAAACTAACAAAATATACAACTACTTTATAATTTTAAATTATTGAATACTTATCTCATACTAAGATTTATTATTACAATTAAAACTATAAATTACTAAGTATGTATTCATATTATAAAGTTATAAATTAAAAAACTACTTATTCAGGATTTAATTAAGGAAATAAAGTTGATGTTGCTATTAGAAAATAATATATCTATTTCCTAAAATTATACACTAAGGACAAATTTGTGTTCCTTCTGATAGTGATTATAATCACTATCAGATATCATCTGAAAGACTTGTCCCAACTATAACACAACCCCACTGTGCTACCTGTTTTGTTTTTCCATTAATCTAGTTAAATTTAATGGAATCATATTTTTATTATTATACATTAGCCATTTAATTAAATTTCTTCCAATTTCAATATTTTTTATTGTTAAGAATCAAATTTTTTTTTTTAATTTGTAGCAGTTACTAAACCAATAGTGGCAAAAAAATCTGCTGATAGTGATGAAGAATCAAGTGATGAAAGTGAAGAAGAAACTTCCAATACCCAAAATACCTCTAAGAACCAAGTAATTTTTCCAAAACATTTTTCATTATTCTTTTTATTCTGATTCTTTATTTTTGTTTATTTATGTGTTTTTTTTTTTTATATAGATCAAACCTCAACCTTTTGTAAAAGCTACAAATGAAAATGTGAGTTAATAATTAAAATATTTATCTTTTTTCTTTTTGTCACTATTTTGGAAGATTCTTTCTTGTTGATATTAAATTATCAAATTTAGTTCTAATTTTTCTACAATATTAAAATTTGAGTTATAACCCTTACGGTTTTAGAACAAATCATTTGAGGGAAACAAACAAAACCTAGACAATAGTATTAATAACCAGTTTAATAATTCTTTTGATTCTGGTAAAAAGAAAAATCATCAACAAAACAGGAGATCAGATCCTTACAGGCGTGTGCGAGAAGACAATATTAATGTTGATGAGCGCCTTTTGAATAATTCTTTACAAGCAAAGGTATGGTTAGCCACAGTTTTTCCGGCTAGCCAAACCGGCGCATGAAAATATTTTGTGAACAAATTTAACGTTTAATTTTGTTGTATATAATTGTAACTCTTCCAAAATAGTAATAGAACTATTTATTTTTTCATGCTCGGTTTGGATAAGTCGATTAATTTTATTATTGCTATATAGGATAATGATGAAAATGACAATAAAGAAGAAAACCAAGGTTTTCAAAGCGCCGATAGAGGTTCTCGAAATGGATTTGGATTCCGTGGTGGCAGAGGGGGACGTGGTGGAGGATTTAACCGTGATAGTGATAAGAATAAAGGTGGACGAAATAGTTTTGGTAGAGGTGGTGGTGGAGGCGGCGGCTTCAAAAGAAAGTTTGATGATGGTGAAAATGGAGGAGGTGGATTTAGAAAAAGTTTTGGTAATGATGATGAAAATGGTGGCGAACGCCGTAGTTTTGGAGACAAAAGAGGTTTTGGTGGAAACAGATTTAGTGGTGGTCGTGGTGGATTTGGAGGTCGTGGTGGTGGAGGTCGAGGAGGAGGGTTTGGTGGACGTGGTGATGGTGAGCGTGGTGGTAGAGGTGGATTTGGTGGGCGTAGTGATGGTGACCGTGGAGGTAGAGGTGGATTTGGTGGACGTGGTAGAGGGGGTCGGGGAGGTGGTGGCGGTTTTAATAAAGATAGATCTTTCAATAATAGTTTTGGATCAAATAATTCAACACCACAGAATAAAAAAATTAAGTTTGATGATTGAGTAAGTTTTATATATAAAATCTAGTTTTGAGATTATAAACCTATTAACTAAATTAAGTATTAAATTGTAATCTAAATAATATTATTTATAGAAAGGTCATTATGAGTGTTGGGGAAAAAAAGCAGCCCTTGACTTGCAATATACTAAAGGAAAATCATTTAGACATGAAAAAACAAAAAAGAAGCGTGGTTCTTATAGAGGTGGACAAATTGATGTTGGAGTTAATTCAATTAAATTTGATGATTAATACCTCATTACTTTTAACTATGTTACAATTTTTTAAATATTACTATTGTTGTTATAAACAACAAGCTTAAAAATTAACGTAATTTTTTTTCTAAAGTTAATTATCTTGTGTAATTAAATTTATCTTACTTTTTATTGTTTTATGGACTTATGTAGTGTAAGATTTTATGTTAAGATATTTTGTACATATTTATCAAACAATTTTAAGTTATGATAGATTAAAATTATAATCTTCAAGTTATTTTTAATTATTTCAATTGTCTAAATGCATTTACTATATTTGACTATAGCAAAATATTTTTCGTAATGTTTAGCATGTGTAAGACATATTGAAACTTAAAAATTATAATAATATTTTATGTTATTTTTGATTTTTAAATACTGGTATTTATTCATTTTTTTTTTTTTATATAAACTTATTGCTTTGGAATTGCATAGTATGAGAAATAGTTTAAAAAAATGTAATTTTTAATACTTTAAGGGCTAAATAATAATGTAAAATTTAGATGCCGGAAATGATGTAAATATCTATTGGTTTAGTTTTTAATGGGTAATATTTTATATGATAACATATTTTTTAAGTGTCTTATCTCGCACCAACTGCCACTAATTTAAAATTCCTAAATGGACAGTAGTATGTCAGCTATTCTATCTGTTTTTATAAATATATTTATAAAATAAATTTTAGTAAGCTAGTTAAAAATTAAATTAATTCAAGTATAATAAAATACAAACAATTAACTGACTTCTTCCCTATTTATAGGAATTATCAAAGGTGTATGATATTAAATCATTCAAAAATCTATTTCATAGTTAATATAACAATAATAATATAATATCAAATTTTCTGTCTTTTAAATCATTTTAGTGTCCCACTTATCCATTAACGAAAGGAATCTGAAAAAAATTATAATTTTTATTTATAATTTATTTATTATAATTACAATTTCCGTGAAGATAATAAACTACATAATAGAAAATGAGTTCGTATATGAACTAGACTAATTCTTTTAAAAATGTTCTTAATAACTATTAGTGTTGAAAGTTTTATCAAGTACTTTTGAATGACTCGTAGTTTTACTTTCAAAATAAAAATTAAGGCAAAATGAACTTTAATAGCTAATTAAATTACTTATTATTTTGCAAAAACAATCAAAAGCTCCTACGTTAAACACTTTAAATGTAACCAACACGGTCTTATTACTACGACGCTGAGGAAGCATAGCGCTGCAATTTGATTTGAGTTATTTGAAAATTTAACCGAAGAATTTAGTTGTGATCTCTCTAATAATTACTAGAACATAGTTATTAGTATGACAACAAACTAATATAAAATTTATAGCGGCGTGTATATAAATATATATGAGTTTGAATGTATAAAGTATTGAGTAGACGATCAGTCGTGCTTACTATTCAGTGGTTCTCAGAATCTATTATCCTATAATCAATAATTTACAGGTTATGGGTAATTTTTATCTATATCCTGCTCTAAATTGCACTTGTTTATTTGTGTTCTGATAATATCGGAAATGTTAACTACTTATTATTAATTTTTATTACACTACAAATGTAGAAAAGTTGGTGAACTTAGTTAAAATAGTTAAACTTTGTTAATGTTACTTATAAAAACTGATAAAATTAGTTAAAAATTTAGGTACTATTGTGATTCAGCTACTATATTAACTGTAAGCATCACAATGCTGAATATTTACCCTTTGAGTGTTCTATGACACTTGGATATTGATTTCAAATGATCTATTGGGCATGGCTAAAGTAACTAGGAAATGGGAAATGTTCCCTGGTCGTAATCGATTCTGTTGTGATGGCAGACTCATGATGGCACCAAATGCAGTAGTATTTTACATCAATGTGGTCTTAATAATTGGTACTAGTGTTTTATTTTTTGTATTTGAGTAAGTTTATTGTTAACCAAAACTTAATTTATATTTATTAACACTTTAATATTTATATGTTTACTAATATTAGTATATTCTGACCAAAATTAATATTACTATTGTTTTTTAGTTGTCCATATCTTAGTTATCGTGTCACTCCTGTAATTCCAATCATATCAGGTATTTTATTTTGTTTTGTCATTGGTTCTTTATTCAAGACTAGTTTTACTGATCCTGGCATTATACCTAGAGCTACTTTAGATGAAGCCAATTTTATTGAAAAACAAGTTTGTATGTAAAAATTTTATATAAAAGAGATTGAAATATCAATATCTCTTATTTAAAATTTAATTATCTTAAGTGAAAAAATTGCAAACTAATTGAAATTTTACAGATATTAGTATGCCAAATAATGGTGGAGCACCAACCACGAGACCTCCTCCTAGAACTAAAGAGGTAAATATCAAAGGAAATTTGATCAAGCTTAAATATTGTGTAACATGTAAAATATTTAGACCACCAAGAGCTTCCCATTGTAGTTTATGCAATAACTGTGTTGGTAAGTTAATGATATATTTAAAAAATAAAAAAAATTTATTTTAATGAAAGAAGAAATTTAAAAAATTCTCAATGACATTATGAATAGAGATAATAGTTTTGGCAGATATCTAATAAGGTATTCTACATTTTGAATTGCTCTAAGTTTTCAATAATTTTTTACTGAAATTTTATTTATTAAAAATTATTGTGTAGCAGCTTTAATGTGTTAATCATTACTAAGTATAATTGATTCATAATTGAAAAATGTGAGAGACTATAGCTTTAACGTAAAGCCAAACTAAAATATTTTTAATATGTTAGCAAAAAATAAATAAAAAAAATGTCTTCATAATAATTGTATTAAATGTTTTAAATTTAATAATTTAATGTTTATTTTTTAGAAAACTTTGATCATCATTGTCCATGGGTTGGAAATTGTGTTGGTCGAAGGAACTACAGGTTTTTCTACATGTTTATTGTTTGTTTATCTCTACTCATTATCATTGTTTTTATAGGAGCTGTATTGCATTTATTTTACTGTTAGTAAATTTTATTTATATCTTATAAGTAGGCTAAGAACTTTTAGTGTTTATAAATTTCATTTTAATAATTTTGAGATTGTATTAGATTGTGTCAAGTGGTAGTTTAGGATAAGAGTGTAGAACTCCAAGTAGTGGGGATAAAAGCAAGAGAAAAAAAGAAAAAGAAGATTTCAGTTATTTTGAATTTTGATACTTTTATCTAAATCAAAACTTATGAATATACATTTTGGAGGAACTATGGTTTCTGTTAATTTTTTTTATTTGTATTATTGAATTTACTTTATAAATTTTTCTTGTACTTAATTGTTGAAAAGATGACTTAATCATTTATACAATTTAAAAATACTAAAGGTTCTAAATCCTTCTTATAAGTATAAAAATATTTTTATTAAATTATTATACTAAATTAATTTTTTATGTATAGTATCAGAAAATAAGTTAATGGTTGATGCAATATCAGAATCACCTACTAGTGTAATTGTTGTAATAATTACTTTCTTTAGTTGCTGGAGTGTTATTGGTTTAGCTGGATTTCATACATTTTTATCAGCATCAAATCAAACCACCAATGAAGATGCAAGTTAAAATTAACATATTACTTATTGATGAGCTCTATAGATTTTATTTTTATATTTTAATTTATTTTACTTAGATAAAAGGTTCTTTTGCCAGTAGAACTGGACGTCCGAATTCTAATCCTTATAGTCGTGGTAATATATGTGCTAATTATTGTTATGTCTTATGTTCACCCCGTCCTCCTAGTTTATTAGGTAATTATGTATTATTCAATTCTTTATTAGTAATTGAAAAAATATGTACAAAAAAATAATAACTTTTGTATTCAAATTTACAGATAGACGTGGTGTTGTTTCATCTTTAGTTGAATCTAAATTTGTGAGCAATAACACTAGTAGAGATACAGTTATTACCAATAAAGGGTTTGAAACTTCTGATATTTCTGTTAATCAAGTAATGTTTTTTTTATAATTAATCATTGTTGTTAAGGGATTAGCTATTAAAACATAATGTTTTAAAGAATGGAAAATTGAGAGCCAATGATATACCTCTACATCAATATGGTTCATCCAGTATGCTACCACCAGAAAATATTGATCATAGCCAATGTACATTTACCTCATCAATGCCAACTATACATCATCCACAAAATCATCATGTGCAACAAAATCACATAATAAACGGTTTGTACAAAACAAATTCAACATCTCCCTCGTCAATTCTTATAACATCACATCATCAGTATCCTTCTGAATATTATCTTGTACCCACCAATCCAAATTATTTCTATGCAAGTTTGCCTCTAAGAAGGGACCGTGCAGCTATGTACTATTCTCCAATTTCCCGTATACCTAGTTATAAATTTAAGAATAATAAAAAATTCTACTACAGTTATTGTCCAGAACATGGGGATAATACAATAGCAGCTAAAATACATTCTAATAATAATATTAGTAATAATTCAATACATCATGAAGAAAGTGATGACTTTTTATCAAAAAATTAAATGTTTAATTTTTTTTTCTTTTTAAAAATATGCTATCCATTATTTGCAAGTTGATTAGGAATTATCTTGGTAAGTTAACTGTTAGGGTATAAATATATTTTAATATTGTTAAATTAGTTGTATTTTAAACACATTTTTATCTGATTATTATTAGGTGTGAAACTTAATACTAGTGTTTCTTCATTAAATAATGCTTTCAATGACACTGGGATATATGAGACTATTAAGCCTGGTCATTTAGATTCAGAACATTATTTAGATGAAGGATCTAAAATAATAACTGCCAGTGGTCCCCCCTTGAGTGCAAGCCGTCTTCAACTACTTCAGGATACTACTATGATCGAATCTGCTTTAGATTTGGATTCTTTGGAAGAGACCTCGTCAATAGGGACTGGAAGTCAAGTGAAATTAGTGAAAAATAAAAATACATTATAAATATCACTATTAAAGACCTTCAATATTGGAAATAATATTTTGTGTAATTTCTTTCCTAATTTTTCTAAATTATTAAATGTTTTGAATTTTAGGTTTGATGTGTATCAAACTATGATTTGTATTACTTTTAAATTATTTATGACTTGTTTAGTGGTCAAGTTTTTTTTGCCCTAAGTGACTGCCATAAAAATTTAAGTAATTAAAAAAACTTCAAATTTATTATAAGTTGGTTATATTTTTCTTATTTAAAGAATAAATTACTTATTAATGTATAGACTATTATAATACTAAAAATTTGTTAATACTAAACACAATGTCATGTTTTGCACTTTTTTAATATTATTTGTGAATTAAACGTTAGTTAATTAATTATTATACATAATTTATATTTTTACAAAATAATTCTTTCAAATTCAAAGTCTTAACAAAGTGTTAAGTTTGACTTTTGTATTGTTTAATGATAATTTATTGATGATAGCGTCAGGGTTTATTAAATAGGTAGAAAATATTATTGTTAAAAATGTTTAGTAAATAATAATAGTTTTTATTATTATTTGGTGTTACCATACTTCATAAGACTTATTATATTCAAATAGGAAATTTAACCATATTTTATAAATATATGTGTATATATATATTTACTATTAAACATTTTTTTATTGATTTTTAAAAAGGAAAATATTGGTTTTTGAACATGGTTGTGCTTTTTACTTTAAATAACACTTTTAAAACTAATTGGAAACCATATTTCCTGAATTTTTCTAATTCAATGTAAAAATTATATGTTATATTATCTTTGTAAATGTATTACTAATTATAATCTTTCTTGTTAATATATATTTTTTTTTTACTCACTGTTTATTATTGTTATTTTAAGATTAAAAGTATTCTTTTCTATGTGTAAAGTGAGTTTTTTAGTTTAATAATGGTAGCAATAATAAATAACTAATTATTGATACAGTGTTGCCTAGTCGAGGACATTTAAAATTTATGTCAATTGTATTTCTATTATATTGTTAGTTATTATTTAGGGCTGCATGTCTTGAAATCCAAAACTGATAATTTCAACAAAATTGTAATAAATTAAATTTTTAATATCAGAACTATGTTACTTTATTTACAAATTTCATCTACTCATATTTTTTACAACAAAATATAGGTTAAACTATAAGTAAAAATCAAATTACCTAAATTTTTATATTAGCCGGACATTACTTTTCTAATAGTGTTCACTTTACGTTCTACATTGTATTAATATCATATTTTACATAAAATATTTACATATTTACACACACTTTATATGAACAAATATAATTCATTATATTATCAAAAATTGTTTATTAAACCAACTGCGCAAAATAACTATAAATAAAATTTTTTTTACATTCATGCAATTCTTGAAATGTTCTAATTTATTAGATATATAGAACTATTTTATAAAGTATTAATGAATAACACGTTGTATAAAAAGATTATACAAACCAAAATTTATGGAATAGTTAAAAATATAAATACTTAGTATATAAATATCACTAATTATGAACTAAAACTTTTTGAAAAAAGAAATTAAAAACAACAATAACAAAAAGTAATATTTAAAAAATTAATACAATTTACACATTAAACAAATATTTTCCAGGGTTTTTTCTGGAATGTGTATGACAAAATATATAAATACTCAGTAAAATTATTTAATTGACTACATGACTATAGTTCTGAATGTTCATCAGGTTTCTTCTCATCTGAAATAAAATATAATAAATAAAAGAGATTTTAAGTATTTACAACATTTATATAAAAGCCAAATATTAAAAAAAAATTAAGATTTTTATTTAAATAAGTTAAGATAATTATACAGTTAATTAATGTTAATAAATTATCTTTTTTTATTACCAACAAAACTTAAACAGAGCTTATACAAGAGATGTAATTAGTAAAATAATCTTATAAAGAACTAGATTAAAATTAGTTCTCTTGAATATTAATTTTTCCTTGAGTTTAGGTAGTTATATTAATACTTAATTTATAAAATTTATAAATCAATTTTTTTATTGAAGAGGATTTTTCCTAGAATGTATTTTAAAATTGGCAAAGGATATATTTTTACTGAAAAGTATAACTGGAAAAATATGTGCTTTGCACAAAAAATTAATCTCAAGGTAAAATTAATGACTTTAGAATTTTCCAAAGAAGAAATATATTTTTAAAGATATAGATAGTAAATAGATTTAGTTAACTATTGAAGGATATTTTACTCAATAAAGGATAGACCCCACTAAAAAATGGGTAAAGTAATACATATAATAAAATTAGAATTTCATGTTAAAGTTATTTAATTAGCAAGTGTTATTTGACAGAAGAAACATAGAATAAATCATAATTTAAGAACCCGTCTTGTGAAAATATATTACAACATACGTTCTCTATTGGTGATTCTCAAGTACAGAAAAGAAATCTAATGGAAATGATTGTTTCAATAATTAAAATAAACGAAATCCAAATTGAATAAGACAAATGATGAGAGCTGATGTAATCCAAGAAGATACATCTTCTTTTAAATTATGGGATAATTTGTATTTTATTTCTGTAAAAAGAAACATTTTAATACTATCGTGGAATTATTGTTTAATATATATATCACCCGTGTAATTATAATTTCACTCATTAAGTATCCTTCACCATTAAATGAGTTAAAAAAATTATTTCTTACCAGATTTTGTTGGTTCGATTGATGGATTTTCACCAGTTTCAGATTGTTCAGGTTCAATTTTGGATTCACTATCATTTATATTCTCTTTTTCACTAGCTTTTGTTTCAATTGTACTATCATTTTCTTGCTCTTGTAAGGTTTCAGTTTTATCATTTTCAGTTTTAGAATCTTAATAAAAAAATTTATTTTGATAAATAAAAATGCGATTGAAAAAAAAGTTAACTAACCGTTTTTTTTTGGTTCTTCTTTTTTCTTTGGTGGTATCCAAGAAGTAAATTTATTCATTAAATATCTCATCTAAAACAAATTATATAGGATTTGACTACCAAATAATTTTATAGGTATATCCAATAATTATTTTTAATACCTCACGTTCAATAGATGTCTGTTTTAATGAAATGGCTTGAACTGTTATTATTGGATTAGTAGATTTAGAAAGTTTTTCTTGTTCAGCAACTTGTTTTATTTTCCAAGCCTTTAAGTATGTATAAAATTAAGATTCATTATTTAAGTGAAATTTTTATAATTTCTAAAAATATTCTTATAAAGTTAAAATTTTCAAGATTTTACAATAAGAATAATCAGAATCTATTAAGAAACCACTACTATAAAGAGATTATGGATAAAATTCGATTACATTTTCAAAATATTAAAATTTTTAAACATAGATTAATCTAAAGAAAAATATATGATTTATCGCTATAATTTCTTATGCAGTATATCCTATTTAACTATTCAATAATTGTCAGATTAAGGGTAAAAACTAAATTTTTTTAAGAATCAAATGTTACATATTTACATTTATATTTTAATGATATAAAATTTCTATTTTTCTTAAAAAAAAAAAATGGTTTTTTTTTATAGCCCTTATTAAAATAATAATCAGCTTGACAATTAAACCATTATGTTATATGTATTTTACTATTAAACACTTAGGAATAATTATAATAGTTATACATACAAAACTTTTTGAAAATTGTATTTTTAATATTTGAAAACTATTTTATATAAATATTAGAAATTTTTTTTTTTTTGGCATTTCCCAATAATTTATATTTATTATATTTTATCATTTTCTAGCTACTATTATAGTGTTTTTTATATGTCTAAAGACACAACTTATTACCTACCAGTATAAGAGTCAGTAATATATCCATTGTTGATTATGTTATGCTGATTAACAAGTTATAGCATTGGAAAAAGACATTTGAAAATTAATCTTAGTTGCGATAGTTTTTGGTTTTCAAATTACAAATTAACTTCTTTGGTTTATTGATGGAATATTACTTATTTTAGTATAAAAAAATAATATCATAAAAACAAGAATGAGGTTAAGATTTTTTTTAAATAAATAAATTACAAATACATTTGTTATAAAGGGAAAGCTAGGCCCTCCTCAACTCCCCACCAAAAAACAAAGATTGGTAGCCCCTAAGCATAACATTTAGATGAGAATATTTTAAAGTATTTGAAATACTTTTTAAAAGTATTTTTATTTGTAATTAGTAACTTAAGAAAAATTAGTTTGAATACATATTTTGAATAAATTTTCTCTGTAGTATTTAGATATGTATTTAAGTATTTTTATCATGTTATAATCTAGTTTGGAACAGGTGTTATAATAATAAGTTGGCCTAAAAAATTGCCTACCCCTACAATTTCAATTAAAATAAAACACAAACTCACTGAAATTTCATTAATCAATTTATCAAGGGTATCAATTTCAACTTGAGTAAATGGTGTGTTTTCTAATGTTGAATTATGTATTCCAGCCAAAAATGTTTTACCACTATTTAAAGCTTTATCAAGTGCTTCAAGTTTTGCTGGTCTTTCTAAATGTTCCATTGCTCTTTCCCATATTGGACGAACAACCTTGACTAAATCATCTAATTTTAAATCTAATTTTTCAGCAGTAGCACCAAAGCCTTCATCTTCTAACCAATTTGATGTCTAAATAAAACATTATTTATTAAAGAATAATCATTAAAAAAGTTAAATTTTCTCACTTCAGAACATTTATCTAAAATTTGTTGAACTTCTTCAGATGTTGCAGAATCAGCATAATCAGGTTGTTCTAATTTTTCTCGTGTTTCAATAATAGCAGTTTCTAAATTATTTAAAGATGTTTCTTTACGAGATTTTTCTAAATCCTTTTGTTTTAATTGACTAATTCTGAAATTATTAATTTAAAATATTTTAATTAATTTTAAACAATAATCAATATTAACAGAAAACATAGATTTTAGAAATTCTTTTTTGTAACCATTTTACATCAATTTAAAAATATTTAACTTAATATAAAGCAAGTTTAATTTAGTTAGTCAAGTTTCATAATATTTTATAGCATTTTTTTAAAAAGCAATAAAAATAATTTCATCGAAGTAATGAAAAATTTTAATTTGGCTTTTCATAAATGAAAATTTAATTTAAAAGAATAACTCTAATCATATATATTAATTATTTTTCAAAGTTAAAGTAAACTTTGAAGAATACATATATATATATATATAGAGTGATTTTTTTATTATAACCCACGCAATTACTTACAGAATAAATATATTTAAACTTTTTTTTGGTTATCTTTAGTTACACATTATTCTTGAATTATTAACTATGTAATACTTATGAAGTTCATCCCTTATGCCTTGTAAGGGTGTCAACTTTAAATGGGAACACATATTTTGAATTAAATAAAATGTTTGGATTTTTAATTCAAAATTAAATAATGGCATTTGAATTTTTAATATAACTTTATTAGTTTATTAGATATAAACATTTAAAGTTTCAAATTTTTGAGATAATATACATGTATAATACATAAGGGATTATAAATACAGATGGCTAATTGGATTTTTATGACATTGCTGTCACAGTCACGGATTGTTTATTATCAATTATGACTATCAATAGATATACTTTTTATATACTCAGTTAGTGTATTTATGAACTCACAACATTGTGCCTTACTACCATTGATAATAGCAATGCTGTGTACCTGCGAATATTGATGTCATAAAAAACCAATTAGCTACCTGTATTATACATGTATATTAACTCAAAAATTTGAAACTTTAAATGTTTATATCTAATAAACGAATAGAGTTGTATTAAAAATTCAAATGCCATTTACTATTAAATTAAAAACTCAACAATTTTATTAAATTAAAAATATGTGTTTCCATTTAAAAAAACAAAGTTGACCCCCTTACAAGGCATAAGGGATGAACTTCATAAGTATTACATAGTTAATAATTCAAGAATAATGTGGAACTAAAGATAACCAAAAAAAAAAAATGTTTAAATATATTTATTCTGTAAGTAATTGAGTGGGTTATGATAAAAAAGTCACCCTGTATTTTAAAGCAAGTTACTAAATATAGTATTTAATAATTGCCATCATAGTAATAATTCTTCATATTAAATGATAAAATACAATATTATTTAAACAAAATGTGATTTACACATCCATTTGGTTACCAAAACTATCTTTATCCCTTTAATCTGTTAAAATAAGTAGAATAAGACTTTTAAAGGTGAAGAAAAACTAAATAAGCAAACTAATTATCTTACTTATTAATTGACTTTTGTAAAACATCTCCATCTGGTGGATTGACAAATAAATTTTCTTGACTAATATTAATAGTTTCCTTAATGGTAACAACTTTAGAATTTTTTTTAATATCCGTTTCAGAACTGGTACTATTTAGTTGTATTGGTTCAGTACTATTATTAGACTTATTTAATGTTTCTGTAGTACTATTTTGAGTAAAATTAGCTGATGTTTGAGGTGGAATAGAGTTTTCTTCTTCTAGTGTTTCATTAACAGTCTTTTCATCTTTCAAAACTTCTTCAGGGCCTAAATTATTAAAGTAGCAATATTATCAAAAACAGTAATAATGCATAGATATCTAGTAACTTATTTACCCTTAAACAAATTACTAATAGTATTGCCAATTTTAGAAAGTGTGGATTGTTCTTCATCATCAGTTCTTATAGTTTTTTGTATTAATAATTCTACATTTTGTAAAACCAACAAACCACTTTCATCTAAAGCAAAGTGTGCTTTAATTCCTTTGGTATCTATATCTTCAGTTTCCTGGTGCTTAGAAAATGCTTCTTTAACACCATTTAATTTTATACTACTGAGAGTCAATGGCCCCAAAGCTTTTATTTCGTATTCTGGTAGATGGCTTAGTTCAGCATAACCAACCATAAAAGCAAAATCTTTTTTATGTTTATTAAACGTTAAAATCTTTCTTTGTGGATATGGATTCATGGGACCAAACAACATGCGTTTTACTTGTTTAGTTGGTTTATCTTCTTCTGTAATTTCTTTATCAAATATAACCTATAAAAAATTCAAAATGAGAGTATAAAAATTTATTAAAATAGAAAATAATAATACAATAATCACCTGAATAGGAAATAGAGTGGCATCTTTGGTAATAAAAGGCTTTACTTTGAATCCATTACTAAGATCAGCTGCCTTGTAAGCAGCTCCTAAGGCAGCTGCTTCATCTGTATTTAGAGAACGACCTAAAGGTTGACTAATTTTGAGGTCTTTAATTAATCGTTCTTGAACTTTAGGAACTCTTGTACCAGCTCCAGCTAACATAACCTAGAACAATTATAGTTCTAAATATTTATGAAGTATTTCTAAAACTTCATAATAATATTTGTTATATACAAAGTATTTCATTTAACAAAAAAATTAAATTAAAATGTAAATATATATTAAAAATGTACTTGTTCTATTATATCAATAGTGAGGCCTGAAGATTCTAAAGCTCTTTGAGCAGGAACTGTCACTCTGTCGAACAAATCTTTGCATAACTCATCCAATTCCTCTCTTGTTACTTTAATTCGCATATCTTTTTCATCTATTAAGCCTTCTACCTAAGAAAATATAAATAACAAAGAATAACAGATATAATAGAGGAATGGTGTGGCCAAGTTGGTGACACAGTAGTATAGGGGATGGGTTTAAGACTCAGTCACACGCGGGATCTGTTTGCTGAGCAAGAGATCACAATTTAGTATTTGGAGTCACTTACCAATCATCCGGTATCGGACTAACCACTCATCTGAGTATAAATTATTAAAATACTTAATCTTAAGAAGAGGTCACTATACTTTTAATGGATTTTAAAAATTTACATCACAAAAAAATTCAATTATAAAATACTTTTGGTAATTTATGATTTTTTAATTCATTAAAATATAATGAAAATCTATAATTGTAAACACAAGGAAAGTTTTTTATTTACATAAGATAATAATTTCATTCATTTAAAATTTTTATCTTTAATGTGTTAATGAATTATATCTATACCTGAGCAAAATGATCAGTATTAGCACTCAAGACATTTTTCACACGACCAGCTTCTTTAAATAATTTAGCCATTGCTCGTGGGTTTTTAGTAACATCATTACTTGTTAGTTTAAGTGAGTTAAATTTTTTTGCTAAATAATCTCTTAATCTAAATTGAATTTCAAGTCCTCCCAAATTACGCTCATATCTATAAATAATAAATTAACTAAAAAAATATTTATAATAATTGTAAATTCATGTTAACTAATTGATTACAAACCCTACTCCCAACACTGTCAATTGAGGATGTATTTCAGGTGCTACTTTATCTTTACTCTTTACTAATTGATATGAAACAACTGTTGCTTGAGTACTATAAGCACCCATATCATAAAATAACATATACATAGGAGATGTTTCATTAAAGCTTTTAGTACGAAATATACCATAATTCAATGCAGCTAAAGATACAATAAAAAGAAAAGACAATTATAGGGATTATAATGTTACTAAATGTTTCATTTACAATTTATAGACAAAAGTTTAAAAGTTTAAAATATATCTGAATTATATATATATTTCAGTAATAGGGTTCTATTTCCTTATCCTTATGTACACACCTATATGCAAGAAGCATGTGTTTAATAATGTTCTTCACACATAGATTATAGGTTTATAGAAATACAATGAATTATTGTTTTGTTTTATAAGGTTATTATGAATTTAATTCCTGAAATTATTAATGTAACATTTTGTAATAGTACTGCTCCAAAATGGCATACTTTATTTCTGAATTAAATGAAATTTTGAGGTCTATTACCTGCTGTATAACTATTAATTAATTGCAAAACTTTAATTCCTGCAATTTCAGCCGCTTTAAGCATTGCAAAACGTTCAGCTTGTCCAAAGTAACAAGGGACAGTTATCACTGCTTCATTAATGGGTTGGCCTGCACTATCTTGCGCAAAATCCCTAGCTTTTTCTAACATCATAGCAACTAATTCTTCTGGTGAAAACACTTCATTTCTATATAAAATTTGAATAATATTTTATTATTATACTCTTATTATTAAATTGACTATAAATTTTCTTCCTTACGATTCAGTATGTTTAAAAAGAATCGTATTTCGATTTTCATCGGCTATAATATCATAATAAGGGAAACGTTTTCTGAAGATTTCCACAGTAGGATTATCAATTTGCTTTCCCAGTAAATCTAAGAAATATATATAACAGTTGGATGGAAAACGTACACATACAGTTAAGGCATCCTCTCCAAATGTCCTATCACCATTTCTAAAAGCAATCGCAACTGGAGTTTTTCTTTTAGATTCTTTATTTAGTGCAATTTCCATAGGTACTCCAGGCTAAGAAAATAAAAAATAATAATCAAAAATATTTATTTAGTTTTTATTACTTACTGAAACAATTGCTACTTTCATCCATTCAGACCCTAGATCAACACTCATGACAGATAAACCATGAATATTGCTTATAAAAATACATGACAACAATGTTAGGGTAACTATCAAATAGTTCCGGAGCGAGATATTCATTTTTAATAATTTTAACTAAAAAGAAACATGAGATAATAAATAAATGGATTTCATAAACTTAAAATAAAAATTAATATAACCATACCAAATAAAAATACTAAAGGAAATTCTTATTATAAACGTTTGATTCTTATAAACCTCTATGACAAAAAAAAATTTAATAAAATGTGGAAGTTTTTAAAAAGTCATAATTTGTGAACATAGTTCAATTATTAGCACTAATTTCTTTTTTATTCATGCGGTGTACAGCATAAAGTTTTATAATTTAATAGAATTAAAAATATATCACTGAATATTAAAATACAAAATAAAACTCCGTAAATTTGAAGTTTGCGTTCCGTTAAACACAAACCCTAAGGAAGAATGAGCTTTAATATGGGACTGCCGACTGTCGTGTGCTGATTGTGTTAGTAAAAAATCGCCGATTTGGCGGCTTCTCATTGGTTTGCTAGTATGACACGTAGTAATTTTCCCTAAAAGTCATTTAGTCGACTTTTTTTGTGTAATAAAAACTACTGAATTATAATATTTAATAAATTGTTTTAAACACACATAGAATTTATAAAATACTTTCTATCACAATATTAATTACGAAGAAAAACTTACATTGATGACCATATTTCTACGAAATATTCGCTAATCGCAAGTTAAATCTTATCATCAATGTATATAAAAAAAAATATATATGCTTACTTATATTTATATATTTAGTTATCATTATTCAACGGAGAGTTGTTCCCCTAGTTCTATTATTTGAAAACGAGTAATTTCTGTAATTTTGTCCCTTTTTTTATGAAATGTAACTTTATGAAATGGCTTAACTAAAGAAATATTTTATAGTTACATGTCACTAAGTACAACATTTAGTTTATTAGCAAAATGCATCCCATAAGGAATCTATATCCTATACTAGTATAATTTAAAATTAAGCAAAAAATCAAGAATTTTCAATTGTTACAAGTTTAACTTACAGGAAAGGTTTTAAACTGAAAAAAATATTTTATCTTTAATCGAAAAAATGTTAATGATTAATAACATAGGTGTAGTAACTATCGAAATTTGAAGAAATTGTTTAAGTTTTAATTTACCCACATTAAAAATATTTATATAATATATGTTATTTTCTGAATTTTTGAGGGACTCAACCGCAGTAGTCTATCTCAACTCTGCTAATGAGTGAAGTAATTTCATTTTGATATCAAATATTTCGTAATTTAAAATTAAGAAATTAATAAATGTTTTTTAGTTGCTTTATTTTAAAATATCTTAGTATTATAGCTTTAACTGGACAGGATTCCTTTAAAAGAAAGAGGGGTCACTATACTTTTAGTATAGGTTTTTATAACCTTTCAGTAACAATTGAATATTATGACTTCCACAGATTTTTCAATAAAAAAAATGTTAGAAAAAGTTAGGGGATACTATTAAAAACTTAAGGGGTGCTAAGAGACCAAAGATTCTCTTGGACTATTAATTAAGTTAGTTATCCCTTTTAACCTACCTCATTCTATTCACCACTAAAATTTCGGTTATATAAGTTTAATACAAGTAATTACATAACAATTGGCATAGGACTTTTATTATAGTATCTTGCAACAGCTCTAAAAAGATGTGATTTTTCTGAATTTTTTTAGACTATTGTTCATTTAATAAGTCTATTACCTAACCTTAAAAAAAATAATAAAATATAGCAAAAAAGACTACTATTCTTTATAATCAATAAGAAATTTTTTACTTTTTCATATAAAAATATTAATTTTAATTAATGAAAAAATAAATTAATTAATATTTGTAAATTACAAAAACATTACAAATTTTCTTAACTAAACATTTACAGTATAATAATTCAAGAAAATTATATGTATATGTAATAATGATATTAATTTGAGTAAAACACTTATTGTCTACAAAAATTAAATAATACCTATTAATTCAATTAACTTCAAACTGGTTACATGACATGTCAAGGAAATTTATCTTTTATCTAAATCCAGTACCGCCAAAGTTAATAATTCAAAAACAAAATAATTTTAACACAAATATGTAAAATAACATATTTTGTAAATTGTAATCTCTTACACCAAAAACATTATTTTCTTTTTTTTATTTTCAGCACATAGAGTTGTTTAGTTCTTTTTTAATGTAGAAAAATTAATGAGATCATTATTTTAATCATTTTTATCATTAAATTTATGGATAAATTATTCAAAAGCTAATGACAATTTAATTTTTTCTATTTTTTATCAACACTTATTATGTTGACCGGTTTAAATTTTTTTACGTCTTCTTTTAACTGTTTCCATACTAAATCCAATGAAGCAACTGCATCTTCTTTACTATCATGACCTTCTTCACTTTGGATTATTCTTTGAAGGTGTTGTTCAGCTAGTAGTTTCAAACTGCATTTATATGGTGGACCAAATTTATGTGGGTACATAATGCTTGTATCAACGACATTATAGTGAACAATTTTCAATACCTTTAAATCATTTTCTAAGCTATGACCAATTAAGATAGAATTTTGATCAAATATTTTTAATAAATCTAATTGTACTTCAAACAATCTCTTAGTACAATTTTTGAGTGATTCTTCTGTTATTCCACTGTACTTTGATTTGTAATCAAGTACTAGATTGAAAGGTTTTACTTTAGACTCGTATGCTTCTCTTCCTTCATGGTCAATAACTGTTACCCGTACTATTTCTGTACCAAATGTAGTATTAACCATTTCACAATCTAAAGCAAAGAAGTTGGGCTCATTATTTTTTTTTTTTGATTTAATATTTCTAGTTAAAACAAATTCTTCTAGTGCATCATCATTAAATTTATCTGGCATATGATAAATACTTGACTCACAACCTGATTCATGCTGTCTTTTATAACAACACATCCAAAATTTTTCATTTTTTGATCTTTCATACCTTAGTTTACCTGGGTGATAAATACATTTGTTTAGTGTTAATAATGGCATTCCAGTTTTGTTAACTTCAAATTCATTGCCACAATTCATACAAAAAAATTTATTCTCCTTTTGTTTTTTTGATAGTGGTTTATAATAATGAGCATTTTTAGAAATGTAGGCCAAATTATTATTTCCCATTAAGGGATAACCATTTTGCTCCAATTCTTCTTGGGATAAAATATATTTGTTTAAAAGTTCATATAAACACACACCATACATATGTGAAGGGTAGTTTGGATTATTTTTACTTTGCTGTTCAGGCGGTTTTTTAGCTTTCATTAAAGACTGTACAATCAAATTTCTATAAATACTGGTTGTTTTAGCTTTATTATGAACTTCTTCTTCAGTAACATGAGCATGTTTGATTGCTTCTTCATTTGTAAAATGTGTGGTAAAAGCTACATAAAGTTTTTCTAAGCAACTTTGCCGAATAGGATTTGGCATGTTGTTACCATTTTTAAATGTTTTAATTCTTAAGTGAAATTTAATAGTTTCATTAGAAATACTTTTTATTTCTGAATTATTAGTTTTAGTTGTAAATGATGATTCAATTTTTGGTTGATGAGCAACACGTACTTTAGACTTTAAAACAGGTGTAGATAGGTCAATATTATCTAAACTAGTTTTTTTAAGTATTTCAAATTTACGATCTTGAAGATCTGTGCTGTTAGTTTGAGATATTATTTTAATTCTATTAGCTACTAGTTCTTGCAATGATTTTGAAGATTTAGGTCTAGAAATTTGTTTAGCATTAACCATAGAAAATACACTAGAAGAAGATATATGTGCAATACGTTTTTTTGTTTTAGTTTCTACAACATGATCAGACTTTTCTTTGATTTGTTGAATCTCTTCAGTATCAGACATATCAGAATTGAATAGGTCTGTTAAATCAGACTGCAATTGATCAATTGACCCTTCTTGATCTTTTTTTTTTAAATATTTGTCTGGTACTGAAACAATTGAGTCATCGAGTTTTTTTTTAACTTTTTCAAATACTGCTTCTTTTAATGATTTATGTCCAGCACTTGATTTTGAATTATTCAAAGCATCTTTAATATTACTATTTTTATTGCTATGATCACTTTTAGAACTGCTTTTTGTATTATAATTATGATCAGGTGTTTTATCTTTCTTGGACTTCTTAGATTTATGGCTAGATTTAGAAGAACTTCTTGAAGATTTTTGTGAATGTTCTGATGAAGAATGATGTCTATCTTTTCTTTTAGAACTGGAATGTTCTGTTTTAGAACTTTCGGTTGTATTATTACTGTCAGATAAAATTTTGATACCTTCAAACACTGTAGTTGATAATACATTAGGTAATTCTATAGAATTATTTATTTTTTCTTCATCTAAATTAGTTCTACAAAGTTCTTCAGAATTTATAATAGGTTTATCAACCATCGAAGGAACATATTCAGGAGTACAAGTTTTTTTTTCTTCATTACTATTATCGAGATCAATGTTTTTAGGTTTAATACACTTTGGAACATACTCAATTATTCTAGGTTTCAACTTTGTTTTTATATTTGATTCTTCAGAAAATGATGAATTCCTAACTTCTTCAGATTTTTTATCCTCATTTTCGACATCAATAGAATCTTGTTTACTATGTTTAAAATGACAGTATGGTCTATCACAAAAAGAAGTAGAATAATAAGGACATTCAAGAGCCCTGAAGTAACCTTTAGACGGCAACATTTTAGTTAAAATTGAATAAAAAAATATGTACGAATAAAGTGATTAATAAAATATGAAATCATAAAGATTAATCCTTAACAAAATATAATATTTGTTTGAAATATAATTATGTTAAAAAAATGAATTTTTTATCAATGAGACAATTAACAATGAAAATAATAACTAAAATATATGGTTCTATGTAATAGTTAGTCGAGATGTAACAGGATATCTAATATGAAATTCATTAAAATAATTTTTAAATAATATCTTTTACAATATTGCATTGCAAGGTTTAAGAAACATGATTAATAATAATAATTGATTAGGAGTAATTGATAACAATCATATTGTTATGATATTTAAAGTTTTTACAGTCCACTAATACGACCAATAAAAAGTCTTATTATTATCACTGACTATATTTTTACATATAATCAGTAAAATGTAAGTGTATACAGAGTGATGAAACGTGACAAATCAAATAACTTGTTCAAATAATATTTTCTCTGTATATTTTAGATTCGATGCGAAGCTGAGAAGGTATTAAATTTACCATGATGTGTTTTTTTTGTCTGTTGCCACTTTTTCTCAGCTCTCGCTGGACCGATTTCTTTCAACAATACGTCAAAAGATCACAAATCGTATCTAGTTGAAGACATTATCCTTAAAAATTGAAAAATTTTCCCTCGTTCCCCGCAAATGGGGGAAATATCCAAAAAAATTATAATTTTTAAAATTGGTAAATTTCATCATTTTTTTCTTAAAACTACCATAAGTTTTTCAAAAATTAACAAATAAATATATATTTTTTTTTATTGAAACCTAGGATATTTTCTTTTTATTTGTTATCATTTTTTTAAAATCTAACACTTAACTTACTCATAGAAAGAGATTGAAAATAGCAAAATTTGCACAAAAATTTAACTATTGTAAATGTTTCAGAAACCTGACTTTAATTTTTTTTTGCTTTTTGAAAGTCGAAAAAGTAAATTATAAAATTTAAATTACTTTAAATTGCCAATTTTATCATTAGACGAAAACGACGAACAGTTACAGATTCGGAAACACTTGTGTCTTACACGTTTCGGGTACGAGGTTCAAATCCGCCTGTGGCATTAATATTTTGCTTTTTTTTGAGTTAGAAAAAAATTTTCAAATAATTTGATTTTTATATCTTTAGATTCAATAACTTCAATAAATATCAAAGATCTTATCACTATAGTCTCCTCTCGTGAGAGGAAATTTTTTATTCATGTTAAAATTATTTTACTGGGTGGCTTCGATTTATTTTTCCAACCCTCACTTAATCTACTTTTCTCAAAGATTCGTCAAATGATTACAATTCGTATTTGATTGAAGATATTACCCTCAAAAATTGAAAAAAAAATCCCTTAATCAAATAAAAAGTAGCTTAAACAGCTTTATCCATACAAACAATTAAAATCATTCATTTTTAATATTTTTAAAGTATTTATTGTCGAATTAGATTGGATATGATAAAAATATTCAACTGCGAAAGTAAATAATTTTACTTTGTAATTTATTAATTTTTTAACTATTTGTGAGTTACTAACAGTCTATAATATTTGAAAGTTTTTGGTAGCATGTTGCTATATTAATCATAAATCTAAAAAAAAAAACCCAGCACAGGGGGGTCGCGGCACAGTTGTGACGTGGTATAGTTGGATCAAATATAATGATATCTGACAGTGATTAAAATCACTATCAAAAATAAACGCTTCGATGCAAATCTTTAGATAGTGTTTAATTTAAAAAAATGTTTTATTCCAAAAGCTACTTGATCTGCTGGTTCCTTATTAATATCTCGATTAAGATAAAGTATGTCAAATGAAAAAGGGTTTATTAAAAAATATTATTTCTCATAAAAAAATTGTGTGGATCCATAAACTTTTCAATAAGTTATAGCATTATAAAGTTAAATATAATATAAATAATAAAATCGAGAATTTTCACACGAAAATAGCATTCGGTAGCCATTTTCGCCGTGAAGACAAGTCCAGAGGTCAAATTTTTTTTTTTCACATTAAAGTATATTACATTAGCTTTAATTTAAGATATATATAAAAGTGTCAGACCTTCCGGAACATTTTCAAAAGTTAAGTTGAAAAAGTTAATTTTTTGTGAAAATGTTGAAATTTAAATCTCCCCCTGTGGGCAGAAAAAAGGTCAAATTTACAAAAAAAATATACTAAATAATAGGTAAAGATATCAAGCATCTATAAAAAAAAAATTATATTCATATGTTCATTTTTGAAAAAGTTACGGCAGTTTTTAGTAAAAAAAATTGAAAAAATTTCGAAAATTAGCGATTTTTAAATTTGTAATTTTTTTGGAGGTTTCCCCCATTTACGGGGAACGAGGGAANTAGTTTCACCTGAATTTAATGGACTTTTACAATTATAATCAAATTTTATAATACGCTCAATTGAGTAGATCTTTTTAAATTTTTTTTTTTTTATGGGTTTTTTTATTTAATGTTAATAATTAAAATTAATTCAGTTCTGCATATTTCAATTGTAGAATCTTTTTAAACACTAAACGTTAATTAGAAATGTTCACTATGATTTCTATTTAAGTTATCTATAACGATAAAAATGCAAAAAAAATCGAGCTTTTCTGATAAATTTACTGTAAATAGTAATTATAACATTTTTTAACTGCATATTAATCTTATCAATACTATTTTGTTTCTATTTGATGATGTCAATTTGCAAGTTGAGCTAAAAGTTATGGTAATAAATTCATTTTTTTTTTTTATAATAAACTTTCACTTTAAAGGAAAAATAAAGGTTTAAGGTTAAAAATGATTACTCTGTATATATTTATATATACATATATTTATGTAACTTTTGAATGATATGAGAATATTTGATTAAATCCTATTTGTTATCTATGGTATAAAATAACAAAATTTCTCGCTCGCTGAATGTTTACTGAGATCGTTTTTTGTCATTTAAAATACACTTCTTTGGAAGTAAATATTAACATTATAGTCAAAAGTTGAAAAATTTCCTTGATAATTAACAAATATTTCTCATGGAGTGTTTAGATAATGTAAATTGGGGAAATTGCTTATGGTTCGAAGGTGGAAATGAGAAAAAAAATGTCATTGCTGGAATAATATCTGGTATATTGGTATGTATTTAATTGTTAACTTTTTTTAATTTAATTAATTAACTTTAGTTATTTTGATGATTATTACAGTTTGCTACTGGATGGTGGTTGATAATCGATGGTATGGCTGTTAATCCTAGTCAAGTATCTGGTACTTATCACATTTGTGGATTGGTTGGAACATTTTCTTTCTTTATGTAAATTTTTATTATTTATTAAATTTTATTTTGATAGTGTTTTGTTAAATAAAAATTAACACTTATGACTTGTATTCAGCAATATACATTTCTCAATTTAATTTAATAACTTATTTTCACTTTTGGCTAGAAATGTTGTTTATTTTTATTTTTCTGATTATGTGACTATAATTATAATTATATATACTTCAGTATACTGTTGTGAATAAATTTAAAAACAAATTGTAATACATAGTTGGGGTAGAAATTGAGAGCGCTACAGTTCCTCTAAAGTAAAAATGTAATAATTATTGTTTGATCTTTGAAGGTAGTTGATAATATCTTAAATAGTATTAAATCAATTTTAAACCATCAAACAACAAAAATGAGCAAACTATATTTTTGAGAGACCCTAGTAAATCGATTTTTATTTATAAAAAAATTTATTAACCCCAATTAAAAAATGTCTTATACACTACTCTCTTAATATAACAGGGTTTACATTTTTAAAAAATTGTGTTGGTAATTTTGTTAGGGTAAATGTAGTATCCAATTCACAAATACGTGGTGAAGCATATTCTGGAGGATGGTTTGGACCAAGAGGTGCTCGAAGTTGGTTATTTATTGGATTTGTATTGGGATTTGCAGCTTTAATTGCTGCTAGTTGGATATTTTTTGCAGATTTTGTTGGTGCTAAAGGTAGTATTTTTTTTATAAATATAATTTTCTTTAAATAGTTATGCATGCATTTTGTGTTATCAGGATCATCAAATCCTAATATGACAGTTGGACTCGAACTTTTTTTTCAAAATATTTTTATTTTTGTTGCTTCTCTTATTTACAAATTTGGACGTGTTGAAGATCAGTGGTAAAAATTCAACAATATTTTATATTAAGTGTATTTATAAAATCCAAAAATTTTGTATTCTAATAATTTATTCAACAATAATACTATAAAAATAATTATATACTTATACTATAAAGTATATAAATGTTTATATATATATAATTTAAAATGATAAGTGAAAAATTTAAGGTCAAACATTTTTATTTCATTATTTAATTAGTTTATTTTGAGTGTTAATTCAAATAATTTTAAATTTAAGTATAGATTATATGTGTTAGATTATTACTACTATTTATATATAATTAGGTATTTACTATTAAGAATGTCTTGATCATATATTTATGGTCCATCAATTCCAGTTGATATTAAATTTTAAGTTATGACCCCATAATTCAATAGCATAGTTTTATGTTCTTCTAGATAATTTATAGTTTAAACTCAATAAATAATCTTAATAAAATTTATATAATGTTGTTTGTCTTATTAAAAAAAATAATTTTTAAATTATATATTTTAACTTCAATATATAAAACAATAATTTATATAATATTATTAATATAATATATAACTTGCAGCTTGGTAGTCTAATAAGAAATAAGTTTTTAAAAATAAATTATATAATCTTATATTGTTTATTATGGTAGTCTTTGATAGTGTAGTCACAATTTGAACAACATAATTGAGCGTCCTGGATTCAATCTTCCATTTCAAAAGCATTTGTTTCATATAAAAAAATAGACAATTGTTTTTATTTTTGGAAAAGTTTAAATGAAATTTGAGAGTGTAAGTCTACCTGGATTGTGTCTATAGTAAGATTTATTTGATTAAATATTTACAGTAAAATTTAATGCAGTACAATGTATGTTATAAAATTTTAATGAAGTCTTATCTCCGAATAAACAGTCAAACTGACTGATACTTATTTATTGTAAGAGGTCATGCACAAGAAACCCTTTTTCTACTTCTTTTTATAAAAATAAAAAATTATTCTCTAATATGCAATCATTTTTTATAATGAAAGAAGAGAAAGTTATGACCCTATCTTTGTCCCTGAGACTAGATAGACATTTATAATTTGATCTATTATGGTGATATTTTTTTCCTGGATAAATTCATCTAGATATAATAAATGTTAATGTAATATAGTTTTTTTTTAGAGAAATATATCATAATTTTATTGTGTATTAAAACACTGTATGTATTTAGTCAAATATTTTATGTTAAAATAAACTCTTTAATTTATTAAAATGTATTTAATTCATTGACAAATCAAAATAAAATAATAGAAAATTAATAGAAAAAAAATCTTATGAAAATTCAAATTTTATTAAAACATGTTTTTGTAACATATTACGTAATATATTATGTTACACAGTATATATAAGTATTGTGTGGAAACCAAAGTTTAAAAAAAAAATTATAAACTATAAGCACAGTACCTATTGATCAGTGGTGTATTTAAAAGAGGCACTGAGGCATTCGTTTCTTTTTAAAATTGTTATGTTAGTAAAAAAATTTATGTTCCCCTATATTGCTCATAATTAGTATAAAAATAGAAGCTTGTGAATAGAAAATTTCGGGTGCTTCTTCACTCATATGAATTTTTAAATACTTTTTCGCTATAGTGCTTAAATGATAATACAATATGCCTAGTTACTGTAATTTAAAATAAATAAAGAGTAATATTTATTCGTAGAACAGAATTTTTTAATCAAAACATTATTAGTTAACAATTCACTAACTAAAGCATGTCTTGCTGCTATCATCTGATAACATTTTTATTATCAGAAAAAGGGAAATGGTTTTATTATTACACTTCTTATCTTGATAGAAGGTTTTAATCTCACGTGGTTAGAATTTGTTTTGAATCAAATTCCGGAAGAAAATTGTAATTAATTATTGTTACTATAATTTTGTTTGGCTAAAATAATTTATTATGGCATCAGTCGTGTTAGGAACTATTAATAGAAATGCTTATGTTGATAAGAGTAAACTTACAAGTCGATTTTTTCCGTCTAAAGTTGGTGGAAAGCCAGCTTGGTTGGACCTAAGATATATTTTGGAGGCTGAAAAAATGATATGTACAAAGTGTAAAATTCCACTCGTATTTTTGTGTCAACTTTATGCTCCAATAGATGAACCTGGTTTTCAAGGGCAATGCTTCCACAGAATGTTATTTGTATTTTTTTGTAATGATTGTATAAGTGACAGGACATTTTTAGTGTTACGATCCCAACTATCTATTAAGAATGATTACTATTCAGATGCTCCACCTAAAGTCAACGATCCTGAGATAACATCTGAATCATGGGATGTGAAACTTTGTAAAGTATGTTAAAAGTAAAATATTTCAAATATTAAGAATATAAATGTCCATTTATATGATAAATTTTCATTTTTTATTTTGATATTTGAGTTGCCACATATCATTTAACACTATTCGTAAAGTTACATACAAATTTCTTATATTAAATTTAAATAAATAAAAATTAGTATTATTGGATTTTTAAAAAAGAGTACTTGCTTTGATAATTTAAAATTAGTTTATTCTCTACTTGAATAGAAAATGTTTGGTTTTTAAATTTCTCCTTCTAAATTTTGTATTTCATTAAACTAGTACCTATTTTTTCACTGAAAGATTCATCCCCCTTTGTAAAATATCTTTTGGAAAGTATTGATGATTTTTATTTAGATGTCTTATAATAATGTATTATATTATTATACTAAAATATTTTATAAGTATAGCAATACTATTTTAGTTTTATTCAGTATGTGTTTCAGTAGCAAACAATTAACTTAAAAATTAAATTTAACAAATATAGCTTATTTTTATTTAATTTTTTAGTAAAATATATCATTTAACAATTTTGGTTATTATGACTGTTTTTTTTTATATTTTTTAGATATGTGGTTGTAAAGCTACTGTAGAGTATGAAAACATGTATTGCAGTTTGTATCATAAAAAATTTGATATTAGTAGCGAATCAACAGATAAGTAATTAAAGCTGTCTAGATAATTATTTCTATAGATGCTTATTAATTTAATATTGTAGAAAAATTGTAATTTTACCAGAATATGAAATAAATGAGGATGTAGATGATGGTTCTAGTGAAAATGATGATGATGAGTCTTCAAATAATGATGAAAGTTCTGATGAATATTGTGAGGACACAAATAATTCCATTGGTACTCTACATGGTAATATTATTAAAATTTTCAAAAATGAAATTATAAATACTTAAATTTACACAATTTTTTTATTGAGTTTCTCAGTTTGGTAGATATTTGAAAGAATTAAACTTCCATTATTTTTATAAGATTAAAACTTATTTAATTTTCTTAAGCCAATTAATATATTTTACATGATTTTATGAAACAATTTTTTTGCATATCTAATTTTTACTGTTCTATTTCTTTAGATATAGAAAATATAGATGAAGCTTTATTAGAAATGGCATATAGTGGTGATAAAGATGATGTATATTTTGAAAAATTCAAAAATACAATTGCTTCTGTCCCAGGACAAATCATCAGGTAATCTGGACATCTGTTTATTGTTTAATACTGTTTAAGAATATAGGAAAATAAAAATTTGCAATTATTACTTGGATAATAATTGATTATAATTATTTTACTTAGGGATTCTTGAGAGGAATTAAAGGGTGAATTTACAATTTTGTGATATTGTTATATATGTTAGATCATTATATATGATGTTAACATAATATATATGTTAACAACTTTTACTCAGTAATAATTCTATACAACTATTAATATATTTGTTTGAATTCATTTCTGTGAATATAGTATATTTATTATGTAAAATCTATAATTATTAACAATTAAAAATTATTCATTAATATTTGCTTTTTATCCAAACTTTTACTTTGAAGGTATGACCGTTTGGGAATACCATTATGGATATGTTCAAAATGTATTCCTCAGTCGAATGAAATCCCTCCTTGTTCATATTGTGGAAGTGAAAGGCAATTTGAATTTCAAGTAAAAATAATTAGAAGTTTATTTAATATGTAATGTTTAATAAAACTTTAAATTTAAGATAATGCCACAAATATTGTATTACTTGAAATTACCAGAAATACCAGCAAAAGAATCATTTAATTTTGGTGTATTAGCTATATATACATGTCCAAAAAGTTGTAATACCAATAACAAACAATATCAGGAAGAGTTTTTATGGCAACAAAGTGCTTTGTAATAATCATTTGTATTGAATACTATTAAATTAATATTATTATTCATGTATTCATTGTGTTTACTAAATTTATTATATACCCCATTAAAGCTGGAAAGTTAGAACTTTCATATGGTATTGATCACCAATTTGTTTTTTATCATTACTAATAGGTTTATAATAGTAATCATATAGGAGGGGTCCAGGATCCAATATTCCAGAGCCAAACATTTCTTGTAATAGTTTTATTAATATACCATGATAAATTTTTTCCCTTTTAAATTTAAGTATTCAAAAACAACCCAGCACAGTGAGAATGTGGCATAGTTGGGTCAAGTATTATGATATCTGACAGTGATTAAAATCATTATCATAAAAAATGCTTCGATGCAAATCTGTAGATAGAGTTTAATTTAAAAAAATTGATTGATTATTCCAAAAGTTACATGATTAGCTATTTCCTTATTAATATCCTGATTAAGATAAAGTATGTCAAATGAAAAAGGGGTATAAATATTATTTTTAATAAAAAAATTGTATTGATTCATACACTTTTCAATAAGTTATAGCATTTAAAAGTTAAAAATATAAAAAATAAAATTGAGAATTTTCACACAAAAATAGCATTTGGTAACTATTTTCACTGTGAAGACAAAATAAAGTCCGAAATTTTTTTTTGTTCCATAATAAAGTAAATTACATTATCTTTAATATAAGATATGTATAAAAGTTTGAGTATCCGGAACACTTTAAAAGTTAATTTTTTGTGAAAAAGTTGTCATTTTGAATTCACCCCTGTGAGCAGATAAAGGGTCAAATTTATAAAAGAAAATATACCAAATGATAGGTGAAGACATCATGCATCTTTAAAAAAAAAAAAATTATATTGATTTAATCATTATAGAAAAAGTTATGGCAGTTTTAAATAAAAAAAATTTCGAAAATTAGCGATTTTTAAATTTGTAACTTTCTGGGAGATTTCACCCATTTACGGGGAACGGGGGAAATTTTTTCATTTTTTGATGGTAATGTCTTTGACTAGATTTGTGATCTTTTGACGTATTGTTGAAGAAATCGGTTCGGCGAGAGCTGAGAAAAAGTGGTAACATACACAAAAAAAACACATCAAGCTAATATAAGAATTTTATATTATGAAGTGTTATTAATAATATTAAATAACATTAATATTGTTAAATATTAATTACTAAGTGATTTGTTAACTACGATTCATTCAAACCATGTCTAAATGTAAAATTATATACTCGTTAATTTCAGAGACTTGGCTATTCTAAAGTAAACTGATGAATAAGATTAATAAAAATATTATAGAAATTTAATTGTAATTTATCAACAATAATAAATGTTTGTTTCTATTTGATTACAATCAAATATTTCTTATTTAAATTTAAATAATTCATTAATATTATTACATTGAAATATTAACTTATTGCATTAGAAAGTTAAAAAGTTATCAAAATGCTATTTTGATATTAAAACCACTATTGAAAATTTTTGGCTACTACTGTTTATGGATTATCAATATAAATTAATATATAAAATATGTCACCTTAAATTTTATTAATTTCAAGGTAAATGTATTAGTGTATATGAAAATTATTGGATATAAATCACTGAAACTGAAATAAAATGTTGGTAACACTTTCTATTGACTATTTATCCGTGATAACAACTGCCGTATCACTGTTTTTAGACGACTTATGTGTGTTATCACATGTCTCGGTACACGTGATCTTATAGTGATGCTTTTCATATATTATTTATTAAATATTTTTCGTAAACGGAAAAATTATAATAATATTTATAAGCAAGTGTTTTTCATATTATTGTAATTTATAAAATTCTGTCTCAAGCTTATAACACTGATTATGGAAGAAGATGAAGATGGTCAAATAGATGCCCTCACTGAAACTAAAAATCTTTTAAATGAGATAAACACAAGTGTGCTACTTGCTAAAGAACCTATTAATAAAATTATAGAAAAAGAGCAAAATATTTTGGAAGGTATTAGTTTATTAGATGTTAAATACCATACCTTACTTAGTTATCTTCAAGATTTAACTCATGTTATTTTAAACAAGTGTCAATTTAAATCTATTCAAGACATTGCATCAATTGATAGGCTTGTAGAGCAACGTACTATACTTGAACGAATAAGACCATTGGAATTCAAGATTAAATATCAAATTGATAAACTTGTTAAAACTGCTTTATCTGGAAATTTTGATCCTAATGATCCTAGTAGATTTCGTGCTAGTATTAATGGGTTGGGAGACGTTGATGATGTAGAATATGATGAATCTAATGAAGATGATAACAATCTTACCAGTTCTAAAAAATCTAAAGGTGGAGTATATGTTGCACCTAAAGTCACAGCTGTTCCATATGATGGTGATGAATCGCGGACTGTGAAGAAACAAAAAGAATTTGAAAGAGCTAAAAAGAGAGCATTACAGAGTTCCGTTATGCAAGAGCTTAGAGAAGAATATGCAGAAACACCTTTAGAAGTTCAAATTAATACTGTTGGATTAAAAAATAAACAATCCAAATATGATTTTGAAAGACAAAAATATGAAGAAGATTATTTCACTAGGTAAGTAAATACATATTAATTATTGTGGTATATTAATATTATTTTAATATGAGATATTTTTTTATAAATCTACAGATTGCCTGTTACCAAGAAAGATAAGCATAGAGCTAAACAATTATCATCTATTACTTTAGGTAAATTAGGAAAAGAAGTAACTCACTTTGAAGATACTTCTGCACTTGGTGGCCATTTTAAAGAAAAAGATGGAAATAAACGAAAAAAGAAATTTAAAGGAAAAAAAAGTTTTAAAAAGAAGAAAAGATTTTAAATTTATACATGCACATTCATGTATACACAGACTATTATTTTTTGAAATAAATAATTTAATTAATAAAAAATAAATTTAAATTAGAAAAATATACTCAATTTTATAACATAGCAGTTCCTTAATTTTAATGATAAATACTTTAACGATCTATTTATAAGTCATATAAGGCTAGTTAAAGGTGACTTTCCATGATTACAGAAAATCATAATTAATATATATAAATATTTTTTCAGATCAAAGCCATAAATACTTTCAATTATATTTTTACTCATAATCAGCTAAAACTGAGTAAATATATTTAATAGTAGCTTGTCAACTGAAAAATTTTATTTGCTAATAGAACTTTAGAACTCATAAGTATGCCGTTCTTAGTAGTAGTGTAAATTTTTCGTTTTGTAAGATGAAAAAATAAATAGTTTTTTTTTGTTAAACTTTACACTATCCTATTTAAAGCGAATTTTAAACAACATTTTTTAAATTCCATTTTTCTTTTTAAAATAAGCTTAAAACAATAGTAGTAGTATATTTTGTTCATTATTGTTTTAAAAATTATTTTTAACCTTTTAGTTCGATATGCTTTAAAAGCGTGTTCTTTTAGTTTTTTTTAACAATATTTATTTTTCACTTTTTAGTTTTTTATGACATCGCTGTCGCAGTCACCGAGTGTTTATTGTCAATTACGACTATAATTAAATATAATTTTATGTATTGCCAGCCAGTGTATTTATAAACTCACAACAATGTGTCTTGCTACCATTGATAATAAAGACTATATGCTTGTTAATATCGTCATAAAAAACCAATTAGCTACCTGTATTTGTAATCTCTTATGTATTAAACGTACATGTAAAATTATACACTCAAAAAAATTTGAACCTTTAAATGTTTATATCTAAAAAACAAAAAAGGAGAGTTACTATCAAACATATAGGTGAAGCTAATAAAAACATGTTATAAAAATACAGAAAGGAAGGGATATTATACAGGGTGTTCAGTAAGTCAGGAAACGGGTTTCTATTGTTCTCATTGTTACAAACAATGTAACAATTGTTACAAACAACCACCATGGGGGTTACTCTATTAATATATAATAATAATATAAACCGGTAACGAGCAAGTTGATATTTCAACACTATACTGATAAATTTAATATTAATATATTAATATATATATAGTAGCGTTATTATAGGGGGTTATATCCTCCCCTTATGACAAAAATAAATAACACGGTAAAGATACAATTTGTTTTGTTTGGTGGAATAATAAGAATTTGTCTTATGTATAGAACAAAATTCTAATTATGCCATTAAGTACAGGATGATTTATTTATAATAATTAAACGAAAAATAAATTGAGAATTTTTTTTTTTTTTGGTTTATTTTAGGTAGATGTTTTTCTCAATTTATCAATTAAGAAATTTGTTTTGTTTACTCCTTATACTATGTAAGAGTGTCAACTATATTTTTTAAATAGCAACATATACAATTAGGGTGGAGTGAGGTAAATGTAAACGAATGGGGTAATTGTAAATTCATCTTTTCTGCTAGAATATTTAATTTTATTTTAGATTGAAGAGTTCCGGCCCTTATATGTGTCCGTTATCATATTAAATGTAAGTTCAAAATAAAAACGTGTGTATATATCAAAAATTGCAATTACCCCACTTCACCCCAACTTGTATTTAATAGATAATGTTCCAATTAAGAAAATAACGGGTCGATAACAAATGTTGGTAGTTATAAATATTTTATAGTTTTGGGTGGAGGTGAGACGTAGATGTTCTTATTATTGACACTAGTCATTTACTGGTTGGGTTTTTTCTAAAACGCTTTTTTTTTCATATGACAACATATTATGTTTTGCCATTTGAAAAAATAATCTTGACACCTCTATTAGGTATAATGGATGAACATAAAAAATACTTGGTGATTAATAAATTGAGAAAAACGTGTATTAAAAAAACCCGAATTAAAAATGCTTAATATTATTTTGATTCTTTGATTAATTAAGTGGTTCATGATAAGTGAATAACCATGTTTATGTGTCGACAGCAGTGGCCAACAAATTAAACTATCAAATATTTGATCAACTGACCAACATTCAATAATTTGATTGACTAGGGTATGTTCTTTAACTGCCTAATGTTACAGAGTGGTCAAGTTGAAATTACAATTAATAATTATTGATCTGGCGTATAAAATTAGCGTTATGGATATACTTCATATTAAGTTGCAGATTCCAAAATGTCATTTTTAACTACTTAACTGATTTTTCCGAACCTAATTGTAATTGTAACGATTTATTTCATACGTTTTTTTTTTTGTTTCTCTGAAACCTTTAAAATTCAAGGATTGGTTATAATACCCCTTTTAATTTGTGAGTACATACAATGATATTTTGATACCATAATATAGTTTCATTTTATCCTTAGATTTTATACTGCGAACTTGTGGGCGTCCAATTCAGAAACTTGCAATTTTTTTCTGATTGATAAAAATTATTTTGCCACTCTTCCTTAGATGTTTGAGAAATGGATTAATTCGATGTAATTTTATATATCGAATTCTTAAATAAGTATTGCTTTCTCACGAAATAAATCCCGGGGCGCGAGACAATTTAAGTTTATTGCTTTTCTAGCGTTTATTTACAAAGGAGCCGACAACACCGTATTATTTTCACACAAGTGGCAGCTTTGCGTTTTTTATTCTAATAGTTTGGCTCGCGTGCTTCATAGCTGACTATGAGGTTACTGCATTGGATCGGCAAGCCATGTGTTCGTTTATGATTCAGCTTGCGTCCAAGGTCGTCGGCGGTTCAGCGTTATTTATTTTCGCCTGTTCCGTGGCCGCCGTGACGCCTACACGTCCATCTACTGTGTCGCGCGCCGACGACGTGTGATCTCTACACCAACGGCTTATATCTGCGGTGGACAACGGCGGCGGTGTCACGTTTCCGAGGCGAACGCGTTAGCCAGCTCTGACGGTGCTCGGCAGTACGTCAGCGTTTGCGGCCGCGGTGGTCACGCGATGAACGCCTGTCCGCGAGCTGGACATTGAACGACAGGCCAGTGCGCTTGGGCCATAGAACTGCCGCTTGCGAGCCGAACCCGAAAACCGGGCGAGCGGTCTGTGCGAATATTATGCTTTGTTATAATGGACAAAGTCGCCTCGTTGGTCTACGACGTCGCCGCCGCCGCCGCCGCCGTCGTCGATCAGTCGGACCTTAGCACAAACGACACGACGGCAGCCTCAGATTTTTATTGTAACGCTTACAGGTGATATATGTAGTAATAAAAATTGCACGCACTGTCTTCACGCGAAACTATTTCACACTAAGTTTTCGATCCAACTGTTTTCGGAATTTTATTTGTTGATATTTTCTACGTATTTTAGGGTTCAAGTGTAGGGGTTCACATTGTAAATGTGTGCGACATTTTTATTTGTCTCGAACGCGGAAGAGAATAAATGTTTGAATAATAAGGGCGCCATTTAAACGAACAGTGTACTGTTAATAAGAACGAATTGTCGCTTTGAGGTTCGATTTATGTGACGCACCTGCAAAAACTAGTCGTATAACAGATTTGGGTAATTTCTACAAGAAAAATGGCGACTTTCGCAAATCGGCCCACGCGACTCAACAGATTCTTCCTTTCGGTATATGACGTCATCCTTTTGCATTATACAACGTAGTAGAACTAGTTAACATTGTTGAATTATTGATATTGAAAAATAATAAATACTTTACAAGGCTCCAGTCGTCAATATTGTTTGAACAAGTCTAAAACAGCAAAGAGAGTATCTAGTTTTGAGATAGTGTACAGGCTATAGTGATAACTAGCGTAATTATAATATAATATCACTTTTCAATGATTGATTTGATAAAAGCCAACTCAAAACATTTTCGGCTTTACATTATTTTAATGTTTACTTACGTGTAAAGAATTTCTTAACATGTGGGTTTTGCATTTAATTATTTTAATTTTTCGATTTACCATAAGATAATATTTATTTCTGTATAATCTTTTGATGATCTATTCGTTTTATAAGAGTACGGGAACATTAAATAATATTTATTAAAGTATTTTCAACCACTTCTAGTCATAAAATTTTATAAGTTATTTTTATTTACTCATTGAGGAGATTTTGCGTTTATAGGGACTTAACTCCGTACTGATGAATTTGCCTTACGCCTACTCATCTGATTTAAAAACCAAAGAAATCAAATGAGTAATATTTTATCTTCTGATGTTATAGTCAAAGAATTTGTTTCATTTCTAGATTATGGTCGCTGTATTTTCATTTTTGGCAAAGTTACAAGTGCATTGAGTCACACAAAATAGTAATTTCATTTCATTAAACGAGTTACATTAGGTAAAATAGTATTTCAGAAAAGTTATGTCTGTTGTATTTGAATAATTAACGGTTAATATTATTTTCATTTTAAACTTAGATAACTATCACTGCGTATCATAATAACCACTTTGGTAACACATAAAAATAATTAGTGAATATTTGGACATTTAATTATAATTTCATAGATTGACCTTAATACTATAATATAATTTAAGATGTAAATTATAAGATGTTCGTATCCTTAGATAAAAAATTGGAAATAACAACTTGGAAAATAAAATTGGTTAAAGAATATTAATTCACTTACATATTTTGTGAGAAGTTTCATCATAGTAATTAGTCTTATTTCACTGTCATTGCCAGTAAAATTTTATTTAAAATTAGTATAAGATAAGTTTGAATTTATTTTTTAAAGAAAATATAATAGGCAAAATAGGCGTGTTTACCGGAGTCGCTAAGGCACTCGTTGTTGCCTTTGATTGGTCTAGTTTTATTGAGTTCGGTTGTTTACAATTAATACTCAATATAAAAAATTATACATATTCATCATATTTACAATAAATTTAAGAGAGGATTATCATACTTCATCTTATATGATTTTCAATTTGAGTTTACTAAATAGGTTTTTAAGGGTATAGGAGTCGTATAAGAAGAGTCATTGGTTGGTACTATTTTTGCTGTAGTTGATTTAAATCGCTGTCAATGTCTGTTTTACATGTACATACGATCGGATGATTTCAAAGTTTGACTAAACAGCACAGTGCAACAACTGAGTACATTTTTTGGAATTTTTCAGGAAAAGCTATTTTCAGAAAAAATGTTTCATTTAAAGCAATTATAACATGTTTGTTTTAGATTAACTATCTCTACAAATAACAGTATTATAGAACTTGTTTTTGTACTGTATTATCAAAAAAATAATTTTTAATATTTTTTTGAAAGAGTTGGACTTGTCTGATTATTGAACTGAGTCATTAAATTATTTTTTAGACTTCTTCAAAGTCGTGTTAAAATTCGACATATGCCAAAAAACAATTTAATACAAATTTAAAACCAATTTTTTCTAAATCACACAAAGTATTAAATTCAAGCGTATGACCATCTATCATGTTATCAAATAGTTGTTCTCACAGGGTAAATGGGGTATAGTACCCTCCACAATGAAAATAAATATTTGGTAAAGGTGCAATTTGTAGAGATAGGAAAAAATTATCTTATGTATATGACCTCTTAAGATGAAACCCTGACAATGCCACTGTACTATTTCCCTAAGTTCCATATTATTAGTTTTTTCTCACATTTGCATATTTTTGTAAAAGCACAATAGATCTAAGAAAAACTTGATTAATCATTTTTTATGGATGTTCCTATAAGTAAATTTATTATTAGCTTTCACGAATATTTTTTCAGAATAGTCATGTTTTTAAACTAGTAATTTAAAATCATGATAATTTTAAATGAAATTAGGTAAGCGATGCTTGCTGCAATCTTAGTATTTTATGTTAATCATAAACTACTGGTGGGATTTTTAAATATTTGGATTACAATAAAGTAATTATGCGCCATGACGACTTCAGATTTTATCATGATTAATTAATATGGTATTTAGAGGTTTTTAAATAGTAATATCTAGATTATGTTGGCTATGAATAAGTAAATTCATTTTTAGAACATATTTAAGGAATCTATAAAAATTATAAACTAATAGGTTATCAAACAATCATTTAAAAAAATAGATAATTCAATTTATATGTTAATCAGATGTATGTTTTCGAAGTGATATGAATAATGATATTTCCTGTCAAACTCATGTTTAAGATAAATTGTGACAATTTCGGAACCATATTGAGGGTCTCAATTTTGATTTATTGGATGATCAGATTTTTATAGTTGGAAACGGCGACATTTTTTTTAGAATATTTTTCTTTTTATGAAATAGCGATGAAAATCCGTATACCAGATGTACAGAGTTAATTAAGGTAAAACGACTAATTGTAATTTAAAACCGCTCATTTAAGTATATTAATTTTCAAAATAAATTTTGTCAATTTTTCAATATTTGTACACCAGAGGTAAACTACTTCATGTCATATTCTTTTTTTTAAATGAGGTGTTGGTATTTGTAAAATGATTATTTAATAATCATTCCAAAAGTAATTTCAATTCATTTTCGAAAAAAATGTAAAAAAACAAGTAGGTACGACTTTTTATCTACGTACAAACGCAACAAAAGTAGTATAATTTTAACTTAGTAAATAAGTTGATCAAACGTGTAAAATCTTATGCAGATCGTAAATCACTCATATTTGTTATTGTAAAGTAGTATACGTTTTTGCGTTTAATGTATTTCAGCGAAAATCTGAACATTGTGTTTTTATGAATTTTGAAAATATAATAAAAAGCTCTCATTACGACTTAATTATTTTTTTAATGAGAGCGTTCAACAAAACTGTTTATTCTGCTTAAAGTTAAGATTTTTTATGATGTATAGAAAAACAAGAGCTGCCATTATGCTTTTATTATTTAAAACATATTTTATTCGTTTGGCAACAACAACAGTACAGTAGTGACATATACACAGAGAGAATAAATTAAAAGTTGTTGCCAAACATAATGTCGGAATGTCTGTTGCTCGACTTTTAAATGTTTTAATATGAAGTAAAATTCTTAATTTTTGAACTATATGAATTGGTCATTTTTTTTCTATAATTTAATATTATTCAAGTGATTAAAAATGTAGTGAATATTCTTTATAATCAATAATATCAACGTTCTCAGTTTTATGCTAACGTTATTAACTTGTTGCAGAGTTCATCTCCGGAACGATAGTTACACGTGCAAGGTTATAATTTTTTTAACTTGACTAAACCCAAAATAAACCAATTATTTAATATCTTTTGAAGCAAGCCATTGAAAAATAAAATTTAAAGTTATACAATAAATAATGTTAAGTATTAAGCTTAATATAAGTGTACTTAATATACTTTGGTTTTTAGAGTTATTTTTGATCGGTTAATTGACAATAGTGTTGATTTCATAAGCGTTTGGTGGAATTTGAGGTATGAACTACTGACACAAGACGTTATTTGCTGATATCCAAACTCTGATTGACCTCGCCTACTCAGTATTTGCTTTAGAATTACTATTTACGGTTAAGTAAACCGAAGTTTACAAAAATTAGGACATGTGTGGTGATACTTAACTAACATTATTTTCGAATATTATTATAATTGATATAATATTTAAATGTTACCATATTATCGTTAAAAATTGTTAGTTTAGTCAATCTTCTTAAAAATAATTTATCATGTCTTACTTTATATGGCTGCGGATATTTATAATTTTTTGTCCAACACTTGGGTACTTTCAGAGTTACTATAAAGTTTAAATTGAATTCAATTAAGACGTTGGGGAAAATTAAAAAAATATTCTCTTATGATGCGATTTAAGTAGATTTAACAAATACCACAAAATTATTTATTCTATTTAAGATGTTCGTAATCATCAATCCTTCATGTAAATAAATAAATTTATGTGTTTTGAGAATATAAATCTATAACACTTGTTTATGAGCACAATGACATAAATTAATAAATTGTAATTTTATATATTATATAGTTAAATATATTGAAACAAAAAAGTTTTTTTAATAGTATTTGAATTGAAGTTATACTCAGATTTTACTATATACTAGTTTAACTGAGTTAGCTTATTTATATGAGTTTATTATAAATTATTTATGTTGCATCAGAATTTGAGCCCAAGACGAAGTTCAGATGTACCATGATGCCTTTATTGAATTCGTTACAATATTATCTAAAAAACCTGATAGTATTTGATTTTGAATTGTTTTATTAAGCATAGTATAAAAATTCGATTCATTAATTATTAATATTAGTGTATATTTTAAACCAAAAATTGCTTTTAATTTTTGCCATAGCTTTATCCAGTGCAATCTCCAATCAAATGATTTAATACACAACGATGGTGAGCAAACATATGATTCCGCATTACAGGATGTTTTCCTGGACGATTTATCTCAAAGTTCATTTAGCAACGATACCCCACCTGACCAGTCGGACACTAACAAGAGACATAACTGCGAATTCACCGGCTGCAAAAGGACGTACAGTACAGTCGGTAATTTACGCACTCACATGAAAACCCATAAAGGTACTTAAAAATTATTTTTTATAATTTTCATCCTATAATAATTATTTTGGAAAGAAATCATACTCATAAAAATCTTTGCTAAGGCAGTAATTATTCAATTAATAATCTTTTGGAAATTCCGTTTAAATCGTGTTTAAAATTTATTTCTTAAGCGTATCTTGTCATTAAAACTTTGTTGATATAGGTGAATATAGGTTCAAATGCAATATAAGTGACTGTGGTAAACCGTTTCTAACCTCTTACAGTTTGAAAATTCACGAACGAGTGCATACTAAGCAAAAACCATTTGTTTGTACAAAAGAAGAATGCCAAAAGGCGTTCAACACTGTTTACAGGTATAGGTTTCTATATGATAAGCTCTAATAAAACACCAATCCCGTTGAAGATGAGTCTACTACAGTTTTTTGTTTTAGTACAGGTTGCGTGCTCATCAACGTTTGCATACAGGTGAAACATTTGATTGTATGCAAGCCGGATGCGGTAAATGTTTTACGACATTCAGTGATTTGAAAAAACATTACCGGACACATACTCAAGAACGTCCTTACAAGTAATTATAAATTCTATAAAAATACATATTGTTCAATTAGGATTTGTTAATACATTTTTTTTCGCCAACAGATGCGTGGAGGAGGGTTGCGGCCGAGCATTTACTGCTAGCCATCATCTTAAAACTCACAAACGAACACATTCAGCGGACAAATTGTATACTTGTGATAGACCTGACTGTAATAAGTCTTTTCCGGGCAAAGCTAGTCTTAAAACACATCAACGATGTCATGACATTTGGGACGAATCTGAAACGTTATCAGATTTTGCTGACGATCTGCTCCAAAACTTGGACAACGACACGCTTGCCAGCACAGGACAAGAACTTTTAAAATTACAAAGTATACCTTACATATGTTTTTACAATGTTTTTCTATATATCTAGAGCTGTGTAGTTATTTGAAAAGTAATATTATATTTTTGTAACGCTATATAACAATGTTTCGTTATTATTTAGGCCAACTTGTTATACCTTTGTCGAAAGCCAACATAATGGCGCTCAGACAGCCCGAAGCAGCTGAAATAGAGGTTGAGGCATACTTATCTGGAAGTGCCATTCAAGCATTGACAAGAGGGTCAATGGATTCAAAAGCAACGGTGCAGAAAATGATTTTGGCTGAACCGGGTGACGACATGCCGGCCAAAATGTCGGTTGACTGTAATATCGACGTACAAAAGATGGGACAAGATGCAAACGGCATGATTAGCTTATGTGTGATGGACAATGGCGAAGTAATGACCAGCTTATTAATGATGCCAGTGATCAGCAACGCTAGTTACGAAACAGTGTTAAACGAAGACGATAGTCAACCGCCAGCAATGTCCATTGCTACAGAAAGCATTCAAGATTTACATTTTGCCGAGCCAGTCATCCAGCATACAATACATTCTGATGCCATCGTGGCTGCTACTGCCATGGAAATATCCGAGGATGGTTCGTCTTTAGACAACGTTGGTCTTATACCGTTCCAAGACATTTTGGTGTCGAAACCGGACACAGACTTTGCTGTGTGCACGCCCCAAGTGAAACTCTGTGATGACTCCATTGAGGAGCAACTTGAACAAATGGTCAGAAACTTGAATGCGGAAAAGCTTATAATGAGTATGGCCGAGGATTGTGGTGACATTGGGCTACTAGATAGTTCAGTGGCTTCGCTAGTGGTGAGTCCACAGCTAGAAGTATTTGAACCAACATTTCCCGAACCTGAACTAAATACTCTAGTCCACAATTGTACTGCGTCTGAAGAACCATGTTCCGAAAGCCATCCAGTGGCATCCTGTTCCATGACTGTAGCAAGTAACACACGTAAACAACTCAGAAAAGTACTCGAACACAGACGCCCAACCGGAATAACTCAATACTAAGTTAAACTAATTATATTTTTATGTTAAAATAATTTTTTTACATTTTTTATGTACACCATGATCACTAACTTAGATACTAAGTGAATATTATATGTTAAACATACTGAAATACATTTCTCGAAATAACGTTTAATCATTACAATTAAAATATAAATTTGTTGTTAACTAATAAAATAAGAAATATTAGATTATATGATGAACCTTTTTTTCATAATTAAAATCTGTGTGGTCAATTATGTTGGCTACATTTATAAATTAAGTAGACCGTAAGCCAAGATTATAAAATTCTACTCAAATTATGATTAAAATAAATAAAACATTTGTATTCGTTTTTATTTTGGAAATTGGAACATACACAATTTAAAGTGTCGTGGATACGTTATTCTGGACGCTTTCCAAAAAAACTGTCGTAAAAATTATAATACACAAAACATTATTGTAATTTGGCTAAGAGTAAAATGGTTTTGAAGTAAAACTTTAAATTAAGTTTAAAAGCAACTTAACATATTGAAGAGGCTTATGACTATAACACTGAAACTAATTTTTTTTCATACTTTATAGTTGTATGTGGTATATTAATATACTAATTAAGTAATCTTTATTAAAGAAGATAAAATATTTTAGGATGAGTCTCAAAATCAGCTTTATGGCATATTTATTATTTTGAAAATAATTAAATTCTGTCAAGTGATTATTACCAGATGTTTTATGAATATTTTTATACTTCTAAAATCTGACAATTTTTAAATCTTATTATTATTAAAATTATCTCTACAAAATTTAAAATCAATCTCGTGATACTACTAAGATGTAACCCAAGCTAAAGAAGTTTGAATTTGACTATTTCTTTTTAAGAATTATTGTCAGTTACTTTTATAACATTGAAAAAAAAAAAGATTATTTACTTAAAATTAATGTTGAGTGAATTATCTGCATACAAAATAGTATCATTGTAACATCAATAAACTCTTTTATTCTAAGCAGGGCAGGATTAACGCACATATTACTAGCAGAGGTAGCAACATTTCAGTAGTGGTATTTTAACATTTTAAAAGTTTTCATTAAAAAAATAAATAAATAAAAAAAAAGATTATTAGAAATACATAAAAAATTTATACAAATTTTATATATAAAGTTTACTTTTTCTTCTCAACTTGGAGGTAGCGTGGTCGATAAGTATATATCAAGTAAAATCCCATGCACAGGTGTGTTTGATAACTGTACAATCATCCATTTGAATAAAAATAATAAGAAATAGTAATTTTTGAATGGAATAAATTTTATAATAATATTTCCGCTCACAAGGAAAAATTACTTTTTAATTATAATGATATGATAAATAACTTAATTAATAAAAATAATTTCGTTTAACTTCAATTCTTAGTATTCTACACTGAAACTAAAACTTATAAATTATACTAGCTAATTATTTCCATGAGGTTTGTTAAATTTAGAATAATTTAAATAAACTCTGCCGATATTTATTTTAAGATTGAAATCATTGCCCTCCATTAAACAATTAATTATTTTTTAGGTCAATTAAGTGATAAAAAATATACTATTTTTAGTTTCCAAACGTTTTATTTAACAAAATAAAATAATAACTTTTAATTTTAATTTTATGGTTTCTTTTTCAATAATAACAAAAATATAACAGTACATTTTTAGTACTTTTTTTAACATGTGTTAAAAATGATCTTAAAATTATACAACAAAATATAGTATTCTCTTTAAAGAACTTTTAAGGTACGTTAAAAACATTAATATTTATATCCTTATGAGTTCTAAGTAATTAATTTTGATATTTGTAACAAAAAAACGATACTGGTTTATAATATAAATTATAGTATCTATTGAAATAGTAAAAATGTTTACATTTTATGTTAGATATCAGTTTGTGTATAAAGGCTATTAAACGCTATATTGCTTTAGTAGAAGAAAGCTTTTTTAAAGATTTAAATAATTTACAAATATTAATAAGAATTTTATTAGTTTATAGTGACAAAAAACTATAAGTAATATGTTGTTAAACGTTTGAACATTTTAGAAACGAGAAATAAAAAATACACTCGTATCCTTTCTCAGATCACGAGAAAAAATCGCGTGAGAAGTATTAAAAATATTTTGAACCGAGAAAATAATTTAGGAAATATAAATATATCAACTAACCCAGAAGAAAATCTTGAACCAAATAAAATTAATAAAGTCGAAGAAAGCTTTCTTAAGAATAATAATGGCCGAGAAAACGAGACGTCAAAAGTAATTTTATTATTATCTTTCTTAAAATAAGTAAACAAAATTACTTATAAAATTTAAAAAAACTGAATAGTTACTTCACAGTAATAAAATTTTAGCGTGTGAAATTCAAAACTATTTAATTCTCACTAAAGTTTAAACAAACTATGATTATATTAATGATATTTACCGTACTAATGTATCTTCTAATTTAAATTTTTGAGTTGGGGCTTGATAAAGAAAATTATCAATAAAAATCTATATACATGCTAAATATTTATTACTTGTGAAGTAACTTTTCCGTGGTCTTTTATTTTATGAGTTTATTGTTTACTTATTTTAAGAGAGATAATAATAAAATTACTTCTAAAGTCTTGAAACCAAATCCCCATACTAATCTCTATTTGTATCAGCTTCAGAAAACGATTCATTATAAAATTGCCGTTCTTCATAATGGCTGTTTTGAGGATTTGAGTCAGTAGTCAAGTTTATTCGAATATTTCCCTGCGACTTTGCAGTATTCATATAAGATCCATCATAAGTCTCATCTTCATTATCTAGAGTATGATCTATGTAATTCGCACAACTTGGTATATACAATTCGGGAGTATAGTAATACACCATTTGTTCGCCTTGATGGGTATCAATAAAGTATCCCATATTTTTATTTTTTGTAAAGTTAGATCTTGTAGCACGGTCAGTATCAACAGCTATTTGCTGATTTTAACGGATATTGAAAGCTAGAAAAAAGTTAATATATCAAGATATCGCAGATAGAAGCGAGTTTTAATTTTAGTTTTTAAATTTTAAATTTTAGTTCAAAATTACGTGTTAATTTTATTATGTGATAAGTGATGCATAATAAAACATATGAATTGAACATTATCTCATAAGGGAATAGTTATTGAAAATAAATTTTATATATAAATTAATATTTATAGATTACATAGTACTGTAGTAATTATTGAGAGTCATACCATTTTAATTTATATTAAACATAGAATAAAACAGTTTTTATTTCTATTTTCTTACTCAGTAAAATAGAAGTATTTAATATTAAAAAAAATATACTCATTATGTTTGTGAACCACTTTTCTTTCTTTAATTTTTAGGAACTCCGATGTCTCAGACTTTTTTCTATTCAGAGTTTATATTGACTTGGTATAGTTTTTAACGAGGCGGCATTGAGACGAATTTTACGATTACTTTAAAATAAATACAGTTATGTTATAACCTTTCAAATTCATGTATTATTGTTTTAATTGCCATAATAATATTTTAAGATTCCTGTCCTTAGTTTTTTTAAACATTATCTCTAAATAATATACTATACATAACAATGACTATTGTATTTATCCGAAGAAAAATTTTAGTGAGAATTAAATAGTTTTGAATTTCACACGCTAAAATTTTATTACTGTGAAGTAACTATTCAGTTTTTTTAAATTTTATAAGTAATTTTGTTTACTTATTTTAAGAAAGATAATAATAAAATTACTTTTGACGTCTCGTTTTCTCGGCCATTATTATTCTTAAGAAAGCTTTCTTCGACTTCATTAATTTTATTTGGTTCAAGATTTTCTTCTGGGTTTGTTGATATATTTATATTTCCCAAATTATTTTCTCGGTTCAAAATATTTTAATACTTCTCACGCGATTTTTTTTCGTGATCTGAGAAGGTATACGAGTGTACTTTTTATTTCTCGTTTCTAAAATGTTCAAACGTTTAACAACATATTACTTATAGTTTTTTGTCACTATAAACAAATAAAATTCTTATTAATATTTGTAAATTGTTTAAATCTTTAAAAAGAGCTTTCTTCTACTAAAGCAATAAATCATCAATAATAAAATATCTTTTCGATGTGCCACTTACTAATGGAATGGTTTGATTCACTTTGTAATTGTAGCGTACGAATTAGATTTATTGAGAAATATGAAAATAATTTCTAAACTAAATAGAAATAAATTGTATAAATATATAGTCAATACATTTAAAATTGAAAAAAAAATATGAGAACCATCGAATCCAAAACGCCAACTGAAAGAATTGAAAACATTCTGTTATAAACAAACTGGTATCTAACATAAAATGTAAACATTTTTACTATTTCAATAGATACTATAACTTATATTATAAACCAGTATCGTTTATTTGTTACAAATATCAAAATTAATTACTTAGAACTCATGTATATAAAGATTAATATTTTTTAACATACTTTAAAAGTTTTTTAAAGAGAATACTATATTTTGTTGTATAATTTTAAGATCATTTTGCTTGCAATAAAAATGTTCTCTTACACATGATAAAAAAAATACTAAAAATGTACTGTTATATTTTTGTTATTATTTAAACTATAAAATTAAAAGTTATTATTTTATTTTGTTAAATAAAATGTTTGGAAACTAAAAATAGTATATTTTTTATTACTTAATTGACATAAAAAATAATTAATTGTTTAATGGAGAGCAATGATTTCAATCTTAAAATAAATATCGGCAGAGTTTATTTAAAATAATCTAAATTTAACAAACCTTTTGGAAATAATTAGCTAGTATAATTTATAAATTTTAGTTTCAGTGTAGAATACTAAGAATTGAAGTTAAACGAAATTATTTTTATTAATTAAGTAATTTATCATATTATTAAAATTAAAAAGTAATTCTTCTTTTGGGATGGAATTCACAAATTACCAGACAGATAGGAAAAAGTTATAACTTCGGATAGGCAATACTATGAATAACACTATTGTACAGCTTTTATTTAAATAAACATTCAAATTTTGAAAAAACCGCACAAATTAAATTATAGACCTAATATATGTCTAAAATTAAGAGATTTTTTCGCAATATTTGATACTATTAGTTCAACTAGATTAAAATCAGTTCATTAAAATGTATTTGAATTATATAAAACGTATTGATCATCAAAATTGGCCTTGTGAGAGTTGAGAATTTGTATGGACAGACATAAAAAACGCATAGCATTTCAAGATCAATAACTTTTTAGTTTCGCATCCAAACTAGAAAAAAAACAATCAAACAGTTAAAAATCTACTCAATATAGTGTATTATAAAAATTGATTATAATTGTAAAAATCCTTTGTTAAATGATATGTTACCAAAAAAATTGGAGTATTATAGTCTGGTACAAATACAGAGTGATTTTTTTATCATAATCCACTCAATTACTTACAGAATAATAATAATTAAAAATTTTTTTTTTATTGTTATCTTTAGTTACACATTATTCTTGAATTTTTAACTATGTAATACTTTTTAAGTTCATACCTTATGCCTTGGAGGGGGGTCAACTTTGTTTTTTTAAATGGTAACACGTATTTTTAATTTAATAAAATATTTGAGTTTTTAATTCAATAGTAAATGGCATTTGAATTTTTAATACAACTCTAATCGTTTATTAGATATAAACATTTAAAGTTTCAAATTTTTGAGTTAATATATAGGTATAATACACAAGGGATTACAAATACAGGTAGCTAATTGATTTTTTATGACATCGATATTAGCAGGTACACAGCATTGTTATTATCAATGATAGTAAGGTACATTGTTGTGAGTTTATAAATACACTAACTGACAATACAAAAAGTATATCTATTGATAGTCATAAATGATAATAAACAATCCTTGACTGTGATAGCAATATCATAAAAAACCAATTAGCTACCTGTATTTGTAATCCCTTGTGTATTATATCTATACAGGGTGATTTTTTTATCATAACCCACTCAATTACTTGCAGAATAATAATAATTTAAACATTTTTTTTTTCATTATCTTTAGTTACACATTATTCTTGAATTTTTAACTATGTAATACTTTTTAAGTTCATCCCTTATGCCTTGGAGGGGGGTCAACTTTGTTTTTTTAAATGGTAACACATATTTTTAATTTAATAAAATGTTTGAGTTTTTAATTTAATAGTAAATGGCATTTGAATTTTTAATATAACTTTATTAGCTTATTAGATATAAACATTTAAAGTTTCAAAATTTTGAGTTAATATACATGTATAATACACATGGGATTGTAAATACAGGTAGCTAATTGGATTTTTATGACATTGCTGTCTCAGTCACGGATTGTTTATTATCAATTATGATTATCAATAGATATACTTTCTGTATTGTCAGTTAGTGTATTTATAAACTCATAACAATGTGCCTTACTACAATTGATAATAACAATGCTGTGTACCTGCTAATATCGATGTTATAAAAAACCAATTAGCTACCTGTATTTGTAATCCCTTGTGTATTATACCTGTATATTAATTCAAAAATTTGAAACTTTAAATGATTATATCTAATAAACGAATTAAGTTATATTAAAAATTCAAATGCCATTTACTATTAAATTAAAAACTCAAACATTTTATTAGATTAAAAATATGTGTTATCATTTAAAAAAATGAAGTTGACACCCTTACCAGGAATAAGGGATGGACTTAAAAAATATTACATAGTTAATAATTCAAGAATAATGTGTAACTAAAGATAATAATAATAAAAAAAAAAAATTTTAATTATTATTATTTTGTAAGTAATTGAGTGGGTTATGATAAAAAAATCACTCTGTAGAGTTAACAAATTCATAAATAACAAAGAAAGATTATTAAACTTTGTAGTTGAATCTGGTCATATAAAAACAATTTATATATTAAAAACATTAGAAATGAGAGATTTTTTCATGATGAAAAAATTGTCAGTATGGTTAAGCAACTTTTTATTCTAAGACTTTTATTCTAAGCAGGGCAGGATTAACCACAGATTACTAGCAGAGGTGCAACATTTCAGCAGTGGTTCTTTAACATTTTTAGAGATTTCATTCAAAATATAAATGATGAATAAAAAAAACGGTAGCATAGTATGATTAAAATCACTATCATAAGAAACGCTTCGATGCAAATCTGTAGATCGTTTTTTATTTAGAGAAATTGGTGGATTATTCCAAAAGCAACGTCAACTCTTATTTTTTTTGATTATATCCTAATTAGTAGATCTTTGATTTTAAAATATATTATATGAATAAATACTAATTATAATTATTAAATTTAGTATGAAATTGATATTCAATAATTTAATATTGTAATTTAAACGGAGAAATTATAAAAATAATAAAGAAGTTGTATTTTGCTTTATTTTTACGTGTATAAAAATTTAAAGGGCTTGATACAATAAATTTCAATAAAAACTGTTTGTTACTATAAATAAATGCACTGAACTACAAGGAACTTTCATCAGTAACAAAAATATACCATTCTAAATCAACTTTTCGCGATGTTTTCAAATCTGCAATTAGACTTTTTCTATCACTTCTAAGTTTTAATATTATTAAAAATTAGTATTTACATATAAAAAATTCGCATCGAAGCTAAAAAATTGGCTATTTAAGCTAACTCAAATTTAAAAATTACTTTTTCGACTTTAAAAAAGTAAAAAAAATTTAATAAGTTTAATTTCTTATGTCTTATGAACTTTATTCTATGTCAATTAAATTATATAATATTCATGAAAGTCAATATATTCTCCTAATAAGATATTTTAAAATAAAATAAAATACAAAACCTAGAATTTTAATAGAAAAATAGCATATTTTTGAATACGGTAGCCATTTGCGCATAGAAGATAGGTCGTCGGGACAAATTTTTTTTTTTATTTTATAGTACATAAAATAAGCTTTAATTTGATATATGTTTAAAGGACGCAGTATTTCCGGAACATTTTCAAAAATTAAGTTGAAAAAGTTAGTTTTTGTAAAAAAGTTGCTATTTTAAATCCCCCCCAATGAGCAGGTTAAGTGTTAGATTTTCAAAAAAATGATATCAAATGAAAGGTAAATATCTAAGGTTTTAGTATAAAAAAAAATTATGTTGATTTGTTGATTTTTCAAAAAGTTATGGAAGTTTTAAGAAAAAAAAGTGAAAAAATTTCGAAAATTAGCGATTTTTAAATTTGTAATTTTTTTGGATATTTCCCCCATTTGCGGGGAACGAGGGAATTTTTTTCAATTTTTAAGGGTAATGTCTTCAACTAGATACGATTTATGATCTTTTGACGTATTGTTGAAAGAAATCGGTCCAGTGAGAGCTGAGAAAAAGTGGCAACAGACATAAAAACAAAAAAACACATCATAGTAAAATTAATACCTTCTCAGCTTCGCATCGAAGCTAAAAATCATTAAGAACAAAAAAAATTGTTTTAAATAAATATTGATTTTGAATATTAATATGTTAAAAATTAGGAATATGACATATTTAACCTATTTTTTTAATCCTTTAAAGTTGATTTTCGTGAAAGTTTATAATTAAAAAAAATTTATTTATTACCATAACTTTTAGCTTAATTTACAAGTTCGAAACNAAAAAAATTTATTTATTACCATAACTTTTAGCTTAATTTACAAGTTCGAAACTGACATCATTAAATAGAAAATTTTATGAGAATTAAAAAAATTGTATCGTTAAGATTAATATGCAGTCAGGAAATTTTATAATTACTATTTATAATAAATTTATCTGAAAAGCTCAATATTTTTTTGCATTTTTATCGTAATAGATAACTTAAATAGAAATAATAGTAATCAATTCCTAGTAACTTTTGGCGTTTAAAAAGATTCTACAATTGAAGTATGAACTGTATTAATTTTAATGATTACTTTAACTAAAAGAACCAATAAAAAAAAAAGTCGTTAAAAAGATTTACTCAATTGAGCGTATTATAAAATTTGATTATAATTGTAAAAATCCATCATTAAATTCAGGTGAAACTAATAACTATTTTATTTTAAATTATATTGATTGGGTCATTTTTAAAAAAGTTAGGCAGTTTTAAGTAAAAAAAATTGATAAAATGTCGAAAATTAGCGATTTTTAAATTTGTAAGTTTTTGGGGGATTTTCTCTGTAAACAGGGAACAAGGAAATTTTTTTCAATTTTTGAGAATAATGTTTTCGACTAGATATAATTTGTGATCTTTTGACGTATTGTTAATCAAAATTGGTCCAGCAAGAGCTGAGACTGAGCGTTCACAGACACAAAAAAAAACACATCATAGTAAAATTAATATCTTCGTAGCTTCGCATCAAAGCTAAAACTTTATTAGAAATAACATTAAAAATGTATTAAGCCATAGAAATCTATACGAATATGAAGCCTTAGAAACGCATAAAATGTATTAAGCCGTAAAATGTATACAATTATGAAGCTCTAGAAATGCTTAAAATTGAAGAAGCCGTAGAAATGCATTATACTTAAGAATATTACTTTTCAATTTTAAAAATCTGATAAATTACTTAATTAATAAAAATAATTTCGTTGAACTTTAATTCTTAGTATTCTACACTGAAACTAAAGCTAATAAATTATACTAGCTAATTATTTCCATAAGGTTTGTTAAATTTAGAATATTTAAATAAACTCTGACTTTAGATAAGATAAGATTGAAATCATTGCTCTCCATTAAACAATTAATTAATTTTTAGGTCAATTAAGTGATAAAAAATATACTATTTTTAGTTTTCAAACGTTTTATTTAACAAAATAAAATAATAACTTTTAATTTTAATTTTATGGTTTCTTTTTCAATAATAACAAAAATATAACAGTACATTTTTAGTATTTTTTTTAACATGTGTAAGAGAACATTTTTATTGCAAGCAAAATGATCTTAAAATTATACAACAAAATATAGTATTCTCTTTAAAGAACTTTTAAGGTACGTTAAAAAATATTAATCTTTATATACATGAGTTATTCTTAACAGGTGGTAGCCAAATTTTTGTTATATTAGGGAAAAGGTCTCTAAGTTTGTCATTTTGTTCATCGTCTGATATTCCATTCAGTCCTTCAAAGGATTTGGCTACTTTTCTACAACACTTAAGGTATTCTTGAATATTTCTAATCATTTTACGAGCTGTGTTTTCTGTGATTTCGTTAGAAAAAGTTTTGATTTCTTGTGTTGCAGTTGAAAACGGATATACTCTAACCCAATTCCCTTCTGATTCCATGGACTTACACCAATCACGACCGTTGCCCCATACCGAAGACACTGTTGGAGAGTTACACGTATCAGAAGCTTGGACCATGGCACTACCACGTCTATTTGGACCGTACAACAAAGATTGTCTGGTCGTTAATGGAGATGTTATTGTCTTTTGAGAAGTGACTGTAGTAATTTTTTCATTCGCCTGCTTGTGTTTATCTTGACGTTTAGATTTCCATTTTTCTGTAGCAGCTATTGCAAGGGTAGAAGGTCTACCACAACCGACACCATACCGTGGTCCAGTTTTTGAAGTCGCCCGGAATAACGACAGTCCAGTGTTGCACATGGGTAAGCCTAGCAAATCAAACATTTCGTGTAATAAAGGTCTTTTAACTTGATTGTCCACGTCACAGTCATTTCCTAACGCTGGGCTCAAATTAACCTGAAATTTATAAAGAATTTCAAAAACCATAATATAGCATTTTTATTTCAATTAAAATAAAAAAAATTCCAATATTTTGTGATTTATGTTTACATATAAAACTTCGAAACATATGAAAATACTTTTAATTATTAAAAATGGGAAATTAGATAATAAAAATGTAATGATAAAAACATTGGTTTTTTGAGAAATTATGTATTTATTATTATTTTTGCACTATAGTTAATGTTAAGGAAAGTAAGAGGACCTAGAAAATTGGTTTTTGAATCGGAACCTTTTAAATGTCTAAAAATACGAACCAGAATAGAAATTTTGTATTTTTAGAAAATCAGGTACAGGAAACAAACTAAAACAAAGGAAACAAAGTTTATTGGGTTTTAATTCATTAACTTATGCTGTACAACATTTTTATTCCCATCTTATACAGAAAAACTTTTTTTTTCGTTTTAGTGTCAATATTTATTTCGAGGAGGAGGTCGACAATAGGTTATTGTCTATAATAAACATATATATGCTTTATAGGATATTTTTTATTTTCATAAATGTTTTACTATATTTGGTTTTTTTTCTGGTACTAAAATTTTTTTTTTAACCATGTGGCTTGACATACAAATGAATTGCATATTCCAACTTTAAGGGTAGGGTGAGTTGTGTAGCATTACGTTAAATTATTTTTTTTCCCTCCCTAAAAAATATTTAAAGGTACTAATATAGATCGTTAGTTTGAATTTTTAAGAGTGCTTAATTCCTTACTATTTTAAGCTTAAGAGCTTCCTACGCAAAAACATCTTTGACATAAGCGTTCACATACATGAGAGTATATTAAGGGTAGAACATCTCCCTAAACGAAAATTAATAAATTGTGAATGTGTATTTTGGAAGGAGTAGAAAAATAATTCTCATGTATATTTCCCCCTCCTAAGACAAAATCTTAAGAATGCTTCTGGCTTATGATTATATAAATTTTATCAATTGGAACCGGGACCTTTATTTTTGAGAGACAGAACTTACTTTTTAAGTATGAAAAGAACTCGAACCTAACCAATATCTCGACATAATTTTTCTTGAATTCGAACCCGAACTTATAAAACATAGTGGGTCAAGTCTCTGATTAATGTATTTATTATTAAAAAAAATATGTTGATACGAACAAGAATCATTTTTAACTTTTAATAAAAATAATTCATGCATAAAATTGATTCTAGCATATTTAAAAATTATGATAATATTCTTAAATAGTCGATTTGACAAATGTGGCCCTAAGATTACCTCTAGTAACCATGGTTTCAGATCTGAGTCAACCAGTATATCAAAACCATACAACTCGAAACAATTAGATGTCTTTGGTATGCTTGTGCATTGACTAGCTAATGTTAAACTGACGAGAACGGATATTTTTTGCCAAAGTAACCAATCATTAACACCGGCTTGATGGATGTAATTTCGAAGCTGTTGAAAGGTCCATTTGCATCCTGAAATACATTTTTTTTTTCAACACTGTATATCGCATAATATTGCTATCACATTTGTCAACTTGTATAAGCAGAATATAATTTGTAATATTTTTTTATGCTTAAATATGTTTAAATTATTAGCTGACCTTTGATAATCATTGAAACAGATATATAATATAATGTTAACATAAAAATTTCAAGTGAAAACAAATAACTTCAAATTTTTATAATATTTCTAGTGCTCTCTGAATAAATTATTTAGATAAAATTTTTAAGTGTTCATAATATGTACATCTGTCTTATTAGTTTTTAATTCTTTTATATTATTAATAATATATGTAATGTACAATCTGGCGAATAAATTGTTTGCTGACTCATCATTACTTCCAGATGGTGTACACCTCATAAAAACAGAGTATTGGGAACTCAGTCTCTATAATTTCAAATGATTCATACTGAAATAAATACACTAAAAAAGTTATAAAACAAGTCTTATTTATAAACAAAATATTTTATTTTACTAGAATAATTTTTTTATTCTAATGTAGCAAAACAAGCAAAATTTTATCCTAAAAATTCTTTGTAATAGTCCGTTTAGAATCTTGAGATTTTTTTTCTATTTCAGTTAGTGATAGGAAAAATTGGGATTTCTCAAAGTTGGATCATTTGAATTTTCTATATCCAAGATATGAATATTAATTTCAGATTTGAAAATCATTAATTTAAAAAAAAAATATTAACTAAAAAAGTATTAATTTAATTGATAAGTATAAAATGAGTTAAGTTTGCTAATAATTTATGGATTTAAAATCCGAAATTCGAATTTTTGGGATTTTGGAGCTATTTAAATTTTTTCAAATCACTAGTAAGCAGCATTATTAGAATTTTTGTTCAGAAGTAACGATTAAATTAATTGTATAATTTTATAATTAAATATATTCTAAATAAATTATCAGAATTATAGGTAATACCTAGTCCAACTTTTTCTTTAGTTTCTGAATAGTTAGGTCCAAACTTATTGATTGAACTGTTTGTGAGATGAGCGAATTGATTATCGAGATTGTTCAGCGAATACTTATCCGTACTAAAACGAGTCAATCCCTCTCTGTATAAATAAATTGTCAGTGGATGAAAAGATGGGACTAAGACGTACAGTCTAAGATCAAATTTGTAGCCGCCAATTAATAATGGGTTTTTGATGTAACGTTGAACGACTGTGTTGGTATCATACACGAGATCACCGATTTGCTAATAAGTATTATAGAAAAAATTTAATGTAGTTTAAATTAATTTACAAAATAGATTATTTCTTGATGAAACACGTTGATTAACGCTTATATACTTACCGATATTAAAGAGATACCCTTGCCTTGACTTTGTCCAACCGGTTTGCAAATCCAAATAGATTTTTCGCCGATATCTGAATCATGACTACATTCGGCCGCTAATTTAGTATAGTCAAGTGGCAGGTTGTATGAATCGGGACTGTATAAAATAAAACAATAAACCGACAGTATTAGTACTGTAAACCAGAACAAATATTTTCTGACATGACAACATATGTTGAATACATTGCTTAATGTCAACATTTCAATCGTGTAAAATATAATATAAAAATAGTATTCTATTCACGAGCAGGAATATTATTGTAGAAGTTTATTTAAATAAATAATATAAATAAGTCTATTATCAATTTTTGAACTTTCAAATATTGATGTTAACCATGTTCATTTTAACAAAGTGAAATGAGAGAAAAAAGTACATTTTAATAAATTGACTCCCTAAAAAAGATAATTAATAAAATATATTGTTACAATATATTAAATGGTAAATAAATGAAATATGAATTTGTAAAAAATAGAAAATAGAAAAATAACATTGAGTATTTATAAGTTCATTTTACATTGTAAAGTGGTATTATTAATGTATATTGACATAAAACATTTAATTGTTTTAAATACCATATTTAATTCATTAATTCAGTATCACGATCCTAAAAACTATCAGCGTAACTTAAAAATTTTGCAAGTGGAGTCTATAATTCTATGCACTAAGTATGAGTAATAGACCTAGTTAAGAGCTACATCGTCATAATACTTTGTCAATTTCCTTTTCTCCTATAAAACATAGTATATTCGGTGAATATTACAAATATGTCTATGAGGACTTAAGTCTCCACAGCTCCAAACAAACAATTTTAATACTGAAAACAAAAGAATATTTTAAAAAAATATGACCGGGTGACATTTTTTTACTCAATACTTAAAAATTTTAAAATTGATACTTAGAAAAATAGCAATGAGCAAAAGTCTACAGAATAGCTTGGTGTTGTCACTTGCTAATTAAATATATGACGTAGTAGATGATAAAAAATTATTACCAGATGACATTTAAGCAACCTACCTGATTTGTTGTTAAAATATTTTATGACAATAGCTTGAATATAAGATAAATGTTTCTATTTAAAAGTTCAACGCGAAATTGCTAAGGTTTTTAAGTCATAGTAAATAAGTTAGAAATTTAACAGTTTATTTTCATTCATGTCTATTTAAGTAGCACAATAAACTATCAAGAGAGTGGTTAATGATATGTGGTCATAATATATTGTATTATCATTTTTAAAATAAGTTGAATTACATATTACAAATGTTTATTCTAATAGAATAACATAAAATAACTCGAAGTTTTTAGATTTTACTAAAATATCTAGCTATTTATTATATTTGATATTAGAACTTTTTGAGTTATAAAATTATTGGAAATAAACTGATCTCATGATGGTTTAAAAAGAAATATTTATTGGATAATTTCGAAAATCAATTTAAATATTGGCGTACTTAATTATAATACACACAATTTCTTATTTTTATGATTTAAAAACTGTATGTTTTGTACCTGAAACCAAACAAGGAAGATCCAAATACATTTTTCATACATTTCAAGTATCTCCATAAATTGTCTTTTCGACACAATGTTGATCCACTGGGTATATGATTGTTAAACTAAAAAAAAAAGTAATATAAATTCTAATGGTATCCATTATAGTTTTATATATTATTATTAAATAAGATTTGTCCTTTAATGGAAAAACATTTACCAATTGCTTAAAAAACTAATGCTAATACGATTAGAATTGTTTGGGGTATATTAAGTATTTTTATAAAAATCATTGACAATCAAAAGTTTTAAATAATTAACATGAGATAAAATATAGAGATTTACAAATGAGGATTTTAATTCTTGGGAGTTAAATGAATAATATATTACTATTTTATTATTAAATTATTTTATAATAATATTTTAGTTGAATTTATAATTATAAATTGACGCTTTAATAATATGTTTCATAAATTTGTTTTAAATAATTATTATTTTCAAGTATTATGATGAGGGATAATTCTTAACACTATCACTACAGTAATTACGGCTTAGACTAAATTATTTTAAATATCCAACTCTTTTATCTCCTTTATCCAGCCTTCATTTTACCCACACAAAAACTGAGTTAATAAAATAGCCTCGCTATGATTTGGAGGTACTAAATCTAACTAGCACTTAGCAATGAACCCTAATAACATTTACAAAACAAAAGGTTATAATAATGTTTTATAACGTTCTTATAAAATATAATGTTATATAAATGTTTTTATAACATCATTTTTTTAAATCGCTATTTAGGAACGATCGTATGTTTTGTTGGCCGACAATAAAGCCATCTTTTAAACGGCATAGTAATTCATCAAGATCTCTTAATTTTTTTTGCTTTCTGTTCGATTCATTAATAATGAGAGTAGTAATGTATGTGTGACTTTAATGTTTATTTTTTATAAAGTTATAAATTTACTTAATATTTAAATATTTTATGGATTTTCTGCATCAATAATAAACTTTATTATTTGTAATATATTACATTAAAAAAAAAAAGAAAAAAGAGTATAAATTTTTATTTTATTAATAACAAAGTGACTAGTACTCTTTTAAATTACATGGAATTTATGATTATACTATTCGAAAGGTTAAATTTATACCATCTTACTACACTTAAATTTGTCACATCTATAATGTTTTTTTAATGTTTTAGATAAATAATACAGTAACCAATGGTAAACTAGAATTCAAACTAAAAATTATAAATAATAAATTGAGAACCTATTTTGACGTTCGATCAATATTTTTTCATATTTATAATCAACATTAGCGATTGTATACTGGAAAGTACACATTTTATGTCAGTTCAATGAATTATAATTATTAAAAATAAAATAAAATAGTGTTGAGTATTAATACTGTTAACAACAATATATGAAAGAAGAAATATCAATTAAGTAGTTAGCTATTTTTTTTGTAAATTTATTTGACAAACAATTCCTGAGTTGTTTTTTTGGTGTAGCATTTTTACAAAAAGGAATCAAAAAGCAGGTTATAAAAACTGCAGTGGTGGATCGATGCGCGGCATTATACTATCCATTGCATAATCAGGTCAACTCGATCTCTAGTGTTGTATAGTAAGTATGTTACACTGGCAGCGGCAGACGCCAAATATCAAAGTAATTCCACTGATAGCAAGGACACGCATCTATCATTATTAACAGCATAACCTGACACATAAACATATCAAAAAATGTTCGTGTTTAAGCAATGCAATTTATTTGTTTACGTAAATATTCGATTTTGAAAATAAAAAAAAATAAAAATCTTAAGCTTGGAGTTGTTATAAAAATAAACTAACACTAACACATTATTTATTTAAAATTAAAACAACATTTTTAAACTAAAAAATATTTTTTGTATAGTTTTAATTTTGAGTAATATTAGTCACGAGTGGTCAATTTTTATTGTAACATATTAGTTATTGTTAAACATTTTAATATTTTTAAATAAAAAAAATATTGATAATTTTTGGCGACTGGTTAAAATGCGAAACCTGGTAAAAATTATTCTGTAGGTAATTTTTAATCAATTAATTTAATTTAATTTATCAAATTAATTTTTTCGATATATTAAACTTATTTTTGCTGATTAGTTAGGCATTAGGCTCTCTCCCAAGCATGAGGATATATTTAATAATAACTCTTTTAGGTTTCTTAGTTATACCTGCCATATTTTTTGCTGTTTGTAGTGTGTCAATGAAAATCCTGTAGATTTCCACCAAAGATTCCAATATTCATCTGATGGCACTGACCACAGCGTATCACAATCACCGTTGTTTTTTGCATTACTGCAACTATATTCCTTCCAGCCTCGTTCTTGACAAACCTGAAAATATGGTTCATGTATTAAAAAAAGATAATAAAATAATTACAATAAAACACCACATACTAATTGGCTAGAGTTAAAGTTACAGATTCCTTTTAGGGTCATATGTACTAAGAAGATATAGAACTAGTTTATTTACTTTGATTTAGATCATTAGTGTCGGCCTACAATGATATAAGATAAGGTAAAACACATATAGTAGAAAGAGAAAAATGGTATCTTCTAACAACTGGACTAGCTCAAGACTTTGAAACAACGGCAACCGATATTCAAGACAATGCACATTGAAGATATTTACCATTTTAATTATTAGACCTAATCCATATAGTTGATATCTGATAAAAAAAATTGCGAATTTGTAATGTTACATAATAATGTGAAATGTTAAAAATATGTTCGATGATTATCAACATCCCTAAGAATGATAATGATTTCAAATTATGTATTTCTATACTTGTTCATTATTATCTAAAGAGTTGAAAATCAATTACTGTGATTTTAAATATTTACAAATGTTTTATTTTTTAGAGTAACTTATGGCTTAATTATAGATTTTAAAAAATATAGTTATGATAAAATTTAATATATTAATCAATAAAAATGATGAGTTTTTTAAATTGAATATTACATGACAAAACAAAACAAAAAAAGATAAAACATTTCTTTGGATAAACTAAAATTACGTTACTGAGTAGTTAACACATGGAACTTAAAAGTGTATGTTTGTTCGGAATTGAAGTGTAGCCAAATCGATCGAATGAAATACAAAAAGCAGCTAATTAAATGTGAGCATGCTTTTAATATGGCTATTTTTGGACGGATAAGCATGAACAGTAAATATGTAATATTTTAAACTACATCGTATTCAGCAGTGAGAAGTATTCTGTATGTGATATTTACTAGACTATAGTAACGTAATATCCTTTTTTACTGATATATTATTTATGGTGAACCTTTACTCGTACAATCCATTAATTTTACCTGCATGGAAAATGAATTAGAAAATGAAGAAAGTATATTATTTGACATTGACAGTTCAATTAAAAGCTAATGATCCCGTTCAGAAATTATTCTATGGAGAGTAAAAAAAAATAATAGCTCAGCTATCAGAAGTTAATTTATTAACTTTTTTGATCGCCAAAGGTTAAAAAAATATATTTTATGCAAAAAAACTTTTTAAAGCAATAGAAAATATAATAATTATAATATTAATGTATGTTATGGTAATGTTAATTTCACTGTTGTTTATTGAGTAGAGTCATATCTAAGAAGGGGTAAATAGAGGTATGTGAATATGCGCAATTTAAACAAAATCTAACTTAATTTCTCCTCTCCTTAAAAATAATTTATATATAAATTTACATGTAATTTTTATAATTGTTGACTTATAATTAAATTGGAATAATACATTTAATTTCGAATTTTATAGCTAATAAAAGATAAAAATATTATACCTCAACTGGATAAAATACATTTTAGTAGCTATACAAAATTATTAAAAAGGAATCTTAACAAAATCTGTATTATACATTATTATCGATAGTCAGAAGTTATACGGTCATTAACTACTCTTCAAAGTTTTTTCATTAAATTTTCTTCGAACACAATTCAATGTCATGTTAATAGAGAAGTTACTTACTAGTTACTTCATAAAAAAAATCGTTTTTTTACTTAAAATTTGTGTTATTATTTAGCTGAAGTATATAATAGAAATTTGTATACGCTTTTAACATTTTTTTTGAAAACAACTCGATGATTGAACAATAAATCATTTAAATATGTCGTGAGTAACTCTATCGATTTTTATACTGTTTCTTTGTGTGACAAATTTAAATTTTAATGCTATTATTATTATAAATATAGTATAATTATCGTCGCGACCATCATTTTCGTGACTCATATTTTTCACATTGTATGCAATGTGAAAAATGTTGATAAGGTAAACGCAAATAAATGTTCTAAATTTTTAGTTACACATGTACTGTCGATATTTGTTCTATTTAAATTAGTTTTCATTGTAATAAAAGTATACATTTATAGTAATAAAGTACTTTTCATTATAATGATTTAACTAAACAACGTATCGAAAGTTTCTAGGTGAAAAAATGTACTTCAATACTATAGATTAAAAATTTCATGTAAGCTCAGTTTACCCAAAACATATGGACATTTTAAAATAATCGATGCATACAATTAGGGTGTTGGAGGGTTGACTGAACTCTCGTTATGATGGTGGGGTAGGCGTGGTATATTAGGTAATTAACAAAAGTAGTTTTTAATCGTGTTTAAATAATACATTTTTTCGGACTCATTGAAAAAATAATAATTGGGCGCCATTGACTATTATTTTGACTCAGATTGGCCGATCTATTTTGATATTTGTCTACTGAAAAGCGGCTCGATTAAAAGTAGCAATAGTATATTTTATGAAATCAGTGAGGATAGAACTATTGGTGACGATTTGTATCATTTAAATGAACTTCGGAACGATTGAATGATTGGGTAAAATTGCGAATCGTGAGGTTTAGCTACAACACTATCACCATTAGTGCTTGTCGAAACTATTGTGGTTTACCTATTCATTGGTCCGGAAAAACACTAATTATAATAAGCGTTGTAGCCTTCCTACAATTTTCAATGCTCAGGGGTTCTCATTTTTGAGAAGCAGCTGATGCTGTTAAATCTTTATGCACCTGAATGAGCAGAGGCGGTCCGGTACCATTTTCATTGACACGGAATATGAACGGTCGGTCTTCAACAGCTACAACGGACATTTCTCCTGTACGTTGGTCCCATGCGATTCCTATAAAAAAACGTAAGAGAGATAGAGTTATTATTCAATGCATTATAAAATCGTCTGGAAATATTTGTTTTGTTATTATTGTTTACACGATGTTTATAATTACATTAGCGCAGAGTTACGGTCGTATGTCTACAGAATAATGTTACACGGACACAATTCGTTTTCAATTTTCGTCATATGTAGAAACTTATTTATGTAATTTATACTTCATATCCACAACATAAAATATTGTTGGTAGGCAAGGAAACAAAATAATAGTGTAAAAATAACGATATCACAGAGAATATTTTGGCCTACGGTGAAATGACCGGCTGGCAGTACATCTGGCGACAGAGCGTGACGACCATGCGAAAAAAATACCGTATAATACGGTCGAACAAGAATTAAGTATATAAAGTTGTTATTTGTTTGTAAAAAATTACATTTTTTTAACGTAGAGTAAGGATTCGATAAAACAATAAAAATTTACAATTATTTTTAATCAGCCGAAAAATACGTTCAAGTATGTTGGCCATCAGAAATGTACCAGTGTAATAATATTTTGCCATACACAAGCGAGTTAAAAAAAAAAAAATCAATAACGCGATATTATAATAAGTCTTTCTTTAAGTAGTCGGATGAATACTATTAAATTTTTTTTATAAACATTATCATAATTTCGAAGTAAACTGTGAGTGCTGAGCATGTAAATGACGATGTGCCTAACATTGTCCGATCTAATACTCCTGAAGTTCATTGGCCAATACCTTATGAGTCAATGCCGTCAATATTTTTTTGATGATATTTTTTAGCACGATTCTCCGATTTGTTTTGAAACGTTCCTTTGATACCACTTTGATTCCTTTTTCTAAATTCATCGTATTCGTTTATTGAATGAAGTGTGCTTTGTGCACTATAACTCGTTGAAAAAATATAAATCTTCTAAGAATTATTATTTTTTATGAGATGTTTGCATCTAATAAGAATTGTATCAAATTAAGCGAAAAATGAATAAAATGTATTTGCCGTTCATAAATAAAAATTTAATTAAACGTAAACCAACTTTTGATCATAGAAAAATTGTTTTATTTTTATTAAGGTCGAAAGGGCGTTGACTTCTAATTTAGCGATAAATATCCGATTGATTTTCGCGTGTGTAATAAGAAAAAAAGTATTATGAAAATTTAAAGAGTTGATCGCTTTCGGAAGTCTGCTCCGGAACGCGATGCGACATGCGCTACAAGAAGTGACAGAGTGGAATTTAAACACTTTGAAGGAACACCTAAGCAAATACAAACGAACGAGGAAGTCGCCAACGAAAATACGAGTGTTAAATCACATTTGGGTGTTAACTTTTTAGTGGTATTCAAAATATTGAGCTGGTTAGCCGAATAATCAAAAGGTCAATTCGTACAAGTAAAATAACTATTCCTTTTTAAATTGTCAAACGATACCATCGCTTTTATTTTTTAACCACCAATCAGTAGTCTTAAGTATAATAAAAATGACCTTGTTGTATTTCTACTAGCGGCAGATCTATTACGATATGGGTATAACGTGGGCTGAGTAACTTAAGGCTTTGACTGCTGTATACGTTTGAGAAAATGTATTATTTATTTCCATGCCGAACCCATGTTTTTGAAATTTCATTAAGTTTTATGTTATGTACGAACTTGCCGTCTTATCTAAACATCAGAAACGTCATGCTTATTCATAAAGTGCTTGATAAATTATTGTATAAATTGTGTATGGACCATAAATTAACAGTTACTGACGAAATCGATTTTTTTTTTTGTAACAATTCGACGGAAATGTTTTGAATAAATAAAAGAGGAGAGAAATCAACACGAGTTTAAATAGAATGTAATTGGAAAATGTGAAAATATGCTATCGGTTCAAAATGCATTGAGGTAAAAAATACCATGATACATAGTAGAAACAGTACCACGAATGAAACATTTGACAAAAATACTATGCCATAAAGGTAGGTCATATTTAATTTGTTTTAAACTGTTAGTTTAAATTCAATTATCGTAGTTGGGGCATTCATCGTAACCAACTATTGTGGACAGTGCTATTCAAAATAAATAACATGTTCTATTTGCATAAATTGTTAAAATACAGAAAAAAAACCGTATTTAGAACTTTTAATAATAATATTATTAATATTATTTGATAATAATATGAATATAAATGTAATAATAACATTATTTCGGTTGCATTTAAAAAATATAGTCTAAAGCTCAGATTGTTTATTTGAATAAGTTTTATTTTTTTTTGAGTAGAGTTCATAAACATGCAAAACTCAGGCATTATTAGAAAATTGATATATTTTATGCGAATTTCCATTAATATTGTTTATTATTTAATATTGTCGAGACGAATTTACTTTGTTATAAAACTTTATCTGAGAAGAATTATGCAAGTCCAAAGAGCTCGTGAGTACAATATACACAGTGTATTATTTACATTCGATTCAAATTTTTTTATAGTGGCGTATGAGGATATAAGTTCTACATGTTAGGTTTTACAACCCTTTCGGGAAATCATAGCAGACCTGTCTGCTTGTTTTAATGAAACGTTGCTGCATGTATTACAAAATAAACAGCTTTAATGCCGTTGACATTAAAACTATAGGTCTACCACAGCACAGATCAATAATACAGGACTCGGAACGTACACACAGCTGTATGATAGTTTGAAGTGTTTGACCAAAATTCTTTTAGTGATTCAGAACTCTAAATTTTTAATTGAATACTTTTACAAACTAAAGAAAATAAATAAATACGATAGGAGATAAATATGTTTTACTTGATGTTTTATTTATTCAAGATATTCGTAATATTAAGATTCAGAATTATAATATAATAGAGTAATAATTATACACATTATCTTTGGATGCCGCAGAATTGTCAACCGATTGCTCGCAGTAATAAAAAAATGATATTGTACACTGGATGAAAATATTGCAAATAATATTATTAAGTTAGACAGTATAACAAAATTATTATACTCCATTTCCATCATTTCAATATCGTCATAGTTTAACAAAATCGAATATTTTTACAAATATGAATATTTTTTTGTTAACAAAAGTTGTTAAGATGTGCACATTTTAAAGTTTTTTCAAATTAAAAGCAACACGATAATCTATAAAAAAAAATAATATTTTTTAAACACTAAATTTAGAAGAAGTAACAAAATTTTAAACACGTAAAGTTTTACCAGATTATTATTTTAATTAATAATCATAACGTTTTGTTAAAAATATTACCTTGTTAAGCACACAATTCATTTGATTATTAAGCAGTCGTCAGCTGCAGATATGTTTCATATTTCATAATAAAACGCTGGTTACGATTTTAATGTGAACGGACGGCAGCATTCGATATTGACTACTTCATAACGATACAGTGGAATGATATTTATAACGCGTTAATTATTTCTATTGACTAGTGTTCTAAGAATACGGTGAAAGATTTGAATGGAGAGAAAGAAAACCATTGGCCGGTAGTCGGTTTGCAACGGAGTGACGCGAAAGAAGACCGGACTTGGCCGCGCCGAGTCGGCAGCACGTGTGCCTAGACGAAGCCGCTAGTGTCGGGGAAACCCGATTGGGACAACGGGCGTGTCGTGCAAGTCGACGTTGCCCGAACATTAGAAAAAAAATCTCCCAAAAAGACCATCGGTGCCGCCGTTGTAATTTCGGCGTGCAAATTAAACAATGTATCGACTATGTTTAGGGTATTTTTATCTAATAAAAGTTCAATGTGCGCTGCATGATATAACACACCCCGAATGGCCTCTAGGTGTTTTATATTCGTAAACTAGTTAAAAAATCCTCCCGTGTATTGGAAGACACGAGATTTTGATATGAAATAGTATTGTATTATTTTGCGTCAAGAAATTTACGTTCTCAATTTGGTTTCAAAAAAAAAAATTATTTTTTTTTTAATATTAAACAGATTTTTTAATCTGTCCTTAAAAATTTCTACAATTTTTTTTTTCATAAAAATGCCTTAAAAGTATAAAAAATTTATAAATTACTTATTAATTATTAAAATATAGTCTACAAAATTACTTAAAATTTAAAATATTCTATTAAAATTCTGTGTAAAATTCTTTAAAAAAAATGTTTTTTCTAATTATTAATTTTTTGATTTTTAAATGAACATTTTTTTAATAGTTCAAAAAGTATTTTACATTTTAAAATAACTGAACTTTAAACACAATGTTTTTGAAGTCTAATTTTTTTCTTTCTTCAAAATATTTCTTTATAAAAATGCAGGTAAATGTCATAATATTTGGTGCCAAAGTCTCCTAGACTTCCAGATTGGTTATATGAATATTTTTATTCATTACATAAAACATGTAATAATTATCGAAATATTTCTGTTACTTTTTCAAATATATTTTAAATTTCCCTGATTTAAAAAAAAAATAAAAAAAAAAGTATTTTTTGCTTAAGTTTGTTCTTAAAACTGTTAAAATGCAATATGCCTTGAAATGCGGACCTAAACATAGACATTTTTTAATCAGTGTGTCAGTATCCTATAGGGTACTGGACATAATGATTAAACAATTTTATATAATAATATATTGTAATGTATTTGCTTTTACATACAATTTTACAAAGAATTGTGTTCAAAACTATAAAAAAGCATCTTTTTATGCTATATTTAAAATATTTATGTATTAAATGCTTAAAACAAAATATGATGTTTTAAACGAATATATTAAAACATCATATTTTAACATGTTTTAAACACGATACATTTCTGATTCTCAATTTTGAACCTAGTTTCCTATAGACAATGCTTTCTATAACAAGTAAACTGATGTTATAGTTCATTAATAATATCTCAATGTAACCAAGATTACCCTACACTTGGTTTACAATAAAAATTGTTAAAAGTGATAAAAGGAAAGCGTGATAATTAACTTTTTTTTGGTCCGTTAACCAACCATAATTAACGCTTGTAATTTAATATAAATTTCCGCTGAAATTTTAAGGTCTATAATAAATAATAATAATAAACTTAATGATGAAAAATAATGATTTTTAAACATACATAAATTATGGCCTCTATCATAGTCTTATGGCATTCTACATTTATTTATGTTTAAAATACAGTTAAAACTTTATCATTAATGTTTTCGCATTTTATTTTTTTTTAAATAAACCTAATATTTCATAAATGTGACATTTATAAAAAAGGTGTTATTTGTATTTTTGTGTGTATTCTAAAAAATATAGTTATTTTTATTTTATACAATATTAAAGTAAGATGTAGCTATGGCGTTATCAGGTTTGGTTTGAATTATTTGCTGAATTACACTAAGAAAACATCTATTCTTAATGTAATTTAACACGAAGGAAAATAATCAAGACGAATTAAAAATATGTTTTTTAACTTTAGTATCTCAGAACTGGATATGTTAAAAAAAAATTTGCACTGAGGCTCATGTAAAAATTTTTTGATTTACTAGGAGTTAACTCACTTTTATCTCCATATGGTTTTCGGTAAATTAGCTACGTCTCTATAATTATAGGTTTAATTAATCCAACATAAAAATCTATTACTTATAAATCACATTAAATGAAAATAAATGCTTTAATTTACACCTTATAAATCCAATATTTAATAAAAAAATTATAACAAATATAAAATATTTAATAAAATTCTTTTATACAATTCATTCACTTAACCCATTTTATGTATAACATTATTTCTTCTAAAATTTTATTTTTTAATTGTATTTTATTTAAATTTATGTATTATATATTTTTTATTTATATTACATGTTTCAATAAAACACTTGTGTATCTATAAGTAATGAACGATAAGGCAATTTCGGAAATGTATATATTTCATGAATAAAATTTCACATAAAACAATCGTGTAACTTAACGAGAAGTCCTTGAAAATTTCTCAACTGCATTTCATTAGTTATAATAATATGCTTTAATAATTATTGCGGTACGTTGAAATCAACTCGAAGCAGTACAAATCCCAACGACGCGTTATTTTTTTTAATAATCGTGATATACGCATATATCGTGTGAATCAGTAGCCAGTTGTGTACTTCTTTTAAATGTGTTTTATGACTTACCCACTATTTGAGGACGTTCTGATCACGGATCATACTGTTGTGACCGTGGCGAGGTCACATCACTACGGATTTGTATGGGAACGTGAAGAATGCGATTGGTCTATGTGTCGTGCATGTGGTGTTCTTTGTAACAATGTTTGTTTTGAGAAACACGATCTCGATTGTAACAATTACTCTTACAAGTTAATTTGCGGTGACGTGAGGGGGGCGTATCTAATTATTGTGTTTCTGTGATAATTGTCGTTGCATAACTTATAAATTCTCTTCTAGAATTACATGTTGTTTGTTTTAAACCGATCATAGACATTTTCAAAATCATTTGTAGTGCAAATTAGTGTATTTTTGTCAAGCGTGGGTTAATATAACGAATTTAAGTGTGTAATTATGTTTTTAGCTTCGCTGCATAAGATGAGAACCTATGAGTTTTGTTTGCCGCGTTTTCTTTTTTGTGTCAATTATGCAAATTTATGAACTTCTATTGTACCGATTACGATCATGTTTATTGTAACGATTCGTCAAAAGATTACTAATCATATCTATTATATTTAAATTAAAATTAGAGATAAAACTTTTTAGAATTCGAGGAAAATAATTTTTGTTTACAAGAAAAAATAAATCATTCGAAAAAATAATAAAAAAAGTATCTATTGTATTTAATTTTTCGTCATTTTTATTTACTATTTTTATGGAAAATAAAAAATATACCTAGTTATAACAAAACATTGAAAGAGGATAAACAAATGGGTTGTATGTAATGTTTATATATTAGTGTCATAAATATGCTATCATAAAGGAAATAATGTCATTGTATCACGATACAGTAAATGTCATTTTGGACAACGTTGAATGTATTGAAAACATGAGTTCCAGTTATTGTTTAAAATAGATAAATCACTTTTGAATAAAAGCAACACTGTTTACGTTAATAACATCATAGAAACAGAGACTTTAATGATAACTTTATTAATATAATAAGAATAATCAAAAGACTGAACATGATACAACCCTTAATAATAAACACTACATGTTTTTGTAGCACGCAACTAATCTACTCAATATACTAACTAGAGATAATTTAATAGTTAATCCGTGTCTTTTGTAACGTCAAATCACGCGGACATTAATTAACTTATACTAAACTATAGGTGTCATTTGTAAACTTTTTAATAGAGGGAATGATGATGTAAAACCCAATTTATTTGTTTTCAACCCATTCCAAAGTATCGCAGTGTAACATAAATTGAGTATAATATACTCACTAAGAATGAATTTATTAATTTATGTGTTTTATAGTCAATCTATATAAGTGATCTTTAAGTATAATTATGAAGAATTTTCTAAGCAAAATATTTCATTTAATTAAACATTTCAAAATATGAGCAAAAAATATTAGTTATCCTGTAATTGAATTGCACCAATAGGTGTCTATTTGTTAAAATTTAAGAAGAGCAGAATTTTTAAATAAAGAGAAATATGTTCATGAGTATTCATTTGAATGATAAATTAGGTAAAAGTTTTTCTGAATTTTTATGCTACAAAAAAGTCAGAACTTAAGCATCACAGAACATTCAAAACATTAATAGTCCTCTCAATGTACATTGGGATAGTTAAATGACAATAACAGTCGATTTTTCTTCAATTAACAAAACCTGACGCGGTCTGTGACACCGCAACTAGCGCTACTTTGTCAGTACCACACTACCTTTGTGAATAAATGTTAATTAGACTGATTATAATGCAGTGATAATTATCACCATTGCGTTCGATATGTCGGTAGTACAAACACCAACAACGACCATACGACCGGGCACCGTTGCTGCAAATGAGTTTTTTACCTTTCGTAGAGGATATTCGCCATCGACTCCTGACGTACGACTTGACAGTACCGTCGCCATCAACGCTGCTAACTTTTGACGTCCAATGATCATGTCGGACACGTTGACATTGCCACGATTTTATGCGAAAAACATTATTTATTGTTTTTGTTTTTTCGGGTCTTTTTAAATGATTTGATGTTGTTCATTAATAATAAACGACCTACGCTTCCTCTATCATCTAAAACACTCTCAACTATATTATTTTGACGTAAGTCGTGTCATATCTTTTTAGCTTCATTGAAGTGTATTTAGAAGTTTTTCTAAAGAGGGGGACTTAATTTTTCTACTGCGAACACTGGCACAAAAAGAATTTTTTTTTCGACGTGTATTATAATTTTGTATCCAAGAAAGATCTTAAAATCAATTCAACGAGCAAAAAAAAAAAAACATCTAACATCACTATCTGCCCCATAAAATATGAATTGTACTAATTCAGGAGTGCGATTGCCCTCATCGATCCCATAAATAAACCCAATGCTGTCGCTAGGCAATTTTGAGGTCCTGGCTAACCTGTTGGCTACGAGATAGAGAAGAACTACTCCTCTTCCATATTTTACAGAAGTGCAAGGCAGTATAAATTTATTTTTGTATACCATTAACAATTCGATATGTATCCAAAACTTTCTCAACAAATTTTAAACGTACACTTAAAATATTTTTTTGCCCACCTACCCTCACAAAGTATATTCTGGCAACGTGCTTGCTGACTACGATCAAATATTAGTTTCAATTCGAAGTTACGAAGATATTGTCAAGATAATATCAATATTGATTTTATCAATATGTTTTAATGTGTCCATTTCATTAATACTTAACTTCTACTGGATTAATATTAATAATGAATACGTCAAATTATTAAAAATTACATCTAGCTGAAAAAATTCACCTACACTTTTTTATTAGAGAATATATCATGAAAAAATATGTTTTAAAAATCAGAATCGGAATTGAAGTTATATGAATTTAAGATGCATGGGTTAATATGAAAATTTTATAATTAAATATTAATATTAATATATTAACCAGGTGATATTTTAGAAAATAAATTTTCTTTTAAGACATATAATAGTAATTTAAAATGTTTTTTGATCGACCATATATTGACAATATTTGAATGTTTTGCTCTTTAATATTGAGATTCATTCTTTAAAGTTTTGGGGTGGTATTGCACTTTCAAACCACTCCCTAAATACAGTCATGAATTAGTTTCATGTAACGGTACTAAATACACTACTCTAGCAATAAAATTCTAATAACTTTTAGTAAAAAGCATTTTGTTTTGGCGAGTTTATTATTTTATTTGTTATAAAAAATAATTATTTAAATTCATTATTGAAATAATTTTATAATTGTTTGGTAAATAAATAATTAATTTGTTCAGAAGGAACAAATCTGATAGAAGATCAGATTTCGCATACGATTTAGTAGAATGTTTAGTAATGGGAAATTACTATACATAATTTTCTAATATATTTAAAATTAAGTTATATTTAAGTATAAAATTTTCAATAAAAATGGATAAAATTGATTAAGTATAAATAAAAATATAACGAAATGAAATATTATAATATTATATATATATATAATAATTGGTGTTTATAATTTAGTTTATATAACTAATTTATATTAAAAAATATTAAAAATTATATTTATGTGTACTACATTTATTTTATTTGATTGACTTACCTGATATGTTAATAGTTAGCAGTTTTGATTTACAAATTGTTGGTTATTATTATAAAAACAAGTTTGATAATACGTAAAATTTTCTAAATACAAAAAAAGTGAAAGAAGAATTAAAAAAAATAGTCTCCAAAGAGTGTTATAGAAACATAATTTAATAGGACTGATTTAAACAGTCAAAATGTTGACACAACACTAAATATGCACTCAACTTTAAATTTCAATTGGTTGTTTATGTATCATTATCTATAAGGAAACAATTTAAAATGGGTAAACCATTGGAAAGAGTTGTTAGGCAGCAAACTCAACAAAATTTAGTTATCACATTGTTTGTTATTAACAAGTACAGGTTTGAAACAGCGAATTATAACTGTCGTTTATAAATTATTGAACTATTCACTACCATCACAGTTGTTCGTATATAAAAATACATTTATTTTTCACTTGGAAACTCCTTAAATATTGTAATGTGGGTACCATGTGTTCAATAATAATGATTTATTTTTTTATGGCTTACGATATTAATTACATTTTATTTAAAATTAAGTAGTTTTAGCTTAACGATAATCAATATACATCAATAAAATAAATAATCAATAAATATTTATTTATTGGTAAATCATTAGTAGGGCACATAACACTTTAAGAATTAAAGTCCCAAAAACTTTTTGAACGTAACTGAAAACAATTTTCTTGGTTTACTTTAAAATAATTTACTTAATTTTAATATTATAAACTTTTCTGTTAATTTTAAAAAATTATTATAATAACAATAATAAATAATCATGATTATATCAAAACATGAATTCTGTAAAGAAATCAAAGTGGATATATCATATTACAGTTATTTATCATTAAAATGAAGTTGGTTTTGATGAAAAATAATTTGGATTGTATGATTGATTTTGTTATTATATAATATATACATATATATATATATATTATATGATTGGCTATTTTTTTTTTTTTAGAATTATTTGGTAATGACTAATAAAGTCTGTCATAAATAATAACCACGACCATTATAATAATTTATGCATTTCTTTATTGTTTTGTATATAAAACATTGTTTTAACTTAAAATAGTTTTTTTAGGTAGCAAAGTTTTAAACGCTTCCTTGTGTGTCATCGATGCACGCGTGTTTCCCATAAAATTTATTACATTTATTGTAATCAGATTGAAGGGTTGAAAATAATATATTAGTAGTCTTTACTTGCACGTGTAGAGTAAAATAACATTTAAAGTTACTTAAATTCGTAGTCACGCATTAGAATTGAGTGCAACATTGCACAAGTATATTTTAGGGTGTCTAACAGATGTTACCTTAACGTATAGTTTTTAAAAATGCATTTTAAATGCTTAAACAAAATAACTAAATCCTATTTAATTTTTCGTACCATAAGTAGATTTTTTTATTTTATGATTCATAAAAATCAAAATTGAAATATATATATTTATGAGTGAATAAATTATTTATTCTAAAAATAAAGTTCCGATCAAAATTCAGTGAGAATGTGCAATACAAAGGACAAATAACTAAATAATAGTAAATATAAGTATAAATATCGTCAAATCGTCTTTCATTTTTAAAAATATAACAGTAAAAACATTTTATTTAAGTATTGATACCATTTTTGATGTTATTAAAAATCCAACAGTACGATAGTTAGAATATCATATCGTTTCCTTAGAGCACCATTCAGAATGATGTATTTATTTATATTAATGATTAGTTTTATTAGTAAATAGTTTACTGAAAACTAATAATGAAAGACTTATTATAATAAAATTTAGTAATAAGAACGAAAAAAATTAGGATAAAAAAATAAGTCCCTGCTAGGTCAATTAATTTAATTTGCAATGTTTTATATTTCTGGTTTAAAGTAACAAATCTAAAATAGATATTTTGGAAATATTCAACGGGTAAAAGCGTTTAATAACTTTTTTTCTATAAGTTATAAAGAAATGAAAAACACAAGATACTAATTGCATAAATAATATTTAATGACTACATAATCATTATTACATACATATATATATATATAATATAGCATATAACATTTAAAGTTGATCAATATAATTATAATAAAAATAAATAAATAAAAAACACTTTAATCTAACTATATAATAGTAATAATAGTATTAATCATATATAATATAATAATATAGTGTATAAGTTATTATTGTCTTTAAGGGCACATTGTTTCAAATGGCAATAAAATCATCACATACAATATATTTAGTAGCCAAACTCATTAATAATTATTTTCCTAGGTAATTATAATCATATTATCAGTTAACATACATTTTAGTAATTATTGTTTATTGTTTTAATAACAATTCACTTTTCGTTAAAATTCATCATTTTCACACAGTTAAGAACTAAATAATAAGGTTTAAGTGCTACTTAAAAATGTTGAACATGGAAATAATTCTTAGCCAAAAATAACAATAAACATTAATTAATTTCATATAGTTATAGTAGTTTGACTTATACCTTTTATATGAGATAGTAGGATATGCAATAATTAATTTGAATAACATTAAAGGAATTGTACAAGTCTAAGCCAATTATTATTAAAATGATGAGTACAGAAATAAGGTTAACAAATTGTGTAGAAATAGGTAATGAAAATGAAAATATTATAACAAATGAAATAAATTAGTGACATAAGGAGTGTAAAGAATTATTTATCATTTTTTGAATCTATTTATACTTTTAATAAATGGAATTATTTAATTCTAATTTACATGAATCATTAACAATAAAAAAAAAAAAATAATTCAAGATAACATAATTCAGAAAAAAAAACATGGTTAAATATTTAATAAAACATTTTTGATAAACTATTAGAGTTTAAATGGTAACTAATAAAATGTATTTATGTTTTGTAACTAATACAATTCAGCCTTTTTAAATATTTCACAATACAATAACGAATAGACGGATTTATAATTAAAACATAAAAAAAACATCTTTAATATTATTGATATTAAATAATATTGTTAAATACTTAATTAAATTTAAGAAATATATTATGGATTGAAAATATTTTTTTTGAAATATATTTTTAAAGCATTTCAATGTCTAATAGTATTTAAGAAATCAAAACTTCACAAAATGTGACATATAAAATAATAATAAAACAACAACAATGCGATCAATTCTCGTTTACAAATATGTTTAGAATATTCATTTTTTAATTATATATTCTTTTCATTGATACAAAGAAAGGACTTTATTCCTTTTACTTTATTGATCTACTTATTTTTCATATCATATGAATGAGTTTATCATTATCGCATAAGCTTAAAAGAAATGTATAGCATTCGTATTATACTTTAGTTGTCACAATAGATATTACACCACCAGGACCAGGTAATACAGTTTTGTTCATGAGGAATAGATCCACTTCTCTGGCTACTTGACGTCCTTCAGATATAGCCCAAACAACTAATGACTGACCACGACGACAGTCTATGAAAATATAATAACATATACATGAAACGACAAGTATTAAAACGGTTTTAAAGTTTAACCTCATAGATTTAAAATATAAATCTTTAATTTACTAACCACCAGCGGCAAACACTTTATTAACAGATGTTGCATAACGGCCAGATGGTGTCTGGAAATTTGATCTAGGATCTAAAGCCAAAGATAATTCATTGGCGATGGTACGCTCTGGTCCAAGAAAACCCATAGCCAATAGAACCATGTCACATTTGAAAATCTACATATTAATAAATATAATTATTTATAATTTTTAATATTAATAGAATATTAAAAACTATTATGAACATACTTGTTCAGAATCTGGTACTTCATCCATTTTCCATCGACCAGCTTCATCTTTAGTCCAATTCACTTTTATAGTTTTTATTCCACATATATGACCTTTGCCGTCATCCATAAATTCCTAACAAATTAATTAACATACATAATATATAAAACAATATTGCAATATATTACAAAAGAATAAATATACCTTGCTCATAATGCAAAATTGTCTGGGGTCTCTTCCGTGTTTTATTTTGACTTCCTCGTGTCCATAGTCCACTTTAAATACTCTCGGAAATTGAGGCCAGGGGTTTTCACGACCTCTTGTTTTTGGGGGCTCAGGGAGAATTTCAAAAGATACTATAGATTTCGCTCTCTAATAATAAAATCTCATATAATCGATTAAATAACAATAATCTATTTTAGAGTACTATTAAAAAAATATACTAACTTGTCTTAAAGATGTAGCAATACAATCACAACCAGTATCACCACCACCAATAACAATAATATCTTTATCCCTAGCAAGTAAAGGTAGTTCTGTAGGACCACCAAGTTGTTTTTTTTGCGAAGACTCTAAGAAATTCATGGCAAAATATATTCCTTCAAGATGTCTCCCAGGTATAGGTAAGTCTCGAGGCCAAGTTGCTCCCGTACATAAAATTACAGCATCAAATTGGTCTAAGAGTTCCTAAAATCATTAATGAATGTATTACTAATAAGTTATGGACAACCAATACACAAGACTACCTTAGCCAAATAATCTTTTCCAACTGAAACATTAGTATGGAATACTATGCCTTCTTCTTCCAATAACTTAACTCGTCTTTGAACTACTTCCTTTGATAATTTCATGGTCGGAATTCCATATTGAAGTAATCCACCAATGCGATCATTTTTTTCAAATACTTTTACTAAGTGTCCAGCCTGTTAATTTTAAAACATAAATGAAAAATTCATATAATTCAAGAAAAAAATTATATATACCTTATTTAATTGATGAGCGGCAGCTAATCCTGACGGTCCAGATCCAACAATAGCTACAGATTTACCAGTCCTAGTAAGTGGAGGTTCAGGTTTTATCCAACCTTGTTCAAAAGCATGGTCAATAATTGAACATTCAATATTTTTGATAGTTACTGGAGGTTCACTGATGCCCAAAACACAAGCTCCTTCACAAGGAGCAGGACAAACCCGCCCAGTAAATTCTAAATTAAATATATCATATAATTATACGCATTCCTTAACAGAAATAACACAACAATTAAAATAAATGGCTTTACCAGGGAAATTATTAGTCTGTAATAATTGATTTAAAGCTTCTTGCCAATTGTTGTGGAATATCAAATCATTCCATTTCGGAATAATATTTCCCAGTGGACATCCATGTGATGATTGACAAAATGGTACACCACATTCCATACAACGAGCAGCTTGAACTCTAAGACCTTTTCTTACATGTTGAAAATTGTATATTTCATCCCAATCGTTCATTCTTTTTTCAGCAGGTCTATACATCATTGTTTCACGTGGATATTTAATGAACCCTTTAGTTTTGTCCAAGATTTTGTCAAGTCTTTTCAGTTCCATATTATGGTCATTAATAGTTTCTTCAATATCACGAACACTAGGTTCTACATAAACAGGTTCGGGTACATGTGAGGTTTTATTTTCTTTAGTTTCTTCAGCTAATTGTTTAAGAGCTCTTTGGTATTCATAAGGGAATACTTTAACAAATTTCTCTGCAGATTGTGGCCACGATTCTAACAATTTTGATGCAATAACTGAATCGGTTTTTTTAACAAATTCTTCCAAAAGAGATTTTACATATTTAAGATCTTCTTCACGATCAAGTGGAAGAAGTTCTACCATTTCAGTGTTACATTTGCTGCAAAAAAAAAAAAAAAAAATATAATTATTGTCAAAGTTTAGAAGTGTATAATAATATCATACCTCTTAAATGATTCATCAACATCAAGAACGTAAGCTATGCCACCAGACATACCAGCGGCAAAGTTGCGTCCAGTGAGTCCTAAAATTATTGCACAACCGCCAGTCATGTACTCACAACCGTGATCACCAACTCCTTCTACTACGGCTACAACTCCTGAATTTCTTACAGAGAAACGTTCAGCAGCAATACCACGGAAAAATGCTTTACCACTAGTGGCTCCATATAGGCAGACATTTCCAACAATCACATTAAGTTCAGACTGGAATGTGGACGATTTTGGAGGAAAAATAACTATTTCACCACCAGAGAGACCCTAGAATAAATCAGTATTAATAAATATGAATTTAGAATACCAATAGTACGCTAATAAATTACTTTTCCAACATAATCATTAGCATCGCCTTCCAAGGTAACATGTACGCCCTTTGTTAAAAACGCACAAAAACTTTGACCAGCTGAACCCGTCAGTTTAATGTTTATACTATTGTCTGGTAAACCAGCATCACCATATTTCCTATTTAAAAACAATAAATAAATAAATACCTAAAAATAAATATGATGATTTTTCATAATTTTTTACATAGAAATGTGATAACTTAAAGTTGATGCGAAAGCACGACATTCGTTGTTAATGACAAGTTCTATTTCCATATTTTTTTGTTCTCCATCAATAACCGGTTGAGCAGCAGCAATTAGAACATTATCCATTCGTTTTTCAAGTTGAAAATCCTACAAAATTTTTATGATTTTACTTTTTGAATCTTAGACATACAATAATATTATTCATACTTGTGTTTCCGATCCTCCTACAATATTAACACCGGGTCTCATATGTAATGCATTACGAAGTATAGGACTGAGATTTAATAATTTAGCCTTAGGGTTATTGTTAACATCAGTCATCTTGAGTAAATCAGTACGACCAATAAGATCTTGGTATTTAGATATACCAAGTTTGGCCATATGTCTACGTACATCTTCAGCTAACATAAATAGATAATTAACAACATGTTCAGGTTTTCCTGCAAACTTTTTCCTTAAGACTGGGTCCTGTGTAGCAATTCCTACAGGACAAGTATTCAAGTGACATTTTCTCATCATTGTGCATCCAAGAACAATAAGTGGAGCAGTACTCATTCCGATTTCATCAGCACCAAGCAAAGCTGCTACAATAACATCAAAGCCCGTTCTTATTTGACCATCAGCTTGAACTACGACTCTAGATCTTAAATTGTTTAACACGAGTACTTGATGTGTTTCAGCAACACCAAGTTCCCAAGGTAATCCTGCATTTTTGATACCCGTCCATGAACTTGCGCCAGTTCCACCATCATGTCCTGATATGACAATATGTTCTGCTTTTCCTTTAGCTACACCAGATGCAACAACTCCGACTCCAACTTCAGAAACTAATTTTACGGATATCCTGCCTTTGGGATTGGCGCATTTTAAGTCATAAATAAGTTCTGCAAGATCTTCTATTGAGTAAATATCATGATGAGGTGGTGGCGAAATTAAGCCGACTCCAGGAACTGAATGTCTAGTAGCTGCAATATCTTTGGTAACTTTGTAGCCAGGTAATTCACCACCTTCTCCAGGTTTTGCTCCTTGTGCCATTTTTATTTGTAAATCATCAGCGTGAGCTAAATATGAACTAGTTACACCAAATCGACCAGATGCAACTTGTTTGATAGCCGAACGCATATTGTTTTCCGAATCTTGGTTCAAATAGCGATCAGAATTTTCTCCTAAAGTATAAATATAATATAAAAAACATATTTAAACAATTTTTTTTATATTTACCTCCTTCTCCCGTATTAGATTTTCCTCCAACTCGGTTCATAGCTATTGCGAGAGCTGTGTGTGCTTCAAGAGAAATAGAACCAAAACTCATGGCACCTAATTATTTTTATAAAATAGAAAATTAAAAATATTTTCACAATATAGGGGCCTTTTTTTTAGTTTTTTTAATGTTATTACCTGTTGCGAATCTTTTTACGATATTTGCTGCTGATTCAACTTCCGATATATCTATGGATTTTGTTGAAGGAATTAGTTCTAGTTGACCTCTAAGGGTACACGTACGTACACTTTCCATTGTAGATTCGACAAATTTTTCATAAGAACTCATATTTTTACTAATTGAAGCTTCCTAATTATAAAATGATCAATATTTTAAGTTATAATATAATAAGTTTAAATAAAACAACATATGAAGTGGAACAATAAAGTAGATAGACGCACTTGTAAATTTGCAATACTTTGAGGATCATTTATGTGTTTTTCTCCTCCACTACGCCAATGAAAATAACCCGGATTCATCAATACCAACATATCAGTATTACGATCAGAATAAGAAAGGTAATGACGTTCATATGCTTCTTGAGCCAAAAGTTCAAAATTAACACCCCCAATACGTGATTGAGTACCTTTAAAACATTTTTGAATTACTTCTTCAGCTAAACCAACAGCTTCAAAAATTTGAGCTGCTTTATAAGATTGCAATGTTGATATTCCCATTTTGGCCATTACTTTTGAAATACCACGTTCCATTGCTTCACAATAGTTCTAAAAAAAAAAAAAAATAATTTTATGAGGAATCGAAAAACATAAAATATAGCACCATAATAATTTAAATAATTTTCAACGGCTCATAAAAAATATATCGTTAAATACCTCAAATAATATTTTATCAGTAAATGATGCATCTAAAACACCTTCGGCACGGAGACTTTTTGCCATTTCAAATACCAAGTAAGGACAAATTCCATCTGCTCCATAGCCCAGTAAAACACACATTTGATGAACTTCTCTTGCTTCACCGGTTTCGACAATCAAACCAACTTTCATTCGTAAACGTTTTTCAATTAAATAATGGTGAGTGGCGCCTAAGGCTAAAAGCATGCTGACAGGAATTCTGAAAATAGTCATAGTATTAAAATTTGAAGTCAAATAAGTGCATTTAAATAGAACCTATTGGCTGAAGCCAATCGATCAGATAGAATAATCAATTGGTTTCCACTTTTTGAAGCTTCAGCTGCTTCTTCACAAACACGATCTAACGCTTTAAGAAAACCTGGTGGTCCATCTTCTTTTCGAAACGTGATATCAATCACTTTAGTCTGTTTTTGAATAATGATATTATAAAACAAATCTACTAAAATTATTAAAGAAAATTCCATTAAAAATATATACCTTCCAACCACGATGCTGATTATTTCGTAGAACTTCCAAGTCATATAAAGATAAAATTGGATTAGGTAAAAATAATCTATGACATTGTTTGGCACTAGGTATTAAAATATTTCCTTCGGGTCCGATGGGACACATTAATGACATAACAATTTTTTCTCGAAATGGATCAATTGGAGGATTTGTTACTTGAGCAAACAACTGTTTGAAATAAGAATATATGAGAGGCTGGAACAACGAAAGGCATGCTAAAGGAGCATCGTTACCCATAGAACCTAGAGCTTCTTTTCTAAAATATTTTTATATTTATTATTAGATAACTGTAACAAACGATAAATACATCAAAATTAACTACAATTTACTTTGTTCTTATCATTGGAATAATAAGTATGTTAATAGTTTCTATTGAATAACTAAATAACAATAAGCGTCGGTCTCCTCCCCAAACTCGAGTCATTTCTTGTTCTGGGATATTATCTCTGATTACTTTCTTACGTTCGCCACTCACAAATTCTATTGATTTTGCTCTTACTAAGCCAAATCCTTTATTTACTGCTTCTTCTCTTAAATCTTCGATTGTAATCTAAAACTCATAACATTTTAATGACAATATTATGATAACAATTAGTAGGTAAACGAAAATTCGTTTTTTTAACAAACAGATAACTATGTAAATGATTATTTAGTTGTTAGATATTTTAGATTATTTTTAATTCTGAAGTATTTAAAATTTAATCTACAATATGGAAAATTAGTTATTATAAGTATATATGGTATAACAGTATATAGATAGCAGAAGAATTTTTAGCAACTACTGGCATAACACAGAGGTTGTTTCCATAAGTGGGTAAGCAAAAGATTTTTTTCAAACCATTTTAACACATAATGACTCACCCTCTATTAATTCAATCCAGAAGACAAATGCAGCGTTCGATAAAAAAAAAAATTTTGTATGTTTAGTTCATGATATGAATGATTGATAGTGATTGAATGAATAATAAAAATCAAGTAACTTATTAATACCTGTTCTTTAAGCCATTGAGAATGTGGTCTACTTCTAGCAATGTCCAATTTTAATTGTACATCTTGTATAATGCGTTTTTCTTTAGTATCCACCAAAAGCATGCGACCCGGTTTCAAGCGACTCTGTAAAAATTTAGAATTTTAATAAGTGTTGCTCTTACAAAAATGTAGTGTCGTGCAGTTATTACTTTTAAAGCAACATTAGCGGGGTCCGTATCATAAACTCCTACTTCAGATGCCATAACCATAATGTTGTCTTTAAGTACGTAAAAACGGGAAGGGCGTAATCCATTTCTAAATTACAATTATACACAAAGTAGATTAAAATTTTAATATATATTTTATTAAGATGTTGAATACCTATCAAGTAAAGCGCCAACGTATCGACCATCAGTAAATGTTAACAAAGCTGGCCCATCCCAAGGTTCCATAGCACATGCGGCCCAATTATAAAAATCTCGTTTTTCTGATGGCATAGTTTGATCATTTTGCCAAGCTTCTGGGACCATTGTCATGACAGCCTCAGGAAGAGAACATTCTCCAGCATTAATCAAAAATTCTAGTACACAATCTGCAGATCCGGAGTCTGACAAATTTGGCTCGACCACAGGGTAAAGTTTTGTTATGTCATCAAAGTATTTACTCTCCATCAGACCTTCACGAGCTGTCATAAAGTTAACGTTTCCACGAACGGTATTAATTTCTCCGTTGTGAGCCAACACTCTCAATGGGTGTGCCCTCTCCCAACTAGGGAACGTATTTGTAGAAAATCTTGTATGGACCAGTGCTAGGTAAGTTTCATAAGCTGGGCTCTGTACAAATAAATTTATATGTCTACTGTTATAACTAATAATACTATATAGTGTTCAGTACATAAGGAAACAGTTTTCTATTGTTTTTAACAATTGACTTATTTCCTTACTTTTCAAACACTTAGTATATTATAAACTCTACATAGTATTTCGAAATGGTCATTTACCTGCAGATCGATGTAGTAAGCCCATAATTGATCAGACGTAAATTGTCCCTTGTAAACAATAATTGTGTGTGATAATGAACAAATATAAAATCTTCGACCTGGTTTGGGTATTGTGTGCGTTGAACGTTTGCGAAGTGCAAATACCCGTCGTTTAAAATCGTCTTCATTAAAAATATCTGAAGCATCAACAACAAATACCTGCCGAATAAAAGGTTCACTATTTCTAGCAACCTCCCCGATTTGATTATTACGTACTGGAACTGTTCGCCAACATAGAACCTGAAAAATGATAACCGACCATAGAAAATTTAATAGAGAATCGTTACTACAAGCAACAAGAGCTTTGATATATTTGAAACGCAGTATTTTAAAGGTTTTTATAATTACTTAAACAGTAATTCATTTTACCGTGACTGAATGACTACATCGAATAAAATAGTCCAGTGTTAAAAATTAGCTTCTGGGTTTAGGAACATGCAAATAAATTAATATTACAGCATTATAGTTTATACTTAGTTTAGTAAAATGAATTCAGTGCAAGGAAAATTAATAAATTAATCCATATAGCACTTTAAAAATATAAATTATTTTGAATAATTTCATTATAATATTTTATGTAATAAGTTCTGATAACATTACTTTATTTTAATTTTCTAAAAAAAATTTCCATTATTGTAAAAGTCTGTTGATTACTGTAATCTAAACTATTTTTCTTAAAGTTCGTTTAACAATATAAAAAGTATGTTATTAAAAACTATTTTAACATTTAAATTTATTAAATTACCTTATTATTCGCCTATGTCAGCAATTAATTTTTTTTTATATTACATCAAAAGTATTGGAAATGATATTAAAACTTAATATGATAGAATTTTTTAGAAAATGTTCTATATCATAAATAAAAAGTTTATTATTAATAAACTGTATTGAGATATCTTAAATAAAAATGTATTAATAGCATTTTATATATCCTGAAAAATTGTAAATGTAAAGGTGAAAATGAAATTTATATTTAAATATTTTACAAAAAATATAATTAAATTGTTTAATTTTTAAATGTTTAGCACTCAATGACCAACAATTGATACTTTGTAGACATAGATGATTGAAGTTATAATTATTTCAGGATTTTAGTTTTGGAACTTCAATTTAGTCTTATAATACAATTAATTGTGAGGTTATAAAATAAGTAAATAAAAATAGACACAGATCAATTTACCGTACGACGATAGCGTGTGGTTGTTGTCTATCGATCGAATCGGATATTTTGTTCCCTTCCATTTTTGTGTATATAATTCATCGGGGCCATTCTGCAATAAATAATATAAACACCTAGCTCACATGTTCTCACACAACAAATAATGGCAATTCGCACTTGTTATCGTATCGCAAACCTTTTTTATTGTTTTTTTGTCTGGTTTTCTGATAATGACAAAAATCCGAACCCCACCGCTGTTACATCCATCTACTTATAGATTACAAAGACAAATACACTAGCGGATAGACTGTTGTCGTAACACTTGCTTTAAATGGAGCTAAAACTTTTTTGTTTACTGGTTCACCTGCCATTTTATTTTAATTAATAGCGCACTAACTATGGCGATCAACTTACTTTAATTTTGCATTCGGACGCAATAGCCGCGAACATTTCTTCGCTTTCTGCATGATGCGCCTTATCCAGATAAAACATTCCGGTTGCATAATTTCCCTCAGCTGGTAGATCCACATTTTGTTCCTCCCTATAAAAAAAATTACAATCAAGTATAACATCGATTATTGTTTAAGAAAATTAATATAGTAAAGCTCATTAAAATAGTACGGTAATTTTTGAATAAAATAATTTTAAATTACAGCAATACTCTCTATGATAAACGTCCACATCTTTTTAGTTCATTAAGAAAACTTTGGAACGACTTTGAAGTGCAGGGTAAATAAAACAGTGCTAATAATTATTTGAATAAATTATTTCGGAAATAATTTCTACCAAAAAGGTGCCAAATATATTCTATTTTAAGATTTGACAAATTACGGTAATTACGATAGTCGTGTGCCGTAATAACAGATTTTTAGTGAAAAATTTTTTTTCAGTCAAATACAGTGTGTTAAAAAACATGTTTGAAATATATGTAAACAGTCTAATATGTTTAAAATGTCCCATAACACCAATGTAAATTTTCAAATTTTTGGTGTTTTAAAAATGTTTAAAACGCTACTTTATAAAATTCACGTTTTAAATATATCAATCCTGGTCAAATGGTTTCTAAAAAATCTAATATAATCTCAACAATCTTTTAAGGTAATATTAGCATTTTTATGATGTTAAATACGTGTATTTTAACCAAGATTCCTAATTACATTCAAACTTATTGATTTTGTCACAACTAAAATAATTACTAAAAATAGTACAAGATTTGATATTATTTACTATTTGTGCATAACTATAAAATTTAATTATTTATCTAAATGTTACTCATATCCCATTTTACTTTTTTCAATTTATCAAGCACGAAGTATTTTTTTTTTTAATTCACCCCTTATACCTTACAAGGGTATCAACTATATATTATTTCAAATAGAAACATATATAATAAAACAATTTATTTAATAAACAATGATTTAATTAAAAAATAACTGGTTATGAAACACAAGTGAGGTGACTTACTGGTGTCGCATTTTACTAAAAACTTAAAAATAATATTGAGAATTTTTTATTTGGTTTCTTTTATGTATATGTTTTTTCAATTTATGAATCATAAAATATTTTTTATGTTTATCTTAAAGAACTTATTATGGTGTAAATTTTTTTCAAACATAATTATATTTATTCAAACATATTTTTTCAACATAAACTAGTTTATTTTATAGATAATGATCTAATTAAAAAAATGAATGGTCGATAAAATTTTTCGGATCATTATTTCAAACGTTATGAATAATTTAAAGTAATGACTGAAGATGAGACGCGGGTGCTGCTATTTTTATCAATATACGCTTATTGGCCACAATCTTAGGTATAAATATGTTAATAACTTCTGAAATACCAAAAGTTCAAAAATAAGTCCAAAAGTTGTATGGACTAATCATTTTCTTAATTAAATCATTGTATAATAAATAAACTAGTAAAACATGTATTCAAAAGAAACCAAAAAAATATGTAAATATTATTTTTATTTAAAATTAAAAATATTAATTTAAAACTGAAAAAAAAAATATTATAAATATTTTATCCAAAAGGCTACATAAAATTGAGGATACGTATTTCGAAAATACTGTTACCATTAACAACGCTAATCGCATACATGTAATGGTTTTTGTGTTAAAATTTTTTTTAATATTTCTTTTTTTTTTTAGTTTTAAATTAATGTTTTTGATATAATTTTAATATTCAATAATATTAGCCATGAGTGATCAATTTTGATTGCATTATTTTTATTTTCGATTAATTAAGGCATTCATGATAAAAGAATTGTCTGAATAAAATAAACAAGTTTAATACTCGAGGTCAATTTTAAAATTAATTGTACAAATTTGAGGCTATGAATATTTAAAATATAACAAGTTTTAATTTATACATATGTTATGACGTAAGAAAAAAGTTTATTTAAGATATTTAAAAAAATTAAAGAGATTATTTAAGTTTTATATTTATATGAGTTATGGAAAGATTTTTTTTTGGAAGATGAATTAATAGTATTGTTATTATTACTAACGACTTTTTTCTCCATTTATTAAAGATATGTATACATTTTATAATGAATTTAACTATGAAATTTTGGTAATAAAGTAGTTAATAAACTAGATAAGATAAATATATGTATATGTATACTTATAAACTACAATAATTGAAAAATAAATAATAAAAACATTTATGTATTTAATGGTTAGAAGTCTATTTGTTTTTTTCAGATTTAATAAAATAGTAATTATTAATACTACAAATAATCACTATAAACTATAACTTGTTAATTTAGGAGTATAAAACAGAAACATTAAAGCATGTTATTGTAAGATAACAATATATAAAGGTTATGTGTACATCATAGTTAAAATTAATTTGCGAATAATGTTATTTAAAAAGTTGTGGTTAATAATAATTTAAACGTGATAATTAAACTTATATAATCTAATATAAGTATTGTTGTGTCCCATCTAGGATGAAACACGGTAACGTGTTAGAGTGGAATGTCGTTGTAATGTAAACTAAAAGTACAAAGTTATAACACAATATATTTATACAACGGTTCTTCAATTTTAGAAATGCAATTATTTATAACTATAACATTAATTGTTTTAAGGTGAAATCACTTCAAGTTATAACACAATATATTTATACTACGTCTCGAACGCGATTAATTACTGCTTATTCGTTGTCTAATACTAATTATTCCCTAACCCCACAACACTAAATTCATAACAATACGGGTTCGTAATAGTATATATATCTAGTATAACTATATTTGGTAAAAATTATTGTGCATATATACACACATTATACATAAATAATTATGCGTCATTGATACGCCAATTAAGTAATTAAATCTTTATCAAAGAAAGTCACTTATTACTTATCAAACTTAAATTTTAATAATTAATTTACTAGTATTCTTTGACTAAAATATTAGTAGATTGTAAACTGTATAAAATTTTATAAAAATGTATAATATAACTGTTTGAGTTGTACATAAATAACAAAATTAAATGTCACATGAAAAAATTCATGATAATTTTACCACACTGTAATGGCGTCAAAATTGTATTTTTCTTATATTGAAGTGAAGATTTTTTAGGGATAAGATAAATGAACATTTATAAGATCTACGAAAATCTTTTAATAATATAATAAGTGTAAATTTCAGTAAATTAACATTAATAATACTCCGATTTTAAACAAGTTTTATAAGTTACTTTTAATAATATTCGAAAACTATAAAATGGAGAGATGAAAAATTAATTTCTTTAAAAACTATTAACGATTATTTCGTCCCTTCATTATAAATGAATTCGAAGAGTACTACAGTGTAACAGCTGTTAATGTCACGTGAAAGAGTGACATACATTTAGTAGTAGTCTAGCTGAATGGACTAAAGGCACTGGAATGTTCTCATTATATTACAATTTTAGCAATATGTATGTATGAAAAGGAGGAAACATTTATAAGTATTTCGTTGTCAAATATTATAAATTTATTTTTATACTAAATTATGTTGACAAACCTAAGTTCGTGGGCGTAGAATGAATGTGGTATGGCTGTGAGCACACCAGCGCCGTCTCCAGAATCGTTATCGCAGGAGCATGCGCCTCTATGATTCATCCGCATTGCCAATTTTTGAGCATCGCGAACGATCTGGAAATAAATATTAATATCATTACAAATCCGTTTACAGAAATACAGCATAAAATGACGCATTCATTTTTAACATTGGCTTATTTAAATGTTCTATTTCGGCTAGACGGTAACGTTTATCTGAGAGGGTTTGTGAAGGCATGCGGTTGTTATGAATTCCGAGTTTTGCGTAATTTAATATCAATGCAATCATATTTTTTATTTTTATTTTATTTTTTAAATTATAAACGGGTAAAAAAATACCCTTTAACATAATGCGATAGAATAAATACAATAATTTCTTAGTTTAACATAAATTAAATGAAAAAATACAATTTTAACTAAATACTATCAGATTAATAATAAACAATTAGATATAAACAAATTACAATACACAATTAGATAATGCATTATAAATATTCAATTTGAAGACATCACGAGACATATAGAAGAAATCAACAATGTTTAGAATTTTATTAGCTAACAATCATATCGCAAAATGCTGTAATTACTATTGAATTATTAAACTCCGAAAAAATGCCTTACATACTTTCAACATAATAACATGATTTTTAAGTAAAAAAGGCTAAAATATCGCGTGTTTGTTATTGCAGTTGCTAATATTTGGTTATTGTAGTTTTGAACAAATAATAAGCAAATAAAAACAATAATGTATTTTTCTCAAAACGTATTAAAATTGTTAAAAGTATTTTTTTAATTTAAGTTGTTAGTTAAATTATACAAATAATTAAAACCAATAATAATTATTATAAAAGATCAATGAATTGATTAGTTATGCAATGATTTCGAACCCGTAAGGGTAATTTTATTAATTTATATAATTGTGATAATAATGTATGATCAGGTTTCTGATTATTTCTGGAAGTCAGGTTATCAATAAAAATTTCTTAAAAAAATTAACTAAATTATTATAGATCGAAAATAATTAAATCTATTATTAAATTGTTGAATCATTGTAATTAATTACTAAAAAAGTAATCGTAATAATAATTTAAAGAGATAATTGGATTTGTTTATCTAAACAGTAATTTTAAAAATTAGACACGCGTGAGTAAAACAATTACATTGTAAAATAGAAATTAATACTGTCTTTTCACTTAATGCTACCGTCAAATGTCACTACTTGTTTTTATAAAACTCATCAATATAATAAAAATTGAAGTGTCATAAGTACTTTTCATTTTCTATTGGCAATTTGACGATTTTCATATACAACCCACTCGTCAAAAAAATGTAACGTAATGTAAAACACTTAAAGCTTTAAATACTCAAAATAGAACAATTATAGATACAAAACAGAATATGAGAAAACGCAAACAATTTTATATCAAACGTGTTAATTGAAAGTATTAAAACCATGGAATTTAATTAGTTAGTAAACGATAAGATACTCCTTTGAAATTGTAATGTGAAGTATTATTTGGTGAAGAAAAATAAATTCATATAGAGATTGTCACGTTTCACTTTATTTTTATTAACAGATAATTAAAATGAAGAAGTTCCTGGGGACCAATGGTTGTATGCAATGTAGTTCTTGGGTTAGATATTGGTCGAAATAATTGCTTCTCAATTGTAATTTTTGGGCTTCTCTTCTAAATTGGGTTACACATTATTAAGCTTTTAGAAAATTAAACTGTTATCATGGTCAGTTATAAGATCTAAATTAATAAACTTATTTTGTAAAAATAAAATGTAATAAAATCATCAATGTATATATTTATTAAAAACATAGAAATTTAGAAGTAATTTTTTCACAAGTAGTATAAAAATGTGTTAATAATTTTTCAAATGATTTTGAGCGTGTATAAACATAGATAAAATGTTAGGGGATGTATCTGAAAACGTATTTCAGATATGTAGGTCAAGTATACAAAAATCATTGGGGCGCCACCTATGGCAAAGCATTTGGCACAATATTTGGATGAGCACGGGCTAGACTCGTTTCGCATACAAACAACGTTAAATGTAGTCTCTGTTGTTCATCGATCCACAAGTTTCTAACAAGAAGAGCCGTACCGATCACCAACCTACGCACTACTAATTTTAGTTCTGGGGTAAAAAAAATAGCTTTTCCCTATCATAAAATAGTAAGAAAAGAGCATTTTCAGCAAGATTTCATTAATTTTTTTTCATTAGCCAAAAAATAAAATCATTATAAAACTAAAAGTAGGAAAATTTTAGTGTAATATTTTATAAAATTTTTAATTTTTATTATGAAAATTTAATTTCAATTTGCAAATAGTACAACAAAAAAGAGACAATAAATCAATAATGTAATGACAATATCTTAACACATAATAACTTATGATGTAATATTTTCATTGTAATACTTTCGATGATTTATTGAACATAAAATTGTTCATTGACTTGTAAGACAAAATTATTATCGTCGACATTTAATATATTATAAAATGGTGGTACCTACGTCTTAATACATGAATTGTAAAAAACTTGAAATTTAGTCAAGTGTCAAAATACACTTCAGTAATATGAACAAGAAAATTATTCAGAGCCCGAATTCAAAGACCATAAAGAATTTTTATTTAAAAAGTACTGCAATTTTCTGGTAACTATTGACATACCTTTTATTTTAACAAATAAAATATAATATTTATTTCAAGCCAGACTACCTTAGAAAAGAAGACTAAATACTTGCAAGAGAATAATAGTAAAGTTTACATTGAAGATTCTTAAAATTACCTATAAAACACAATTATTTCGACACTATCTGAAAGAAAATGAAAATCGCATCCTACGCATTTACTATGAAAAGTTATCAGCAAGGTGTAAATTTTCTTCACATAGTGGATAAATATCATTTTACAACAAACAATTATTATCAATGGTCTCATATCTGATAATATTTTTTTAAATTAAAATACAATGTACATAGTTAGTATAATTTAAGCAGAGTATTAATGTATCTAAAATTCACTGCACGAAACGAAACCGATCCGATTCAATTATTGACTTTTTACTTGGTACAATACAAATGTTACTGTGGTAAACATTGACATAGGATTTAAATATTGAAAATATTAACATACTTAATTTAATAGCAGCTAAGAGGGTCAGCGTAAATACTTAAATAGTATAAAAATTCAGAAAATATAAGTGATGTATATATTTTAGTTTTGTTTTTGTTAACTATTAATACTTATTTTTGAGTGAAAAAACAAACGGATAGAACCACTAATGATCAGAGTTGTTTATAATATTACAATTATCTTGTTCCCATTTTTTAGCATAATAAATAACTAATAACTTAAAGTATTTATGTATATTTAGTTATACAGGAGGATTGATTTATCATTGACCACTAGTTTTCTTTTAAAATAATAAAAATTTTAGGATAAATTACTGCGGATTATAATAATAATAATAATAATAATAAAATGTTAAGACTATTTATAGCTAATTCAAGTAGTATTTAGTTTTTGATTCATAAGTGTTTAAATACTTTTTAGGTTCATCCCTTATCCCCTATTATAGATGTAATAAAAATACTTAATAAAAACAACTTAATATCTTTAAACGGCAATATACATATTTAACTATCTCATAAAATAAAATAGTTAATTAGATAATTTTTTATTATATTATCATAAAAAATTATCCAACCTAGAAAATAAATGTTTGACAACAATTTCTGAATGAGGAGTTCAGGAGTTATGAATATATGTATACCTGAGTAATAGGAGTAGCGCAGTGTAGCAGAAAAATGTAAAATAATAGAACTAACATAACACACACCTCATATTCATATTTAAAACTGTTTTAACAAATGTGATATTGTGATCTAAGTAACATATTTGACCAAATTCGTTTTATGGTAAATAATTTATCTGTTTATGTAAACACGTATTGTGTTAAAAAAACCTTTCGTCAGATTATATTGGCTGTGTGAAATAATTTTGTAATATCCATAATATGTTAAAAGGCACCTATGTTTATGATATAAGTGTCTTTTAATAAACATTTGGTGTTTACTATAGTATGATACTATTTCTATACAAAATCAACAAGAAATTTTACATTTTTTAAAAATGAACATATAAGATAAACAGGATATTTTTTCTATAAAAATTGGCTGATAGACACAATATTAAAATGAAAATGTCAACTAGCAGACAAAATGGCCAAGCAGTAAGGAATAACATTTTTAAATACAATATAATACTGGGAGACATGCGATTAGAAGTTTGTCAAAATGCTTTATTATTATTATTATTATTGTCTTTCTGATAAACGTATTAAAAAACTGATTCAGTTCAAAGTTAAAATATTACTTTTACATTGCTTACAATCGACAAGGACGACATACAAATTGTAGCTTACCTATTGGTACAATACTAAAATACAAAATCATTGAATCGTTCCCGGTTTCAGAATGTCATTATTTAGGAAATACAGTTTACTATTTAAACCAGAATTAAAGAATAAAATAATGAATGAGTTATTTAAAATTAAATACCCAAATACACATACAAATTACAGCTATTATTTAAACTATTTTAAGCAAAATTTTATCTTAAAATTCGGACACCTTAAAGATAGAATTAAATGGCATCATTTCAATGAAACTGCAAAATAGACTGCTGTAACAGAGTTAAAAGAAAAACTAATACATTTTATATTGCACTTAAATATAAAGAAACTGATTTTAACAATAAATTACACAATAATAATTATTATAATAATTAAATAACCTCATAATATTATAGACGTACAAATATATTTTATTATATTAATTATGCTAATATTTTTCTAATGAAAGACTTATTCAATAAACCTAAATAAGTTTATATATTTAAAAAAATATATATTACAATTTGTTAAAGGAGACCTATGTTACAGAAATATTTTGGATACTTATAGAAACACAAATGTTTTTAAAAATATTTTTATTATTATTTATTCAAATTATGATGATTGATCTGAGTAAGCAAGCAAATTTATAAGTGCTAAATAGATTTTTGTTTATTCTGAAATACTAAACATATATATTACTATTTAAAAAATAAAGTTGATACTCTTATAAGGGATAAGGAATAGATTTAAAAAATATTTGACTTCTTATTAATAGTGAAATAAATAATAATAAACAAAACCAAAAAAATTGTTTGTAATTTTTTTTAGTGGTCAACAATAATCAATTTTTCTGTATATATAAGTTTTAATTATTTGAATATAAGTATTAAAGAATTATGATATAAGTATAAATTAAACGTATCACGTTGATACATGCCAACATCGATGTATTTTTAAAATTACTTACTTAAAACTTATTTCAATAAATAATTCTAATTATAATATAAATACTGATAATGAAGAAAAATAAAACACAAAATAGATAGTAATAAATATAAATTATTGTATAAATAAAAAATGAATAAGAAATATAAATCTAAAACTCCGTTAACCACAGTAAATACTGGAAAAGTTTTTAGTCCAAAAAAGACTTATGACAAGGTAAACGAAATTAATATAAAACACTAGCTTTAAAAAATAGCTAAAGGCGAATGTGCCTATAATTTTACTATAATTCTATTAGATAAAACACGAGTGAAGTATAGAAACAAAATCTTTTGTCATAAATAATTATGTTTTGCGAAAAAAAAATTGTTTTTCATGTTATGAAAAATACACATAGAATAAATGATTTGCACCACATAGCGTAATGAAAATTCCTATGCTTTCAAACTTTGTTGCGCAATATTGTGACAGTAAGTTTAATCTGTTTAAAATACATAAATTGAGCTTACAGCATTTAACTTAATTTAATGCATTGTGAACTAATTTTAACTTTTTTTTACAATGTACTTTACTTTTTTATTTGTGGTGTAGGTACTATTATTATTATAATTCCTTTGGAAATTTCAAGTTGACAGATGACATTGATTGGCCTTTTTTCCATTCTTACCAACTCTCCAATTATTGTCTAGACTTGAAATTGAATTAAATTATGACATGTGCATTGGATTTTATCAACAAGCTTTCATTTCCAGATAATTTCATCACGTTGATTTTATAGCCTCTAAATCAATACGATTAAAGAGAAAACTACTTGTTCAAAGTAAACGACAGTATCTCTAGCAATAATTAAAACTATTTGTCGTCGTAAACAAATAATTATTTGACACAGAAAAAACATAAAACGACATTAATAAGCAAATTTTAATTAAACATGGTATTTTTTTAGCGGAATGGACGTGTCCAAAATTTTTAGTGACATCCGGCGTCAGTGTGGATGATGTCGTTCATCTAAAACTCAGACAATCAAATAATATTTTGAAGTCAGTCCAACTCACATGCAAATAGATGGTCACCAAAATAGACGAGCTAAACCGAGTTCGTGAATTAGATTTATAGATAATGATAAGTCTCAAACAGTAAATATAATCCTAAAACGTCACAAGGTGATTAATATATTTTCTTTATGTAGAAGATTAGAAGCATAAAAAACGCACATGGAAAAATTTAAGGCGATTTATTCCTAGAAAAATTGTCAGTACTCGAATATAAGACGTGTTCAAATAATCTGAATGGCAAAATGTGCCAAAACATAAGTCCCCAATTAGAAAAATTATTTATTTTGACGTGGCGATAGTGTTTTTATTTTTGCAGTCGTTCTTCTAATAATTTCTAAGAATTGGTGTAAATTGTTATACTTTATGAAATTTTATTACGCAAATGAGTTCTATTTAATGATGTACTAAATTTAAATCACACCTAAGTCAACATAACTTAATTTTTATTACATTGATAATATATACAACGAAGAAAGTAAAATTCGTTGTATCGGTGCAATATTACATAAAAAATAATTTAAGTATTAAATGCTAAATCAGCGGCTAGTATCCAATAACTTAATTTGGTTAAACAATAGATTTTTACTGTAAATAGTAATAATAAAATTATTTATTTATTTTCACTATCATCAAAAGCGATCATCGACTATTATGTAAAATGAGTTAATGTGCCCATTGTTGAGAATTTTTTTATAATATATTTTAGACTACCTTATTATATTGTATTACAAAAGAACATATTTAAAAAACAATCAAGTTGAGTGAAACTACTAAATACGTCTGGAATTTCAAAGAAGAGTAAAGTGAACAAAATGAACGTTTATTCATATTTTAAAATTATCGGTTAAACAAACGTGTGGTTTTATAAATAAAACATGATTAGTCATATTGTATAGCATTTGCCTAGTTACAATGCAAGTAGTAATTCTGGTTACAAGAAGTTGAACTCAGTTTGTAAACTGTACATACTAAGCATTAAGATTGTTTTGTACAATTAACGTACCGATTTGTACCTCAATTAAAATTTTTAAAAGATCTATTTAACAATAATCTTTAAAAATATAAATATAAATATTTGTTTTCGGAGTGACAATTGGTGTAATTTGTAGATAAGATACCTACATGAAACTATTAATCAGTAAACTGCATAGAAATGTGTTATATTTTATAGAGTACTGTATCGGTAGTTTAGTTCTCAGTCTGGAGTGAGTTTTCCTCTCTAAGTGTTTTATTATGTAACAATCGACTGGACGTCTATCAAATTTTGTTTGTTATCAAATATAGTCATCATTACGGTCGATCGTAAGCATGTAACTACAATATTCTATAATAACATTTCAATATTATCGTTTTCTGAAATAAATTGATTTCAAATAAATGTCCCGTGGCGACTTTAAAACAAGCCTTTGTGATCTGTACACATTGACAATTGTATGCAAGTGCATGACATTTAACGGAAATAGCAAAATTATTAAAAGCTAGCAGCTTAATTAACATAAAAAACAAATCTCGACCAACTATGATTCACCACACGAATACTTCTGTGTGGATATATTACCAATCTTGAACACGAATATAATAAATGTTACATTAAAAGTAATTCGAATTCTTTACAATGATAAAAATACTGCTGTACGGGTCATTAAATTTGAAGTCGTGTTAAAAGTTGTATACTTGTGATTCATTATGTGATGAGTTAAAGATAGTAAAAGATAGCCGTTTTTAAATTTCATCTAGTGGAAATAATACAATAATATATTGGTCCTTAGTGAATATTTTATTAATTAAATTACCCATCAGGTCGCCTTTAATAATTAACGTAAAAGTAATATAGCTATATCTTACAAGGTCAACAATTCGCGATGACCTCGTTTATCGCATTTTGTTAACAATTTTTCACCAGTGTCTAAATATAATGTTACAATGCTTGTTTTGTGTACGCAACCGTCATTTGTGTGAACAGAGATCGACAAACATGGGGGATCAGGTGCATCGAGATGGAATAATAATTAAATATTTGCAAATTATTATTTTTTTTTATGACACATTCAAAAAAATATATTATTCATATATTTTAGAAATTGATGCAAACACTAAAATATAAAAAAAAAGGTTGGGACACGTATTACGTTAATTTTTTTTTTTTTTCACTAAATCAACTCGTTATTCTATTGATATATTATTTACTTTAAATTTAAATATAAAATCATTATTTTTTTTTAATTATTACTTATTAAGATCCTTTGACATTATAGCAGCTTTTTCAAGTAAACTATGTTATTTTTAATTTTTAATATTATTTTAGATCAGTAATTTAAACAATTTCGATAATTTGTGTTTAAATTGTAAGTATTAACTATTTAAATTTATTGTTTAACTATTATTGGCAAATAACAATTAAATGACGAGGGTGTATAAAAAAACAATGGGTGGAGTCATATCTATGACGCAGTGATTTTCAATTGGTTATTTGGTTCAATTGGTTCATTTCAAGGTCAAAATGAAAATTCAACGTATCGTCTTGACTATGGTATGACGTAAATACCACAGCGAATCATCGATTAGTCTCTATGGACAAGACGTGAGGTAGGTGTTGATACCATGAACAGCTGACGAGGTAGTTAAGAGAAAATGATAATAATTCGTCTTTGGATATCATTTTTTGCAACTATTCTTACACGAAAACTTTTTACACAAGAATGAAAAAGTTCATAATGACAAAGGTTTGACTAGTAGTAAGCGTTTGATTCGACGCTCAGTGGGCTTGATGGGATTCATGATACCTTGGCGATATCGCTTATAACCCACGTATTTACCATTATGTTATCCCATCACTGTTTTGCCCAAAATAAATTTAATTTAACTTAGTTTTACCTTATTGGAGTATTTGCCATCAATGGCAACTATGAAGCCCACGCCACAAGCTTCTTTCTCTAGTTGAGGATCGTATAAGCCGTCTTTGGGCGGCCCCATCCAGGGATCGGACGGACCCATGGCTCACGAACACTGTAATTAGAATTAAAAAAATTGATATAACAACCATAGTAAAATAAATGTAGTAGTAAATCATTTTTTGGTAAAAAATTTTTCTTGAATATACTAAATTTTTTTTTTACCGAAATTCCTTAGTGAATTATAACGTATAAAAATTATTTAAAACTTTTTGTGTATATAGAAATATATTTGAGTTTAGTGAATTTATACTAATAACAGTTATCACGTGCCTGTGCTTAAAGGTACTGGTAGAATGTAAAACACGTGCAATAGAGATCCGACTTTGTATTGAGTTACTCTCGTTGATAATTAAATATTGTAAATATACACAAACACACACACACACACACCGGTTTTTAAAATTTTAATAGCAACTAATTTGTGCAAAAACAAAATTTAAATTTTATAGGAACGTTCGGCCGCGTCGACTCACTCGCAGAACTACACTGGCCGCGACGAACGTGTGCACAACACTAAACACTGTGTTAGCAGACCAACGGCAGCGTTGCCGGTGTCGATGGCATCGGGCGGCCGTTGGGGGTATACGTAAGTAGACAGCCTGCAGCACAGGCGCACGGCCTGCCAAAATCGACCAGAGACAGTGAGGCCACGGCCGGCTGACGAAAACCTGTGTGAAAACGATGGCGCTGTATCACAATGTGAAGCAGCCCTTATGTCGCAGCATTCACATTGGTACTACGCGTCGCAAATTTTTTTTATTTTGTTTTTTTTGGCACGTCACAGACGAAATGCCGATTACGTTAGACGGTCGTTTACTTTTTTTATTGTTAGCACCAACAATGGATTACAGTTAACACGAATACAACAATAATATTTGTTTGCTGTTATATTCGAAAACTAGACCCGTCGGTTAATGAAGAGAATTTTAGTACTACGGTGTAGCCACTGCCAAAAATCAAAAAAGAAATATTATTAAGGCCAATGTATACTTTTGGCACTCGTTTCGATTTTCTCCACATCACCTACCAATATGTCCTTCTGTCGGTGTAGGCACACTCCAGGAGATATAAATATTATTATTAATTCATATGATGACATTGACACCAACACGGTAGTTACGATGTTCTGCTTTAAAAAAAAAAAAAAAACTCATAACTAAGCAATTTCTTTAAACATTGTTATTTTTTTTTAAATATATTACAGTAATGTGTACTCAAAATATTTTTACCTATTAGTAGTTTTGTTATTATGTAAATATTAAGTATTTCACTGAATGCTTTTCAAATAATTGACACAATGCTTATAATAGACGTTTTTAAACTGTATCATTAGACCGAGTTGATATTACTTATTTTGAATTTACTCGACTATCCTAGTTATTTTTACTGAAAGTGATCTATTCATTAAACAGTATTTTTAAATGGTTTTTTCTGGTAATTATTTAAACAGAAATCAATGCGTATATTTTATTAAATGCATAATTAATATAATCTACTACTATGTGTTTAATAAAACATATACTACGTCTTAGAAACTTGTCCTATATCGTCAATGACTATTGCGAGATGTGCTAAAAACTGTACAAGAGTGTTTGATTAAAAAATTTTTTGAGTACATTCAAATCCAAGACTGAACTTCAAAATAACTTTAAAACATCGTTTTATCAGAATTATTATAAACATATAATACAATGTGTAAATTATAATTATACTTTAACGTTATTGTATATTAAAAGATTTATAGAAGTTATTTCAAGAATTAATCTAACGTCAATTACAAATGACATTTGTCAAACACCATAAAAACGATAAATAAACGATTACCTATTTTATAAATACTAAGAGAATAATTAAATGTTCCAATAGAATTTTGTGCATCGGCTCGTTATAAATAATGACACGTCACGGGCTTTTTTTTTTTAAAGTAGATAATTACTAAACAGAAAAAACAGATAACAATAATTAAACAAATTATTTAAATTTTACATAGCCTAAATATACACGTGAAACATATATACGACGAAATTATTATTTTAATTTCACACTATATAACTGTTTTATTACTTTTTATTAACATTGCAAGTATTTTTGTTTATCTGAATAAATAACCACGAAAAAGTAAAAACAATTTATCTTGTTGTCCTTTGATATTAAATTAAAAACTGGTTTTTATATTTATAAGTAGGAAGTTTTTTTCCTTAAGTAAGTGTCTTGAAACTTGCATGAAACACACAAATAAAGTATGAAAAAAAAACATAATTTTTTTATGATAACTGATTTTTTTATTAAATTTATTAGATGATTTTTATTATAGATAAAAGTGGACAATTTAAATGTATAATTACGTGTACTTAAAAATGTGTACACGGAAAAATATTTTCTTAAATGTCTATTCTCAACCATTATTTGATGAGTAATTTTTAAATTTATAAATCTATAGAAATCAATATTGTTTTTTGTTCTTAAATTTTATCTTCTCTGTGGAGAATTTATATAGATATTTAATAGTTATGTGATAAATAATAGTACAGCTTCAAATTAGAGTGCATATTGTAGAGAATAAGTTGCTTTGATATCGTGTTTTAATATATTTTCTATGCTAATGAGTAAGTTGCTGGTTTTGATGATGCCTGTTGAGGCAATATGGCCGACAACTAATATTTATTATGCATATAAAGAATTTTTAAAAGAGGATACAGTGACTAGGTGGTAAGAATTTAAATCCATTCTCTGTTAAACTTATAGAAATATACTATATATTATTAAGTGAAGATAATAGGTATCTTAAAATACTATTGAGTTTGTACGTTTGTAATACATGTAGTTGAACTAATGTATCGTTGCAAGTAAACTATAATTCAAATAATTCAAAAAATATTTTTAATAAAATGTTATTTAGACGTAAGTAATACGATATTGATTAAGCTTTTATAATATTATTTTTATTTGCAAAATCATTTTTTTAGAATAAATATTTTAACTAAATTAATAATACAGGTACTAGATACTAATATTAAGTACTATATAATTTAACTGCTGACTGCATTTATTTTATGGAGAGCTTAATTTCATAGTAAGATTATATTTTAAAGGTGTTTATTATATTCATAAAATACATAATATGTATTTTAAAACATATTATGTTTTAATATGTTATATTTATTTTCTAGTAAATATTAAAAGGTGCTCAGCTAAAGATATTGGGTTTTTAATTTATATAGTTGTATAATACCCCTCTTTGAAATCATATTAAGCTTCTATAAAACAATTAAATTTATTAGAGTTACATCGTAAATGTTGTGTACACAAGTTTTATATTAGTAAATAATGTCCAGATCCAAATAACTAGGTATTTTGTTGTGCAAATACATTTTAAGTAAATGGAACATAGCCAACAAATTGAGTGCTCATAAACATAAATTATTGTTTGTGTTAATATTTGCACCTGAAATTAATGAGTTCGACTAGCACTTTATTCAGATCGGAGCAAGTTATTGTTACATTAAGAAAATTGAAAAGCCTTATTCAATATGCAATCCTATGGAATATAAATATGATAAAATATGCTATTCCAATGAAGTTTTTTACTGTATTTTTATGTTTAGATGAGTTAATAATATATATTATACTCAGACAATTTCTTATTAACAAACATATGTGTACTTTTTGATTCATCAAATTGATTTGAAAGATTAGTGTACGATAAATGCATTTTAATAACATGCAAATAAATATAATTCCGGGAGACATAATAAAACATTTGAGTTACATAAGTAGGGGTTTTTATTATATGTTTTATATGTAGTATTCAAAGTCAGGTTAGAAAGAACCTGTATCTGTAATATTTAGACATTCAATAGATAATGGCTAAATTTTGTTTTTTGATTTTAATTTTAGCACTTCATAAGGTTAGAAATGTCTAAACATAAAATACTTTATATTACAATAATAAAACAATGAAAAAATATATTAAAGATAAGTTTAAATAAATATTTTTGAATTTTAGCGTTATCAATTAAGTAACGTATTGAACGATATAAATGAGTCTTTCAGGTCTATTGAATCATTGGACATGTTAGGTGAAGTTTCGTTTTTCTTTTTTTGGTAAGTTTAAAAATTTGATGGACATTCATTTTTAAGCGAATTTTAATTGTACAAAATTCATAGATAACAAATGAATCTGCAATATCAATTACTAATTTAAGAACGAATGTAGAGTTTGATAGTCATCGTAAGCGCCATAAAAAAAAGTTTTATACAGATTGGTCAGAATGGAGTCCTTGTTCAGATTAGACAAGAGTAAAGTAAACTAAGATCATGTTATTTATATTTACAATTTATAATCTATAATAAAATTTTGAATACTGTATAGGTATTATTTAATATCGAAAATTTGTGGTCAATATGATTCTAATACAGAACAATCATATTGTTTTACAATGAGAAAAAGGTGGTGTTCTCAGCAATTAATAAATTATCTTGAACAGTAGTATATAGAGGAAACAGTCAATAACAGTAAAAATTATTGAAGACTTCATTTATTATTAGTATTATGTAATAATTTAATCTATTTTAGATAATAGTTTATCTTCAAAAAGTTTTTGTGGTATTGTTCCTACCATTTCTCCCCTATATTATACAATACCCAATCGGTTAACTAGAATTATTGGAGGGCTTGAATCTAAAAAATCCCAGTGGCCTTGGCAAGTTGCTGTACTTGATAGACTTAAAGTAAATAAAATCGATTAAGCTTTTGAATTATATAGTTTATTAAATTGCGTTAATTAATAGGTCCTTACTTGTGGTGGTACATTTGTAGCTTCGTATTGGGTACTAACTCATTGTTATAGGAAAATTTTATTTGTTCTTTTAAATGAACATGATCTATTTGTAAGTGATGAAATTGAAATGAGGGTAAGATTCAGATCTTGAATAGTAAAATATGAGATAATATCTCTATTGATGTAATTCTAAATGAAAGATAAACACATTTATCCTTCAATATTAATTTTAATTATTTGCATAAAAAATACTGAAAGTCAAATGAGAAATCCCTTTTAAATAATAATAATAATATAATTCAATATTGTTTGACATAATATGCACTTAACGTTTAAATACACAATATTTTGTTATATTCAGGTGAAACGAGTCATTATATATTCGCAATACAATCAATTTACTATCGATAATGATTTAGCATTGATAGAGTGAAACGAAAACCTGACATGTATATTGCTTTGGGCTGGGGAAAAATTAAATCTTATTATCTTCAAGGATCTAGAATTCTCCATGAAGTTGTGGTATCTTTAATATTAGATCATGGTAAGTTAACGTTTGAAAAAAAAATAACGATTACATTTGCAATATGATGTATTTCTGCTTATTTGTGGGAATTATTCTTATATAAAGATATTTGGATGTTTTTGAATAACTCCAAATTGAGAATTCTATCGGTATTTCGTCAAGTTTTAACTCTCTAACATTTAAGTTGAGTAATTTTGGTAATTTGTGATACGTTGTTTTGATGGATAAATTTAAACCTCTTATA